GCGGCCAACTTCTCCCCTGATGACTCCCCCAAAGTATCTGCCTCCCCGGGCAGCTGTCCCAATGGGACACCACTGCCTGGCTGAAAGCCAGTTTGCAACCCTGGTTTCAAAAGATGTTTTGGTGTCTCCTGGCAGAAAGCTGCTGGTGACCCAAATTCTAAATATAGAAGCAAGTCCATTTTTTGTAACAAATGCAAAACATCCGTACCATGTTCATCTTTGGGAAATAGGTCTTTTTGCATGAGAAGTGTAAATATAACACCCAGATTTCTTTCAAGTGAGGTCACCTCCTGGCTGCGGTAATTCTTGGAGCACTCTCATGGTTATTTGCCCTAGGTAAACTCCTCCATGCTTCTTCACCGGTGGAAAGCCATACTCAGAGCCCCTGGCAAATCCCAGGCCCACAGCTGCAGCTCTCCATGTGATGGACCATCCCCATCTCAGGTGACAGGCAGTCACCTCCGGGATGAAAGCACAGCAGGCAGCCTGCCTGCTGCCCGCTCCTCAGGCAGAGAAGCTGGGGAAGGCTGGTGAGCTGGGCCCGTCTCTCCCCTGCACCCTCAGGTGCCATGTAGGCTGTGGGTGTCTATTGGTGGCACAAGGAGGTTTCTTGGGGCTGCAAAGCTGTGGTTGCCCTGTAGTCATGATCAACATCCATCCCACCCTCACCTTCCTCAGCCTAGCATCCCTTAACCAGGCCCAGCAGCACAGAGCAGCTCCTGACCGCTGCAGAGCACGTCGACATCTCCAACCCACTGGCGTGCAAGGTGTCCCCAAGGGAGGATCTGTCCACAGCCTTGAAATAATCACAGGTTCCCTGAGTGCCTGGCTCCTCACAGAGCCCAAGGAACCTCACAGCTCTTCTCCAGCATGGTCTGGGTGGGTGGGCAGAGGTCTCCACACCCACTCAGGGCTGGAAGCTGATGCTGGCAGCAGGGCAAGGGCAGGAGCAGGCTGCAAAGCCCTGTGCTGGGACCAGTGGGGTCTTGGCTACCAGGCAGCAAGTGACCAAAGGTCATAACAACTCCAATTTAACGGGCAGCTGAGCCACACCACACCCACACAGTCCTGGATCCTGCAGAGGCTGAATTGGACCCTTCACCTGTGTGCGTGTCTGGCCAGACATGGTTGGGTTTCCCTGCCAGCATCCCTTCCATGCCAGCAGAGAGGAGAAGAGAAGAGAGAGGAGACACTGTTGTGGAGCCCTGTGGACCTGCGATGGAGCCCACCTGGGCCAGCCAGGTCTTGAGCATCTCTGGGGGAGCAGGGCAGTAGGAGAGACCATGTTGGGCCCATTACTGATGGACTTTCCTCTGGCCACCAAACCCCAGCAAGACTCCACTGAGATTTCTCAGGGACTGGTAGTTTTGCCCAGTTTAAGTGAATTTTGAGAAGAATGAGTAGAGACAGAGCTGACATCCACAGGCACATCTGTCCCCAATGTCACCGCTCAAGGGGCCAGATCTGCTTACAAGGAGAGCAATGAGGATTTTTAATGATGTATAAAGAAGCATATGTTGCTTTTTCTTGACCTAGGACACAGAAAAGCAACTTAAGGCAGGAGCTCCCAGTCAACTCCATACCAAGGGACAGGCAACATGAAAATAGCAGCCTGAGTTGCTGAAGCATGTCAGACACCCAGACACCAGAGATGTGGGTTATTGGTGGCACCTCCCAGTCTGCTTCGCTGGGGCTGGACAGGTGTCAGGGTTTCTGGGCACTTCTCTGGCTCCTGCAGTTGGTGCCACAAGGGCTTGCAGTGGAACAGGGGTGGCCAGGACAGGGTGTCCTTCTGGGGAAGGAGAAAGAAAAGCTTCTGCTCATTTCATTTTCCTGTTCTTTATTGTTTCACACAGAGCATGTGTTTAACGACTGTCTCTGTACATTGCACATGTACTTCTTCATTAACTGCTCTTCCCAGCCCCAAATGACAAGCACACAACTCACAAAATGTGTCCTGCAGGCACCTGGGAGCTGTGAGGACTTCAGCAGGTGTTAACCCATACAGGGTCCTGACCCCAGGACATACAGGGCCACGGCTGGGAAATTCTTCTTCATGGTGCTCAGCAGTTACCTGTGTGACACTAGCATCACCAGGAGAAATGACTGGGGCAGTGCTCCCCAGGATTGGGGAAAAACTCATACCAGGGATGCTAAGAGCAGCATCTGCTCAGGATGCAGCGAGGTGGCTGAGAGGACCTGCAGGGAAACCAGAGCAGACAGCTGGGCCTGGAAGGATGCCCTGGGATGTCCATCACAAATGCTGCAGACATGTTCTTGGAGAGCTTTGCAAAGATCCAGTCATACTATTATTTCCCGATCTCTTATTTTTTTAGAAGTTTTGGGTAGCTGGATGCAGCATCCTTTTTTTTTTTTTTTTTTTAGTAAAGGACAGGTAAATTATGAGAGCCCTGACTGATTTGCCTGCCATTTGTTGGGTGAAACAAAGCACGCACGTTACCTTCCAGCCCTGTGCCTTGCCAGGAGCCACCAGCACTGCCTCCTAAAACCTCCTGGGTGAAGCAGAAGCCAACACAATCACCATCCTATTTTCAACAGTCATCCAAATATACAGAGTGCCACTGGTTATGCACCTGAGCAGCAGAGCCCAAGGCACCTGCTGGTGTAGACTCATCCCTTGACATACCAAGGCTACAGCTAACTCTCCATTACCTGCGGGCAGGTGATGTGCAGTCAGCTGCCTGCTCGCCCTCTCCAGGCACAGCCATCTCGGGCTTTGCAAGTCAACTCACTGCAGCGTGACTTTCTTCAGCTGCCTGATGGCCAGGACAGTCCAGGAGCAAAAGCCAGGTCACCCCCTGTTAGGGTGGGTGTCCCTGCAGCCTACCCCAGGATGCCACATAGAAGTCACTCTGGTTTTCTTTCCCTTATTCAGTGCCAAGAGGCAGTGCTGGCCCCCGGTACCAAAGAGGGGGCCACTCCAACACCCGCAGGCTCTCCTGGCTGGCCTTGTAACACAGCCAGAAGGCAGAGTGACGTGGACCCCAGTTCAGGGTGGCAGCTCAGTCACACACGCAAGGGCTGGGCAACCACAGCTTCCTGATTGCTGTTCCCTGTGCCAGCAAGATCAACGTAGTTTCCCACTGCCATGTAGGCAAGGCTGTCAACCATCGCTTGAGCCCCACGACTGCAGCGCCCAGGGCCAGCAACCTCTGCTGACTGCTCCAGGCTGGTGCAAAGCTCACTCCTCTGCTTTATTGCGTTTGTGGCACCTTTCCCCCAGCAATAAGTCACTGTGGCTAAAAACTCCCCTGGGCGGGGGGCTGCCTCCCTTTTTTTTCAGTAAGAGACCAGGGCAGGGTGGAGGAGAGACTGAAGCATTTCCCATCCTGAAAGGGACAGAGGGTCACCCCATTAAACCAACCCTTCCAGGGTCAGGCCAGTGTGAATGGGATAGTTTACCCTGGGATAAGTTTAACCCTAGCAAGATTTGTTCTGATGCATTTATTTATTTATACCTACAACAGTGGGATTAAAGGTTAATTGATGCACTCCTGCTTCAGCCAGTAAGAGCCGTGTTGTAATCACTCCATGCAAAACAAATACTAATAAAAGAGGCAAAATTAAACTCCCCTGGCAGTATGAGCTGTCTTCAAGCAGGGACCAGATTGGGGGTCAAGCTTCAGTTATGCCATAATTTCTGGGTGTCTCCTGCGGATGCCTTCACTGCTATGCCCGGTGGTGCTGAGCACCTCCAGCTCTTTGTGGCATTAGTTGAAACTGCTGCTGCCCGCTGGAAATGCCCTCCACAGACATCCCAATCTGCTCCCCTCCCAGCAAAGCAGGGTAAGAGCTCTGCTGGGTGGCAGCTCTCCTCCTGAGATGCTTTACATCCTCCTGCAAGGTCCTTCAACTACAGAAGAACATATGTTATTTAACTTGTGACTGTGAGTTGAATAAGGCTCAATTAAATTCTGCCTCTTGTGAATTTGCAATGGGGAATTCTCACCTGTGGGACTGGATGAGTTCTAACTGTACCATGCGTGACTCAGACACTTAAAATGATCTATTAATGACTGTTTTAATAAATGTTCTATCTTTATGTGGACAATTTCCTGCCGTGTGACAAGCCTGGCACGATGTCAAACCGAAGTTTGCTCCTGTGGTCAGCCCACGATGAGGACGAAGGCGAACCTGGTGCTGCCGAGCATCTCGGGGGGGCTGCAACACTCCCCGGGTGTTTCTGTTTACAACCCTCAGGTCCCGGCCAGCCCCTCTGAGCCCCGGCTTGTTTCGGAGGTGGGGGGAAAGCTGGGTGCCACGGCCTGGGGCTTTCGGCTGCTGCACTTACCTCCAACCCTCCTCATTTGTGCCTCGCCAAAGTTTCTCTTTGAACGAGGCCTTGCTGGCGCAGCAGGGAGGACACGGGTGTCCGGCCGAGGCGGGGGGGGGAGCCCCCCAGGCCTCTGTCCTCCCCGCCGCTGCCCACCCTTTCACTTGGCATCTCCCGCCCGCACCCTTCCTGCCTCCCCCCGCTTCCCCGGGCCGCTGCTGCGCCCCGATAGCGGCCAAGACCGGCCACAGCGCAACGGGCTCCACGGCTTCAGCTCTTCTTTTATTTTTTTTTTTTTTCCGGCATTTCCTCCCTCCCTCCGCTCCCGTCGCATCCCGGCGCCGCCGCTCGCCTTTCCGCCCAGCACACCCCCGCGTTCCTCGGCCTCTCGCCGCCCCTCCTTTGCGGCAGCCCTGCCCCTCCCCGTGGGGCCGCTGCCGCGTCCCTCGGGCCGAGGAAGGGGCCCGGGCGGGCTCGGCCTCGGGCACTTGTGTCCCCGCAGGACCGGCCTCGCCGGGTCGCACGGAGCGGGACCCTCCGCTCGCTGCCCGGCCCCCCGGGCCCCGCTGCCGCCGCCTCGGCTCCGCCCCCCCCTCACCCCCCCCCGCCGCCCCCCCCCCCCGCGGGACCCTGCGCCCCCCCTGGGCGGGGCACCGACCCCGCCCTCCCGCCCCCGCCTCCCATTGGCCGCGGCGCCGCCGGCGGGCGGGCCGCTTGGTGACGTCACGATCAGCTGTCGGGAGGTCCCGATTTGTGCGGGGGAGCGGCGGGCGCTCGGCAGAACCGATCGGCACCGGCAGCGCCTCCCGCCGCTCCCCGCCGCGCCGCCGGCACGGGCAGGGTGAGTGTCCCGCCGGGCGGGGAGGGGCGGCGGGCAAGGCTCGGGCTGAGCGGGGTCACCCCACGCGGGGTCCCCCCGTGGGGGCAGGGCGACGAGGGGGGCCGCTTTGGGGGACACTCGCCGGGCACACCCCAACCCCCCCCCCCCCCCCCCCCCCCCCGCGTTGTTTGTTTCTTCATCACCGGATTAAGATTCGAGGTTGGGGTCCGCTCCCATTGGCTCCGCTCTGGTGACGTCTGATTAATTTGCATATGACATTGAGACATCATGAGGCTGCCCCACCCGCTCCCCCCCGCGGTCGGGGCGCGTTGTCCTGCCGTGACCCCGCGGAGCGCGGCCTCTGCCGGCTCCGTGCCCGCGGCTGCCCGGGGAGGTTCCGCTGGTGCTGGGCGGTCCCGGTGCCGGTAACGCGTGTCCGTCCCTCCCGTGTCCGTCCCTCCCGTGTCCCTGCAGCCGTTCGTCCGGTGTCACCCCGCGAGGTTCCGCTGTGGCTTTCCCCAGGCAAGTTGCAAACGTGGGCCCGTCTCCCCGTGTTTATTAGAGGCTCTTTGGGTGAAAAACGTGGCTGTTTGAAAAGGGAATGTAAACATATAATATAGAAATATATGTGATCGAGAAATAGCGGCCTCTGTATTTTCTATTTAATGCATTTATTTGATGCTTTTGAACACCTCCATCTTTAGATCTTAATTTACTTTGTAAATCCCAGTGCTTTTAATGAGATTTGAGGGTGTGCTTAGCTATTTTTCTTGAGCTAACTGTGATGCGTGGGAAGGAGCCGTGGGGCCCTGTGGAGCGGGTGAACGATGCTGTCAGTGCCAGGCTGAGGTCCATGTCGTGGCATCCTGCCGTGCCACCAGTGTGGCACCACCGTGTCCCAGGATGCTGAGCCCATGAGTCCAAATGGTACCACGTGTAGAGGCTACTTTTGTTATTACTGCTCTAAGCGCATCTGCTTTGGGACAGCTCAAAAAATGTCCTAAAAGGTCAACTTTCTTATGAATTTCATGCCTCTCACATCAGGACCTCAGCAGCTTGGCTGAACCTGGAAGGTCCTGGGCACTAAAACTGTTCCCATCTGAGGGGGCTTATCAGCTGAAAAGCTTGGACTCCATGGAGTGTAACTGTAGAAACATGTTAAAAAAGGCATTATAGCTTTTGTAATATTTTAATACATATGCATATATCTAGACGTTTATGTCTCTTGTGTGCAGGGGTGCTACAGCCCTGCTTGGAGTGCCTGAGCAAAGGCACTGGCACCCTGGGGTCCCAAGTTAATGGCTTAAAGTGCCTCTCTTGGGACCAGCAACACCCACTGCTGACAGCAGCACCAGCAAGGGCTGAGCTGGGCAGGTGCTAAGCGCTGGCTCTAATTTGACTAAGGCTTTGCTGGAGTAGGAAACCATCCCCAAAAGGTTCTGGGCTCCAGTACACGACTGTGCTCTACCTTCTTTCCCACCAGGCTTAGTCTACAAAGTTCCAAGAACAATTTTTTTTTTTCTCTAAAATAAATCTGGAAAAACCCGAGACATGAGCTCTTATCTAAGAGCTTTTTAGCAGTAATTGCACAGTGAGCCCTGCACAGGCAAGTCTTGCCCCAGCGCACACATGGCCCTGGGCAGGCTTGGGAGGAGCTGGTGGGGAGCTCCGGGCTCCTGCGGTATCAAAGTCCAACTTGCCAGTTAGTATTCAGCCTGCTGTGATTTATGGAAGGTGTAATGTTGGGGCTGCTCCCCTCTCACTATGCATGCCCCTAGGGATGTTTCGCCTAGTGCATCCCAGAGAGGAAGCTTCTAAAATTTCATAGGACAGCTCATGGCATATCTAAAAACTTCCTGGTTGCTCGGATTCTGCTGGCCACTGACAGATTTTCCAGGATTCTCTGTGATGATGTCAAATAGCAGGTCAGGTTTGTCCTTGGGGCAAGAACCTCCTTCCTACAGCAGTTACACAGGGGAGCATGTGCTGATGGTGACACCAGGTCCAAGGAATTGTGACCCCAATTCCTCTCCTTCAGGTTGGCTATAGAAGAGTACATGGGGACTCCGGTCCATGCTGACCTCCTGGGCTGGCTGGGGAAAGCCCTTCCAGGCGCTGGCTTGGGCTGTCATTAATAATAAGAGTCTCATGATAAAGAGTTTTTGGGAACTACTCTCTATCTCTACTCTACTTCCCTGCTCTGCAGTGGAAGAGGCTCTGGTTGTGAATCAAGCTCTGGTTTGCTGGAGTCAATCTGTCTACTCCGCCAGCACCCTGAGCTCCAGCTCTGCCCCTGTGGCCAGTGCTCCCTGAGGGGAACCCCATAAATGAAGTTGCTGGCCAAAGTAAAGGGATTAGCAGGAGCTGAGGTGCAGTTGAGTGACCAAATGCTTTAATCCAGCCCTGCTAAACTGTCCTGGGCAAGCTCCTGTCAGCTCTGGTCCCTTCTTCAATGGGGATGGATAGAGGATGGTGTAGGGATGCTTCACTGGTCATTTTTGGGGTGATGAGCAGGGCCCTGACTCGAGCTGCTCAGGTGCCAGACCTCCTTCTCCTTCACCTTGTTTCTGTGCCAGGCTTAGGATTTTGGTACATTCAGCACAGCGAAAGCAGCCTGTGAAACATTTGTCTAATTTAGGTAAAATAAGTTGAAAATAACATTTCCCAAGTGGGTTGGAGGAAAGCACCTGATTTATACCTCCAACGCCTGCTGTGATGACTGCACGGGGTATTCTTAGCTCTACCAAGGAAGGACTGCTTCTGCTGCTTGTCAGCAGCATCCCTCCTGCTGCTGAGTATTTATGGAAAGTTTCAGGGAGCCTGTTGCCATTTCCAAGTGGAGTTGCTGTTGTTCTTGCAGCCTGTGACTTTTGGGAGCTGCCAGTCCTATGAAGCTGTGGCTCCCGCCCTGGCGAGCTCCTGGCACATCCTGGGGCATTGCTGCTGATCCTTTTGTCTATTCTTAGCTCCTGGAGTTATTTGCAGTGATAGTGACTCAGAAAACTAATTATTGTGTCAAGGTTTCTGAAGGGGGAAAGAAAAAAATAACTCGGTGCATTATGGTTTCCTTACTCTAACTTTTAATATTTAATATTCTCTGGCTAGTTTTAAAAGGCTGTTGGACTTTCTGTAAGGATCCTGATAATCTTCATTCATTAAGAAACTCAACTGTCCCCAAGGGAGTGTCACCTGTGGGCTGTCCCCTTGTGCTGGCAGTGGCTTGGGATTGGTTTGATATGCCAAGTAAGGGGGCTTGTGGAAGCCTGGGAAGGATGGGAGCTGTCCTGTGATGGTGACCCCGGCTCTGGCAGAGGACAGAGAACGTGTGTGTGGTTTCAGCTCCACCTCAAGGACGTGGTGCACAGGCAGTGCCTTCACACCTCAGCACTGGCCATACATCTTCCACAGATGTCTGGCAAGATATGGGTGGGCTGGAAGAAGGCACCAGAGCCCTGACTGCCCCTGGCCACCACAGGGGCAGAAGCCACCTCCTGGTCCAAACTGCTGCTGTGGGCACCATCTCTGCCTGGTGACAGGGCACTTCTTGGGCAATAGTGTCTCAAATCTCCTGGCAGGGACACATTTGGGTTCCTCCCACACTGCAGTTTCCATGAGGCTGCTGGCCCCAGTTGTCCTGGTACAAATGGGGCAAATGTTTGCCACAGGGGAAGTGAAGGCTTTCCAAAAACCTGGAAAAAATTTGGAGCTTGATCGCCAATGACTGTGGGTTGTCCCAGCCAGAGAAGGGCTTGTGAAAACTGCAGGGACTGAGGTGGTGTGTGGCCATATCGCCACCTGGGTGCTGTTGGTAACAGCTGGCCATGGAGCCTTTTGCCTCGTGAAGAGCTGAGAAAGTCACCCCCAACTCTCTATGATGGTGAAGTTGAGGAGCTGATGTTCTTGGTGGCTTGCAGGGAGGGTCTGGAGTGGCTCCCTTCTAAGGTAGACGGGAGGTCATAGACTCACAGAATCGTTTGGGTGGGAATGGGCCTTCAGAGACCTTCTAGTCCAACCCCTCTGCTGTGGGCCAGGACATCTTTCACTAGATTAGGTTGCTCAAAGCACTGTCCAACCTGACCTTGAACGCTTCCAATGATGGGGCAGCCATAGCTTCTCTGCACAACCTGGTCCACTGTCTCACCACCCTCATTGTAAAACATTTCTTCCTTATGTTCGGTTTAATCCTATCCTCTTTCAGTTTAAAACCGTTGCCCCTTGTCCTGTCACTACAGGCCCTGGTAAAGCCTTTCTCCATCTTTTTCATAAGCGCCCTTTAAGTACTGAAAGGCTGCAATAAGGTCTCCCTGGGGCCTTCTCTTCTCCAGGCTGAAGAATCCCAACTCTCTCAGCATTTCTTCACAGGAGAGGTACTCCGTTTCCGTGACCTCCTTTGGACCCCCTCCAACAGGTCCATGTTTATCTTGCCCTGGGGACCCCAGGGCTGGACGCAGTACTCCAAGTGGGGCCTTGTGAGGATGAGGCAGAAGGGGAGAATCGCCTCTCTCGACCTGCTGGTCGTGCTGTCTGTGATGCCACCCAGGACACGGTCGGCTTTCTGGGCTGTGAGCACACGCTGCCGGCTCACATCCCATTTGTCACCCACCCGTATCCCCTGGTCCTTCCCCGCAAGGCTGCTCTCAGTCCATCCATCCCCTGGTCTGTGCTGGTACTGGGGATCGCCCCAACCCACGTGCAGGACCTTTCACTTGGCCTGGCTGAACTTCATGAGGTTCACCGGAGCCCTCTCCTCCAGCCTGCCAAGGTCCCTCTGGACAGCGTCCCTTCCCTCTGGCAAAGCAACTGCACCACTCAGTTCGGGGACACCCGCAAACTTGCTGAGGGTGGATCTCAGAGACAAAGAGCCTGCCTGGTCCTGCCTCTTTAACCCCGTGTTGCTGAGGATTTCAGAGCAGACAGGATAAAGTGAATGTGAAGATTAAAGCTCATTTGGGTCCTTGCTTGCCAGGATCTAGCTCCTGTCTCCACCCTGCAGGTTTGATCCCGAAGGCTTTGCCAGCTGTGCTGGCAGGAGCTCCCCTGCGGCTCCCCGAGTGCCCCCAGGGACAGCCCTGGGAAGGCTGCTCGGACTCTCAGGAAGCCTTATGCTCTCCTCCTATGAAGCTTGTCTGATCACACTGTCTGTCCCTCTGCCCAGCTCTTGCTCCGGCCAGAACGGGCAGCCGAGGCAGAGCCTGGCCCAGCAGCCCCCGGCAGGCATTCTGCAAGGATCGCGGCGCAGTCCCCTGGCTTCGCTGGGTCTGTCTATGCTGCCACCAACCCGTGGTTGCTCTTGCGGGTTTTACCAGTGAACTGACCTCCCCAAGGTCCTGTTTAGGATTGAAATGTCCCCGAGCATTGGGAACTTGTGGGACTTGCTTTATCCAAGGGGCTGATGCTGCAAGCTCTGCCCTGCCCGTGTAGCCCACCCATGCACCATGGTACCTCCTCGCGCCAGTGGGTGGTTCAGGGCCACCCCGCACTCCTTGGCATGGAGCAGGGGATAGCTGATGAACTTATTCAAGTTCTTTGGGGAATGATCCTTTAAAATGATCCACCTCCACTTTTGCTCTTGGGGGAGCTTTTAACTCTTTCCTGCTGCCCTTAAAGCTATCGCAGCTGCCTGCAAGCCCCCTTGTCCTGCCTGTGAGCCCCCTTCCCTTTTGCCCCAGCCCTCCTGGTGTGCTGTGGGTTTTCTCTGGAGCAGGATGGCCCCTGACAGCCCATGATCATGGGGTTGGCTGTATGTGATGGGAGCGTGGTTATCCCAGGACCTTTAATTATAGAAATGAGTCAAATGAAGTTAAATTTGTGAGAGGAGGCAACTGAAACGAATAGTATCCACTGTGCCTTCAGCAAAAAAATCTTCGGGTTAGGGTGGGCAGCTGTGGAGTTCAGACACTTCAGCTCCTGACCTTCTTGTTGATGCACCCTGTGATTTTATTGGGGACTACTCCTAAGTAGAAGGGTGCTGGGGGAATGAGCCCCACTCCTGGAGGGGAGTGGAGGGGGAGATCAGCTTTACTACTGTCTAGTGAAAGCTGCTGTCAAGTTTTAATGAAATAAAAATAAGAGGTTTTCTGCTCTCTGTTTTGACTGTGTAATTTATCATTTGGCTTTGAACTCTTTTGAGGATGGACTCCTTGCTGGGGGCTCTCCAAACCAAACCCACAGAGTGGAGAGGAGCACGCCAGTGCTGTCCAGGCAAGGAGCTCTGGCAGGGCTGTGCGTGCCGAGCTAGCTTGCAGTCCAGCAGCAAGTTTGTTCCAGGCTGGCTTTGCTGAGGCAATGGGGAGAATCTCTGCCTGGCTCAGACCTTGCCCTGCAGTAGCTGCTTGGATGCAGTGTGTGACCTTCCCCTTGCAGCTGGACTGAGGCCGCCGGTCTCCCAGGGTGCCAGCTCTTGTCCCTAGCTCTCTGCTGTTGTGTGGCATGCACATCTGAGGGTGAAAAAAAAAAAAAAAAAAAATTGAAATTTGCATGTAGGGCACTGGCTGTGGCAGACCAAAAGCATTTCATGTGTCCTCCTCAGCAAGGTGGGCTCAGGGGACCCTGCTGTCCCCAGCCCCCTTCAAGCCCTCGTGGGTCACCCTGGGAAGCTGCATGGTGACACTGGTGTCAGCTTTGGCTCAACACTTCTGCCAGCCTGGGAATGCCACAGGCAGAGCTGCCCCAGCTCAAAAAGCTCATGAACCCACTCCTGGCCTTGCACTGGGACAGGACCACGCTGGCACTGGGGGACTGGAGCCCCCTGTGCCTGCCATGGGCTGCTGAGTGCTTCCTGCCCCCCTCCCTCCTGCTTGGGGACCTGGGAAAGAGCAAACAGCAGGAAGCCCTGAGACATCACCAGCAGGTGCCTGAGAGCAGCAGTGTTTCTGCTGCAATTAGATATTTAATACATTTATTACAAAATTAATATGCTATTAAAAGGTATTTACTAACTAGGCAAGTGTTCCAGGCGGATGCCAGATTTCAGACTGCAGGGAGGGAGAACTGGCGTGTAATGAAACCATGGCTGTGTACTGCAGCCTTCAGGGCTGTCCTGGGTGCCTTTTGCCAGCCTGGCCCAGGAGAGGATGGATGCACACATCGGTCCCATGGGAGAGAAACCCCCACTGTGCTCAGCATGGAGCACATGAGAGAGCCTGATGGGCCAGCTTCCATTCGTCGCCCAGCTGGGTATCAGCTGCTCTTCATGTTGTTTCCCTACCTTATATTATTACCCTACTTTCCCGGAGCATTAAATTGTATCTGGATAATTTAATCATGAGCGCACTGGAGGAGAAGAGAAAAGCTGTGGCTTTGCTACTGTCGTGGTGGTGATGGGGGGCTGGGAGGCGAGAGCTGCTTTCGCTGAGCCTGCAGCTTTTGCTGCAGTTGGAGGAAACAACTCTGTTGTGTCTCAGTGCCCCAAAGCCCTCCACTCAGTGCTTCCAGGGGAAGCCAGGAAACCTCTTAGGACACAGAGCAGGGAATCCTTGCCGACCTCCAGTTCATCATGGCAAGAGGCTCTGTGAGTCTCAGCCAAGCCCGTTTGGAACGGGCCAGCCCAGCCAGGACCCAGCTGGTTTAGCTGCAGCCTTTCCCCTTGGCTGGAGCTGGGCGCAGGATGTGAGTGGGAGGGATGGACCGTGGCGGGGAGGGGGCTGCCATCCTAGAGAGAGTGAGAAGCACATGGTGCTGGGGGGGCTGGACCCCTGAGCACTGGGATCTGGAGCCAGGCACTGTTGTAGCCACGTAGGCTGCTCTGCCCCACCTCTGGGGCAGCTGAAGTCACCTGGGGCTGGAGACCTGCTCAAGGGGACAGGTAGTGTCACGCTGCTGCCCTGGCCGTGCCAGGAAGGGAGAGCTGGGTGTCACAGGGCTGCTTCATGCTCTGACACTCCCTTCTGCATCTGGGATTGGCAGAGCTCAGGATGATTCCCTGAAGCCCAGGGCATCCCATGCGTGGGGAAAGGCTCCCCTTGATTTTCCGTTTTCTGCCTTCTGGAGCAGATGATGTACCTCCTGAGGCATGTAAGAGAAGGCAAAAGAGTGGCCCCATAGCAGATAAATAGAAGCATGCCTGAGCCACAGAACCACAGCAAGCACCCAGGCCAGCTGTCCTTCCCAGCAGTGTTGAAGCTGGAGACACCACTTCATTGGGAGGTGGGTAGCTGAGCTGAAACTTGAGCTGTTGGACTTGCATACAGACCAAGGCTCAGGCACATCGTGCCTCCCATTTCACATGGCCCAGAGCAGGTGGGGCTTCACCAGGGTCCAGGACAACTTGCAGGCTCTCTGCTACCTTGGTCAACAGAGCCATGGTCTGAGGGTTTGCCCTCTGGATGCACCCATGGCAATGCACCAAGCAAGGCAGCACACAGCTGTCCTCTCTCCCTGCATCTAGCTCTTGATGGCCATTTTAATGGCCTTTAATGTCTCTGGACCAAAAAACATTTTCTCCCCACAAATAACACACTGCACCTCGTGACTGCTGTCTGTCTGTACCTCTTCAAGAGTTTTGGTGTCATTAATAAAATTAGTGAGTCCTAACCTCCCCCTGAGTTGGGGTGAATGTGTTTCCCCAGGGGTAAAACAGTGATGAGCATAGATGGAGCACTCACCCAGGGCTGGGATAACGCTGTCATTGCCCTGCCCTGCTATGAGGGTGGTGACACACTCATGGCTGCTCACTCCTGCATGCTGATGCCTGAGCACCTGGGGATGAGACACAACCCATAGCCAAGCTCTTTGTCCTGTGGCTCCTTATAAGGTTCTTGTAAAGGAGCAGCGATGACACTTGTGACACTGTCATCTTTTGGGGCAGAGGGTGGCAATGAAAATGCAGCTGTATCAGAAGAGCATCCTTGCAGATATACACAGACAGCAACTCTAACAGTAATGACTTGCAAAATTAAACCAACCTCCAGCAGGTATCTGCACAGGCAGGGCTTGAGCAAAATGCAGTCAAGGGCTTCTTGGGACCCAGCTTGAGGAGGGAAGGGTGGCCACACTGGCCTGGCTGTCAGTGGGTTGCTGGTGGGTTTTAGGGATGGATTGTGCCATCGGTCCTCAGGTAGGACAGCATCATCACACCCTTTTCCCCGCCCTAACATGCCCACCCTTTGCCCTTAGTGCCATCAGCCGTGCTCAGTGCCAAGGAAGGCAGGTCCCAGCCTGACTTTGGGACAATGTTTGGCTCTACCCCTGGCAGCTCTGGTGGATGGGTCTCCCAGGACACACTGCCTGTGAAGAAGGGGACACGATGCAGGGCTCTGTGCAGGCGGAGGGCTGCAGGGCACGGGCACCCAGCCCTTCACTGCTGCTCTCAGGCAGGGTGTGTGATGCCCTTGGAGATGCCAGCAGCTGGGACAGCCCACAGCACAGATCAGTGCCGGAGCCACCTTTTCACTGTCCCCTCCAGGCTGTCTGAGCCCCCAGGATGCAGGAGGGCCACGTTACCAACCAGTCCAAATGCTTTATTTCTTTTTCTTTCCCTTTTACAGGCCTTTGCACTGAAGCCAAGCGAAGAACCTCAGAATTGCACTACACGCCATTTAACTGAGCTACGATTTCACTAGCAGCAAAGTATCTCCACCACCAAGACCTCAAGTGCTGGTTTTCCCCCTCTGTACCCTTTGATTCTGTCTCCACGCCTGGAAGCCAGTGCTCAGCAGTAGCTCTAACTCACCGTCCATCCCACCAGACTGCTCCCCACCATGCTGCAGCGTCTCACCAGCCTCTTCTTCAGCGACAGCAACACGCCAGAAGGCCTGGAGGAGCCCAAACCCTTTGTCGAAGAGGAGGAAGAGGAGGATGGCTGGCTCATAATTGATCTTGCAGGTGAGAAAAGCAGGGGGGACTGTTTCCCCACAGCCTCTGCTGCACCTTGTCTTTTCAGAGCTGGGCAAACCCCCTGAGATGACAGCAGGTGAGCCTCCACCACGTGTGATCAGCTCTGCCCTACATCCCTCCTCCCCTGGTGCCCTGCCCTGCCCATGGCACCCAGCAGCCCCCAACCTGCTCCTCCTTTTCCCCTTTCCTCTCCCAGTGGTGGTTCCCAGCTGTCTGCCAGTGTGGGGGCAGCAGCAGTGTCCCAGGCTGGGGCTGCTGCTGCCTGGGAGCCTCCAGGTGCCTCTGTGCCAGGATGGGGCCCTGGCACAGCACCAGCCCAGGGGGGTCACCCAGGGTTTTGGTGTGATCCTGCACACCGGGGGTTCGGTGGGGTGGGGGACACCAACCCACGCGGGCTGCCTGTGAGCTGTGGCAGTGCCACGGCCTTGGCTAAGCTGTGCTATGTGCAGCACTTTGCCAGGAGTAGCTGGGCTCAGCTGCTCCCTACGATGTCCCTGCTGGGAGAAAACCGGGAGCCTCTTCCCCTGGGAGAAACCCCTGGACACTGGGGGGGGGGGGGGGGGGGCAGGGCTTTCCCCACGTGAGGGCAGGCAGCAGTGGTGCCTGCCTGTCCCAGCTGGGTACATGCTGCTGGTGATCTGGCCATGTTTGGGTCATATGAGTCCATCAGGGGAACAAATCTCAACTCCAAAGGGCTTATCTTCCGAAATCATTCCCAGTGCCCCTGCCAACTCAGACAAGGGATGTTTGGTGCAAGGTCCCCATCCCCAGAGAGACCTCAGGGACTCCCCGTTCCCAGGGATGGTGGTAACCATCTGGAGTCTCCTGTGACACCAACCAGAAGGATCAAATTCCTTGTGTGCCGAGAGCTTCTTCAGATCCATTAAGACCTTGGTGTTTCTATTGTAGGGTCGATGACTCAAACAATTGCAATGATAATTTTATGACCTTTTGCTTGCAAATAGAGCAGTGGACTTAGACAAACAAGCCTGCCTGTGTGGGAGCTCCTTAATGGCTACGGTCTGCTTTTGGAGCCTCTGTTTAGTTGTAGTGCCCCATCCCTGGGGGACCACAAATATATCCTGCAGGTTTAGGAGGAAGATTTTGTTCTCCCTCTTGCAGGCGCCTGTTCTCCAAGCAGATGCTCCCTGCCTGTCCCCCGTGCACTGAGCAGAGCTTGTTTTTGTGATACGAGTCATTCATTAGGATTTTTCCCCTATATGGTGAGCTGGAGAGGGGACCAGAGCATGGACAAGCCTGGGATGGGGGTCAGGGACAGTCCCATGCCTGGTGGGAGCACTATGGAGAGCTGGTGCAGGTGGGTGTGTGGTGTGGGCATGGGCAGCTGCAGAGGATTTCCTGTCCTCTGGGCTCTCTGGTGACTGTCCCAGGGGGGTCACAGCAGTGACACGGCAGGGAGCTGGTTGCAAGGAGGTCCCTGGAGCAACGGGCACGCAGCTACCACATGTCGGGGCCAGCTGGCAACGGCTGCAGCATGCACAAAGCATGCCAGAAGGAGCCAGGAGTTTCCCCAGACAGAGAAACTCTGGGCTGTGCCCTGATCCCCTGGGTCCGAGGCTGCAGCCAGCTCAGCAGGAATCCAGGGATGACTTTGGTACAAAAAGCTCCCATTTTTTTTTCCAGTCAAGCAGCCAGGCTCTCGGTGCAGAGCTGGCTTTCAGCAGTGTGTCTGCCTGGGACCTGCCACCCCACTGCTAATTCTCACTGGCTCTGCTGCTGCCTTTTCCTGTAGCATTCCCCAGCCAGTGAAGGACTGATTTATTTCAGCCCTATTTCTGAGGCTGGAGTTATGCAAAGCACTTTAAAAACTAAACCCTTTGGCTCTAGCCCCCATCCTTCATCTTGGAGCCACAGCAGCTGGCAAGCATCCCACAGCCTGGCTCCCTCCCAGTGGGAGGGCAGCCTAATGGGCCTCCGAATTCACTCCCTCGCAGCCAGGTCTTTGAGCCACGTGTTGCAAAATGCACCTGAATTAACCAGATCTCCCAGGAGCATTTCAGATGCCCCTCTCACCCCATCGCCCAGCTTGGATCTGCTCAGCACCCAGGGAGGGAACAAAGAGCATTTCCCAGTGCTTAGTGATACAGCTGCAAGTCACCCAGGGATTTGGGGATCCCGAAATATTCCTTCTGACATTAGAACCCGCCTTGGCAAAGGATGGGGACAGGTATCCATGGGTGGCTGGGTCAGTGTTCAGCTGTGCTGGCTCCCCTGCTCCCCGTGCCCGCATTGCAGGAGTGCTGCTGGACTGGGAACGCTCCAGCCAGGCTCAGCGGCTCTCTCCAGGCTGACAAATAATCTCCAGCCCGGCATGTCAGCAGCTATTAATAGCTTGATATCCACTGGCCTGAAGAAAGATGCTGTTGTGTTTGCAAGGCTAATTGTGGCCTGCCCTAAGCCCCGGGTCGAGGCATCACCTGCAGGAGGAGCCGAGGACATGCTGGGTGGTGAGTGCCAGCCCCATACTTCGTGCGCTGCATTTCTCCACCACAAGAACACATTCACCTCTGATTTCTCCTGCATTTGCATCCTCCCATGAGACCAGTTCCCTGGAATACCCCTGATGAGGCTGGGAGTGGGTCTGGGTATCCCAATGAGCCCAACATGAGGCTCAGGCTCCCTTCCCACAATACAACAAGTAATTCTGAGCACAGGCAGCCCAGAAAAGCACCAGCCCAAGTGCTTTTACCAGGCGGAGGTGAGGAAGGGAAGGCACCTGGGGTGTCAGAGGGATGTGGGGGGCAGCCCCTAGATCAACCACCCAAAACTCGGCCTCTAATGGACTGAAGCTGAAGGTGCAGTGAAAACATTTGCTGAAGAATTTATTCCCCTGATTTCTTCCAGAAAAAAAGGTGTGGACTGTTTTTTTCCTCTGTGTTTGCTTGGTTTCAATGTTTGCAAAGTGCCGAGCGGTGTTTGCAAGTGCAGGTGGGCTGACGTTCCTCCGAAAGGACACAGCACAGCTCAGGTGCCGTAAAAACAGGCAAAAGCAGCATTTCTTGCCAGCTGAATTTCTTCCTTCGTCTTGAGAAGGAAAAAAAAAAAAAAAAAAATGGTGTGGTAAACCCTGCTGGTTTCCCCCACATTTTGGTTAAAGTGCCTAGCCAGAAGCATTCCCAACGCTTGCTGGCTTAGCAGAGCTGGGCCCCACAGCCCTGGCAGCTGCCCTGGTGCGGAGGGTGCCGGTCGGGGAGCGGTGCAGGGCAGTGCTGGTGTCTCCCTCCCCACGAGGTCCCGTGGCCGCCGCGCCGGTCTCGAGCGATGGTGATGGTGGTGGGGTGTCTCTTGCACTAACGATGCCCCTTTCTCTCCCCCCCCTCCCCTCCCCACTGTACATGGTATGTGTGTGTGTCCCCGCTGCGCCCCGCATGGCTCTGTACCCCCGCCACCCCCAGGCAGCCGTGCCCGCCCCAGCGCAGCCCGGCGAGTGGGTGCTGGTGGCACCGGGCGCTCGACGCGATCCCGCCCAGCACCCCCCGGTCTGCTGCTGCCGCCGGCCGCTTCCCCGGCTCCGGCCGGTCCCTGCTTGATGGACGAGAGTTGGTTTGTCACCCCTCCCCCCTGTTTTACTGCAGAGGGGCCTGGCCCCGGCGGCGTGGGGAGCAGCCCCATGGAGGACCTGCTCATCGAGCACCCCAGCATGTCCGTCTATGTCACCAGCACCCTCGAGGTGGATGGGGAGGGCCTCGAGGACGATGCTGCCAGGTGAGTGCGGCTCGGGGGTGCTTGCTGGGGGGCTGCTGGCCCCAGAACTCACTGGGCGACTGGGGTGGACAGTCAGTCCCAGCATCCCAAATCACTGTGTGCGCCTGGGATCATTTCACCCGTGCTGCCCACGGATGGAGTGGGGCTGTGTCGGACCTCAATGTCCCCGTGTCCCACCTTAGGGAGCACCCTGAACAGCTGGCAGGGTGCCCTGGCTGGTGCTGTGCAAGGGCGGCGGCCTCTGTGTCCCAAAATACTCTGCTAAGAGGATCTCAGCACCATGTTGATCCTGGCCGTGGGTGCAGGACCGTGAGCTTGGTGCTGGGCTGCAAAGGAGAGGGCTGTGTCCTACCACCCTGCTGCAAGCAGAGTCTCCTGGTGCAGCTGCCAATACTGCCTGTCACCCCACTGCCTGGCTAGGGGGGTTTGCCCTTAAACACAGGGCTTTGCACAAGTATGGCACAAGCACAGCAAACCCACTGGGACAAGGTGGCCTTTGGGCACAGTAGTCCCCTCAGGACCCCCAGGCAGGAGGATGCTGCAGTCCCTCGATCACCCTCCTGGCTCTGTACTGGCTCAGCACAGGGGTGTCCCAGAGTCATGGCGGGGGAAGGTTAAACAGAAATGCCCCAAATGGCCCTACTGCTTTCTCCTGCCCTGGGAGCTGTGGGCTTGAGCTCCCCACCACCCTTCCCCAGGGCTGCAGGCTCTCCCCTCTGCCTGTGCCTGCCCTCCATTGCCCTGGGGCACTGGGAAAGCCCTGATCATGCACATGCTCAGCCCTGCCACTGCCAGCTGACCCCTGGGTCCAACCATGCTGTGGGGTCCCCACTGCTCAGCAGTCCCAGCCCTCCAGCAGCTCCCCCGGGAGCTCCTCACTGGGGCAGGGGAGGAGGAACATTTGGGTTGAACTGCCACCTGAACTAAGGGACACCGTTCCTCCAGGACTTCTCTCTTTGCAGAGTCTCCCTGAGGACCACAGCTTGATCTCAAGAGCTTCAGAGGATCCTCAGTGCTGGAGGGTGCAGAAAGGGGGCCAAAGGGAGCTAGAAATGGGTCAGGAGACCAAATGGGTCACAATGGGGCTGGGCCTGGCTTCCCTCCACCGGGCTCAAGGGGCTTGGCCACTGTGGGGGACTGTGGAGATGCCCCCATTCCTGGTGGTGTCTGGGTTTATCTCGGGTGTCCTAGAGCTTGCCTGTGCTGGAGCATCCCCACTGCTCAGCAGGCTGCTGCGGCGGGAAGGTGGCCGGGTCCATCCTGGGGGCACAGTGTGATGGGGAGGGGGTTGGAGACCCCGGTCCCCTTCTTGCCAGGGCGGGTGAGGGCCGGGTGCCCGTGGCCACCGACGGCTTTTTTTCCTCTGCAGGGAGGTGCCGGAGCCCCGGCTGGAGCGGCACGTGCCCCACCACGGCAGGTCTCTCTCGATGAAGGCGGCTATTTTGGAGAAGGTTGGGCAGGCACGGCGGGTGCAGCGGGCCAAGCAGCTGGCGGAGAAGCACCAGCTCAGCCAGAAGGCACTGCAGCGGCAGAACCGGGCCCGCCAGCGCCCGCTGCGCCGGGCCGAGCAGCACGGTGGGACCTTCATCCACCAGCCCTGCCAGCGCCACTGCAACTACTGACCTCGCCAGCACGCCCGCGCTGCCACCCCCCCCCACCCCCCCCACCGCCTCCCCCGGCAGAAGAAGACTTCACACCCCACCCTGATACCGGCCACCCCGGGGGGCGCCGGCCCCAACGAACGCCCGTGACATGGTTTCACTCCGCACACTCCCACATGGCTGCACACCCGGCCCCCCCCCCACACTCCTTGTCTTCCTCATCCTGCCTTCTGCTCCCCTTGCCCTTTGTCTCCGGCACCAGCTAGGCCAGCGACCCCCAGAGCCGCCAGCCCGGAGGGCTGCACCACCCCCTCCACCCTCGCAGCCGTGCCAGCCTTCACGCCGGAGGTTGGCGTTCCCGGTGAAATCGCCCGTTTCTGAAATCCACGGCAAAGTCTGTCTGTCCTGACAAGCCTGTGACATCAGTGCCTTTCTTCATGTTGTCATCACTCCACGTATAGCCAGGCTGGGATGTCACAAGCAGAGACACCAAGCGCAAGTGAAAAGAAGAACAAAGCAAGAAGATGTGGGATTTTTAGGAAAATCTCATCAATGGCACTAAATAATGCTTCCTCACCCCAAAACCAGCAAATACTGCCCCCCCCTCCCCTTTGATTTCTTAATTACATTTTTATCATGATAAGACAAAAACCCCACTGTCGGTCCCAAAAGGGCTTGTCATGGGGAAGAGCTGATAGTCATCTTCATGGCAGGGTCAGCCGGGCAGCTTGCGGTGCCTCATGGTGTTTTTTTTAAAGACGACCTTAAAAGCAATCTCAGGAACCAAAGCACCGTCCCAGCACCTCTCCAGAGCCCTTTGCCAAACTGGGAGGGAGTGTCCAGCCTGGAGCCAGTGGTAGCATTATCATGACTGGTGGTCCCCCAAGCTGCTGGCTTGTCCGAGCGATCCCCCTTGTCCTGGAGCCACTTATCTGCCCAAGCCGTACCTATATACATGTATATGTGTGTGTATATCTTTCTCTAAATACTTATATTCTTGGATGAAGTGTTAATCCCTGTGAAGGGAGTGGTGGCAGGGACCTGTGGAGCTTCCCTGGGGTGGCAAAAGCACGTCGAAGCTGGTGGTGAGGGGATGCTGAAGAGGAGGCTGGAGGGAAGAGGCTGAAGTAAGGGCAAAGATAGACCTGGGAGCGACTGCAAAGGGTCAGGATGGGGAAAGCCCAGGCAGCAGGGCTGGGCGAGAGGATTGTTGCAGTGGAGCTGTAATGGGAATGCTTTCTTCCCCCGCTAAAAATTGCATCCGTTCCTGCGAAGGGCCAAATTACGTTGTGGGCAATGATGATTTTTAATGCAAATCCCTCCCCAACCCATGACGGACTCATTCTGCCTTTTTAAGGACACGGTTCAGACTTTTCAATGGCTCCAACACCAGCTGAGATGGCTCCAACCACAGAAGAAATTTGCCGATTTCCGACCCAGCTCCCTCCCTTTAGGGATTGGTTTTGTACCCTGTGCCCCTGGGAAGGTCTGGCCATCGCATCCTGCTCATGGCCAGCTCACAGCCTGGATTCCCACTCTTTTAGACAAGAAATAATACACACCTTTCCCAAAAATGCTGATTTCACAGGCGTTTCTTCCATTCATGATGTTACATCCCTTAGTATCATATTGGAACCTAGGTTGAAGGAATTGTGGTAAAACCAACCTCAGACAGCTGTTTAGTGATTTTTTTTTTTTTTTTTTTAATGAGCATATAAACAAAACAAACCCTCTTGCAAGCACCAGCCCTCAGCTCTGTGCCTGGGAGCCTGGACTGTGGGAGAGCTGGCTGATGATGCTCACCTACAGTGTTTATCTTTTGCTCTGGTGACATGGCGTTCCCAAAAGCACAGAAAAAAAAAACCTGAAGAACTGATTTCAAGTATTTCTTTTCAGCCTTTCCCTTTCAATTCTTCCAGGCCAGATTCTTGTTTCAAGACACCAGGCACCCGCCACACTGCTTTGGTCCTCCGCTTTTTCAGCCTCGCTGGTAAGCACAGCAGCTTTGGAGTGGATTTTTTCACAGCCAGTGGTTTATCAGCAGAGAAAGAGCGGGATGGGGGAGCTGGCATTACCCCCAGCCACTCGGTATCACCTGCTACTCCTTGGGCCTCACCGCAATCACCATCCCTCATCGCCGAACCTAAAACCACACTGGAGATCACCCTATTTCATCTCTGGTGTCCTCTTGGTGGAGACTGACAACTCCTTGACTCGAGGGGAACGTTTACATCCTTTGGCTTCCTGGGATTCCCATTAAACGCCTTTAGTTTCCCTCTGAAGTGATGCCTGGTATGAGCCAGGAGCACGGCATTTGTGCTGGCACAGGTGCATGTGAAGACAAGCAGAGGCTAAGCCCGAGCTCTTGGCTGTGCCATGGATGTCTGATGAGGTGCTGCCTTCCCCATGCTGCGATTTCCCGTGTCGCTGGGTGAGATGCTCTGTGGCCACCGGGCAACAGTGTTGGAGGAAGCATTTTCTGTCTAGCCCAAATATACATCAAGAAGTGGACAACTCAAGCAACATCCTGTCTCCCAGCCTGTTCTCCACTGCAGAGTCTCCTGTGCATCCAAGATGCCACCAGTCCCTCCGGAGCACTCCCAAAATCAGGGGCTCACTGCAGCACCGTCACTCCCCCTGCATCTCCCCAGGGAAGACAGGCTTGGGGAGCGGAAAGGCCGGCTGGGAACGGGGTCCCGGGGGGATCCTGCCATGGCTCACCTACCAGGCCTTCCCATGCCCACCAGTCTGCTTGCAAATGGTACCCCAGGAGGAGAAACCCCTCATCGAAATCCTCCTCCGCGTCCTGCTCATCTGCCATGAGCCAGAAACCCTGGGCTGTGGTCCTGGGCGGCTCAGTGCCCTCATGGCTGCCAACCGCCGGCACCCAGCATGCAGTTCACATGGTTTGTGCTGTTCCTCCGTCCTGGTTTTCAGAAGCGAATGTAAGCTGCTTTCTTTCTTCTTTCCGTGCCAGTCTGAGACATCATTCATCACACTGTGCCCAGCCAGCACAGGACATGAAACAGAACTATTATCACACTTTATATTGAGAATATGTTTATAAAGGCTCAATAAATTATTAATAATGTTTTCATGAAGAGGTTAATCCAGAGTCCTAGCATCCTGCAGGTCAACGAAGCGTGCTTACCACAGCGTATATGGGCTCCTGCCATGCCCCCTCTGTTGTTTGCACACTTGCTCCTGTATTAGCATCTAATAATCACTTATTAACCCCCTACAAAGCAACTGTTGATCCTCCAGTGTGACAACCCTTCTTATGCTGCAGCAAAGGTGTGTTCAAATTTGCAGAAGCCGTGCAACACTCCTCTCCTGCCCAACAGTGAGCACAAGACCTGGCCTGATACCAAATCTCCTGCCCAGTGTTGCCAGAGCAAGAAAACCCCTTTACACTGAGGTTACAAGTCTCCTCAGATTTTGAAACAAATGAAAGGTGCTTAAAAACTGAGAACTTTGTGTGCACATGTGTGCATGTGTAGATACTTCACAACACAGTGTGGGTGTTTGGTAGGTTGTTTTGGTGTGTGGGTTTTAGGGGGTTTTTAGGGGATTATTGGGGTTTTTTTTGCACCCAGTATTTTCAATCTGTGACTAGCTGTGCAGTGCTCTCCATGGGAAGGTAAAGCAAACACAGTGCTGGCTGGCAGGGAGGCCCATGGACTGGTGTCCTGCTTGAATGGCTAGGGTGAGTCTTGCTTTCTTTTCTTTACTCGAGTAGGGGGAAACTACACCATGGACTCAGGGACAAACAAATATGCTGGGGTCTTTAAAAATGTGTTTTTTCCATGCTTCTCTGTTCAGATGTGGGGTTTGTTTCTGCCTATGAGGCCTTTGGCTGTGCAAACCTGAAGGATGCTGCAGGGATGTGTTTGTAGCCTTTGGCAGCATGTGTCGATGAAAGGCTGTGCAAGCTGCTGTGCGTTGGAAGAGCTGCAGGGTCTGATGCTCCGACACAGCACCTGCATGGAAAAGGAGCTGTGGCCACTTGTGGTGGAATCATCCCTGAGCAGCAGCCCCTCTTCGTTTGCCTATGTCCGGAAAATTCACCTTACAGTTGCTAGAGTGCGGCTGGACCCTCCCTTGGGCTTGTCTGTGAACAACCAGATATGGATTTTAAGCAATGAGCCCCCGAGGATTTGGGAAGTGGTGCTGCTTTCTGCAGCTGGCCTGGTTCCCACTGTGTTCCTGGGATCAGAAGGCAGCTGGGATGGGGAAAGCCATCGAAGCAATCACATGGAGAAATGCTGATGCAGGTGACAGATTGGTGGGAGGAAATTTTTTTGGAGCTTGGATGGGCTCTGGGCCTGGCAGCAGCTCTCCAGCCCTGCGCTGGTATCGCGGCGAGGGGCAGGCACGGACAGGCAGGCTTGGAGGCATCGGGACACTGGAGCTTGTGGAGGCAGCAGACAGTGACATTCAAAGCCCCTGTGGTGTAGGAGATCTTCTCCGAGCAGCGAACGGGAGATTCACATCTCAGTTGCCTTCTTTCGGTACAGGGCAGGGCAGCCTGGCTCCCTGCCAGTGCAATGGATGAACTCAAGCAAGTAGCAAGGGTCCCGCAGCCATCAGGACAAGATCAGGAGAGGCAGCCCTCCTGGAGAAGTGCCACCTCTCAAGATGAAAACCAGATCATACCAGGGCATGTCTAAACCCATGTACCACCGTGCAACCCCCCTCCCAGGGCAAGTCCCTGTGTGGCTGTGCTTGCCACACTGTGCAGAGGCAGGCTAGTGGCCACGGCACCCGCAGGACACCCCGTTGGCAGCCACATCAGCTGTGACAAAGTCCTTTCACTAAATTTTGGCTCTCGCCTGCACTGCAAGGCTGGGGGGAGCTGCCGGAGGAGGTGCAGCAAAAGTCCTTGTCACCCAATGCTCTGAAACTTGCACTCACAAATGGGCTTTCCAAAAAACTGCTGTAAAAGCTCCATCTGGAAGGAAAACGATTCTTTCCACTGGAATCGGTGTTTCTTTTTCATCATGGATAGCATAAACACATGGCTCATTCCAAAGATCACTGTTGTGGGAATCGTCACTCTTCCTTTAGGCACATTTCTAATCAATAGATAATTTTACATTTACATCTTACTGATACCTTTTGCTCTTCCATCCAGCCCCACTGGGGATTAAAAATAACCCCACTAGATGTCTTGTCATACCACTCAGAACAGAAAAAAAAAAAAAAAAAATTCCAGTGAGGTTCTAGGCTTGAAACACAGAGCTTTGCAATTGCTCCCATGGAATATAAATATTGGTTCCAGTGCCCTGCATAAAGTAAAACTAAATTTTGAGTGAATTTATCAAAAAACAAGTGACTCCCCAAAGATTAAGCCATATTATAACTAGAAAACAGCCAGTAAAAAGCGATAGGACACCTCAAGTCAAGAAATAATGATTCTCAGCATCTGCCTGTTGCTGCCTGCCAGAAGGCAGCACTGAGCCCTGCTCCCCTGTGCTGGGGGGGAGTGATGGCAGTCCCCAAGTCTTCCCTGGGTGTCCAGGTTTAAAACAAGAGGCCACCCATGTCCAGCTGGTGCCATGGTGACTTTCTAGCCACTGAGGATTGTCAACAGCCACCGTTTCCCCATGTGGCACAGATGTGCCTCAAGTTTGCTGTACCTTCTTTGCTGTCTGCACCCAGAAATAACTGGTGCTGGTGGGAGGGACGTGCCAGCACTCCAGCATCCCCCCAACAGTCCTCAGAGCTTCCCCTCAAGTTCTTCTCCACCACAGGACTATGTCTGGTGACCTCCTCAGCACAGCTGCTCACAGGAACCAGAGCCCAAGGACAGCCACCCACCACACTTGCAGCCTCTCCATCCCAGGAGGTTCCCACCATCAGACCAGCCGGGGACATTAATGGAGTTGATCACCACAGGGCTTGTCTTCTTCAAGGTGGAGCTTTCCGTCTCTGCCTATTTCTCTCAGCTCTGCTCAATACAATGTCAAAGTCATCAAGGGCTCAGTTTGTCCTATTGACATGACCAGAGTGGCTGTCGTGAGTTGCATGACTGTGTCTGCAGAAGCTGGATGAAGTGGTGGGACATGCTCTGTGTGGTTGGCAAGTCCTTCTTTTGGTGAGAAGTGTCCTCAAACCTGTCGGAGATGCTGCCTTCTCCTCCGCTCGACTCCAGAATGCCAGTGGTGGGAGCACTCCTCAGCTTGGGCAGGACGTCTTCCCACGGCCTCCCATTTCATGCCATTCATTGATGCATCATCAAGCAGCCTTTCTTTTTGCTTCTTAAAAGAGATCTGTGTCATTAACTAAACCCACAAGTCTTCCCTTATAAGGACGAAGATGACAAAAACGAGCAGCTCCATCTACTAACAGTAGTCCTTTTTAAAATTCTTTTTCACAGAGAGGTGACACAAAGGTGTCCCCCTGTTACACTAGTTGGGGGGGCTTTGCTTTTCCAGCCCCATACCCAGAGCAAGTGCAAAGCTCTGTTAGAGGGATGCTACTGCATGCCCTGGAGCATGAAAACACTGTGGCAAAGCATTGGCTCTGTTACAGCTAACCATGAAAATCCTTCTACGTTTGACTCTGGTTGCATTTTATCACCTCTGCAGGGGGAAGATTTTATTCCTTACAAATGGAGGGGGAAACTAAAACAGTAAATTGTAAGTGTAGCTTAAAAATGGGTTGCACAAGGGATCCCAAAGTTCCTCCGTTCTTTCACGCTCACCTCATGTATCCATGTCAGGGAAGCCAGGAGCAGCTACGTCCAAGTCTCGCTGAAATCTTATCCTCAGCTTTGTGTTGACACAGTTATGCTTTGGAAAATCTAGGGATGAGGGAACAGCACAAGGCACAACAGTATTTTCTCTCATATCATAAATACACCCATAGGGAGAGCCACTGAGCACTGCAATATTTTGTTTGTATGTATCAACCCTAGGTATTCTGCTTGTAAAACTCATCCACGTGCATTATCCATCTCCATGCTGGACTGACTGTACATGTGCCTTTCACCCTTTTTCATGGTTTGTCGTCTTTTTTTAACACAACTGCAGAACTTGAATAAATCAGTGAACTATAGTTAAAAGTCCTATGCAAGAGATGACTGGGGAGTCAGTTTTCAGTATTTCTGTGTTTCTATGTTGTTTTGAAAGTAGATGCTGGGATTTTCAGAGAAGCCTATCAGAATTAATGCCCTAAAAAGCATTTAGGTTGGTTTGGGGTTTTTGTTTTTTTGGGGCTTTTTTGTTTGTTTTTGTTTTGTTTTGTTTTGTTTTAGCTAAAAACCATTTAGCATTTCAGATGCTAAGTCTCTCAGGCAGCTTTGAAAATCTCAGCCTAAACCCCAGTTCCTCAGCGGTTTGTGCGTGGAGAGTGAGCAGTAGCAGGAGACCGAGCAACCGTGCTCCGCCAGGATGAACAGTGCGTTCAGTAGCCAGTGTTTCCTTTCAAGGGAAAGGAGGAGAAAATGTCATTTGGTCAGGAAAGTTTGCCTTAAGCCTTCCCTAAAATGCATCGGAGGCTGTTACTGTCGCGGGCTGCCAGCCCTGCGCCCACCGCTGCCCCGGGGCAGAGCAGCCGCGCGGCTGCCCTGGCCGGGGAGCTGCAGAGGACCCACGCCATCAAGCAGATGCCCACGCAGCAGCTCCCGATCAGCCGTGCTCTGCTGAATGCCTTACAACAGCGGGATCAACCTTCACACCGGGATTTTGAGAAGAGGAAAAAAAAAAAAAAAGCTCCACGTTTTTCTACATGACCTATGCTGTAGGACTGAAACCTCGTCCGAAACTCAATGCTAACAGAATATGTCCTTTATGTGTGTTACATGTTGAATCAGTGTAAGCAAGGTTAGTAGAGAGGGGGTGTCTACTTCTTGTAGGACATTGTTTAAACATTTGCCGTGTGTCAACAGACCGAAGGACATGACTGCCTGGAATACATTATGTAGTGCGCCTGTGTGTATGTAACCTGGTTTTGGTTGTTAGGTTGTAATGCTGTCTTTTGACTGAAAAAAAAAATCTAATATAAAGAAAAACCACAAGAAACATTAAAAAAAATATATATTTAAACTCTACTTTATGTGTATTCCTCTAAAGCCTACAAGTAAACCTGTTTTCAGAAAGCTGTGGTTTTTAAAATAAGCTTTTAAAAGTCAGTGCTGTAACTATCAGAGACAAGTCAATAGAAAAAAGTCCCCTTTGAAGACAAGGATGCGCAGGGGAGGGGATGGTACAGGCTGAGTTGTTTGAGTTTTTTTTTTTTCCCTCCCCATTACCAAACCCTAAAACTCAGTAGATGATTGCAAGGGCTAAAGCAGATGCTAATTGCCCTGAGAAAGATGAGTCCCACATCAGCCGATCTCTACAGCATCAGCTGGTTTCCAAACACGTGAACAACAGCCTGATGTGTTCTTACCACCCACCTTGTAATTGAGAGGCAGACAGATGACTCTAAGATAATTATGAGCTTGGAGCATCTGATGGATGAGGAGAGGCTGAGGGCTGGGACTGGTCAGCCTGGAGAAGACTCTGGGGGATCCCATCCGTGTGTGCAGATACTCGATGAGGAGAGCACAGAAGGTGGTGCCAGACTCTTCTCAGCCCAGGGGCAGGATGAGAGGCACAAATTGAAGTAAAAAAAACAGAAGAGAAATTTCACTAAAACATAAGAAAACACTTTTTTTTTACTGCAAGTGGTGTTGACTACAGGAGCAGGTCGCCTGCTGAAGTTGAGGTCACTGCTCATCCTTGGAGATGCCCAAGTGGCCACGGCCATGAGCACCCTGCTTTGGGCAGGGGTGGCACGGGGCTTTCCGAGCCCAGCAGCAGTGGCTGCACCAGCTCCTCCAGCAGATCAAGGCCAAGGGGTGCTCTGGGTGTTACATCTGCAACCCCCCAGCTGCTGGGAGAAGCACTTCAAGGTATTAGGTTAGATATCGGGAATGAAAAAAATTAGAGCAAATTTTGATCAACCTGCTCATGGGAAAAGCAAATCCGGCAGCAGGAGACAAAGCCCAGGGTCATTCAGGCTGGGATGGACCTCAGGAGGTCTTCAGTCCAACCTCCTGCTCACAGTAGGGTAGGTACCAAATTCAGACCACATTGTACAGGCCTTTGCCCAGCCAATTCTTTAAAATCTCCAAAGAGAGAGATCCCACCACCTCTCTGAGCCCTGGTCCAGTACCCAGCTGTCCCCAGAGAGAATTTTTTGTTCTATCCAGCCAGAACATTCTCTTCTCCCATTTATTCTAGTGATGTCCTCTCCTCCCAGCACCCACCTCTGTAAGAGCTTGGCTCCATCTTCTCCAGTACCTGAAGGGGTGGCAAAAGCCCATCTCTCTCAATCTCCTATTTGGCCAGGTGTTCCCAGCCCCTGGCCATCTGGCAGCCCTCTACTGAGCCCCTTCTACATTATCAACATCTTTCTTGGGCGGGGGGTGTGTGGTGTGGAAGGCAGGTGATATTCCAGATGTGGTCGAACAAGTGCCAAGGAGACACTTGTTGATCACTTCCCTTACCCACCTGCTGCACTCCTGCGAGCACAGCCTGGCAGAGCAGCCCTCGCTGCCTTAAGCCAGGCTTAGCTTGCTCTCCCCGGGGGCTCTGACTGCAGAGCTGCTCCCCAGCCAGTCACTGCCAAGTGCACCAGCGGGCACCAGTACAACGGTTCCGAGGCTCCTTCCCAGGTGTAGGATCTTGCATCTGTCCTTTCCCAAGGTCTGCGCCTCTGTAAACGGTGACCCTGTCCTCAAGCTCACCCGCTTCCCCCCAGCGTGGCGCTTTACACAAAACCCGAGCGCATCCTCTCTCTTCCCCTAGTTGACTGGTACGCGGGCCCCGCCTGTGAAGACAACCTTCCAGTTCTGTGGACTTTGTCCAGCTCCTCATTCTCCAAACCTGCCCCGACCCGCAGTGACAGTGCCGAGGCCGGGCACGGAGCAGGATGACCACCAGGTTACCTGCACGCTTGCCCCTCCCGTTTCGGGCAGACTGAGTGGGCAGGACACCAAACAGCAACACCGCAACGGGGCCTCTCCCACCCCACCAAAGACTTCTGACAGGCGTGGGGCAATCCCGCCTTGTTCCTAGCGCAAACTGGCATGTGGAATAAAACCAATTTTGTCAGCTGGCCAACTAAAGTTGAGGGTTAAGAAGCACAACATGGAGGATGGAAGTGGTAAAAATAGGCCGTTTCAGAAACTGCTTCCTATTGACTGAATTCATGGGTGTGCATGAGCGCAGAGAGAAATATATACATACATATATAAATGTGCATGCATATGTAATCCTAAAGTAGATAACTCTTTGTGGAAACCAGCTTCGTATCATCTCCCCATGCAAAGTATGAGAAGTGAGAGCACCTGGGGGGAAAGCAGGGGCTTCAGAGAACAGAGGCTCTCGGGGAGTGGGAGGAGGCAGCATTCCCACACCAGCATCCAACTTTACCCATGCAGAAGACACTGAGAATCCAAACTGATACTGGGCAAGGCTGTTACCTAGTGCACAGTTTCTGTCATTATAAAAGGTGACCATTTAGATTTAATTTATATCTAATCAGCCTTTTGATATACATAAATACACTTTTTAAATTCTGTAAGAAAAAAGGTTACAGTTATCTCTTTGTGCACAAAGCAACAAGCCATCTGAAAAGACTGGCTTCTCAGTTTCTCACCGTGAGAAGCTTCCCAGAACAAAGAGGCTGACCTACTTTCTGCTGCAGTACACACAAACCAGTCACCACTGATGGCAGTATAGTTATCCAGATAAATATACTGCAGGCTACCACATTTCATTAAGTCGTCAAACCATTTAATACGCCATTTTTCTCTGCCATGCTGAGAAGCTTTATTTGCAGGGAGTGCTGTCTTCTGGGTCTCACTGGGTATTCACTGCACATATCCCGAGGGCAGGAGGGTGGCCTTTGTGTTTTTTCTTGCTTTGGAAGAACAGCTGCATCGGTTAATTCGTTTGTGGTTAAACAAATTCCTTTCTAAAGCTCCATATAAGGAGCTTGCAGGCCTAGAGCTCTAAATAATCCCCTCCAATCTTTCTCTGGAATGTTGCTGTTGTTGCTGCTAATAATAATACAACCCAAATTATAGGACAATAACATTTATTTAGAGCATGAGGGATTCCACATTATACAAACCCTTAAATTTATTTTTTTTTGTTTCACTGGTCCATTTCTACAACAAATACATCAGATCTACTATATAATAAAATTATTTACATTTCCAAACAAGGTAGGGTTTTTTTATAAACCCTCTTACTGCTATTCACATACAGTACTTAAACAACAGCACAATACATTAATACCTAAAAATGACAACCCTGTATTCTAATTTGTTTATGAAAATTGGAAACAAATAAATTTACAATTGTCTTTCCCTCCCCTTCCATTTCATACAAAACACATTAACCTAATGTGCTAACCCTGGACTTCACTTTGTAAATCCAGGGGGTTTTAGAATAACCCAGTTTTTATAACTATTTATCTGTTTTTTAGAAAAAAAATCATTTATTTGGAACAGTATAATATTAAAATGACTTACTGTACAGAATTTTATTTAAAAAAGAAAAATCACAGCTCAAAATTGCTATCGGTAAATTCACACTCATTTACAAGTTTCATGTTTCCATGCAGTAATTTACTTGGATTTTCTTCTTTTTGACTGCATTGCACTGGCACTCGTTTCTGAAATTAAGAGAAGAAAAAAAGCATGGATACGGAGTCGGTAAGCCATTCACCAGAGGTGCACAGATTGCCCTTTTATTTTTCCAAAGTCACACCAGTAGAAACCTCTGAAGATCAGAATTTCCACAGAACCAGGACTGACTCTTCACAAGATGCAACACGAAGGGACCCTTTACCCTGGCGACAGCTGCCAGCAGCGAAACAACACAAACTTCCCCCAAGCTTCTGTTAGGACACTATTTCTGAGTGTTGTTAATTTAACACTTCTGAAGCTCTAACATAATGGCCTTAAAAATAAGAGTTGCCTATTTTTCAACTGGTCTCTAACTTGAGATCCCCACATGCCACAACTTGCTCAGCCGTACCACAGAAGGAAGTCTCCGTGAAACAGCAGTACAGCATTGGGCACAAACTGCATCAATCAGACCTGAGCATCATGGAGATGGTGTTATAAAAAAAACTTAGAACAGTATTTTGGAGCCTGCCATGCAAGTTAAAAATCTAGCTGTTTGAGTCCTTGGAAAGTGAAGTCATTAGAAAACAAGTCTCTTCAGTGTACAGTACGATTCACACAAGAACAGCTTATGCAGAAAGACACAAAACTGCAGCACTGTAGCAGAACAACCAGAAGCACTTGCAGAAGCTACAGTGAAAGCATATGACATTTTCAGTGCACTTACCAAGGCACTAAGTTTCCATTTCAAAACAAAAAAAGAGTAAGGACCAAGGGTATTTGCATCTTTACATCTTTTAAAAATGTGATTTTAAATGTTGGCAAGGTATCTTTGGCTCTCTACAGTATTTTTCAAAAGCTATCAGAGCTGTCTGTATTTTAAGAGTCAAAAGGGAAAAAATTTCCAAGGCATCTAAAACTAGAAAAGCAACGGTACAACTCCATGGCTGTTAAATGTTGTATTAAAAAAACTTCAACATTTCAAAATTTAACACACTCAAAGCTACAGTAAATGCTGAAACAGCCCTTGCCGGAAAGGTGCTCCAAAAAGTGAAAATACCAATACAGTACCAGTTTTCAGAAGTGAAACATCTTAACAGGCATGACTTCCAGTCACCGGAGTTCCCTCCAAGCAGCAATGCAGCTTTAAGTAGCTTGGTCAGCAGCAGCAGCAGCTGTAGCTGTTCCTGCTGCTGCTGAAGTTTCCGTGTTTGGGAGAACAAACGGGTCAGCAGCGGGCAGTACCTGTCCCAGTCCCTTGTGAGCATCACCAGCATCTCCCTCAGTTGCTTCTACCCAAAACCCGCATTCTGAAGTGTGCCATGTACATATGGATGAGGGCTGACTTTCAGTGTGTCCTCTTCTCTTGCAGTTATCCTTCTGCCTCCTCCTTCCTGATGCTTAGCAGGGGAATTCCTACACAAACTGGTGAAAGCCTACTTCTCTCTCCCTGATATATGTAAGCTTCTCATAACTGACATACTTATAATGACCTTAATCAGCCTCTATCTCAAAAGGTAACTTCTCCCACTCCTGCAATCTCTTTAACATGGATTACTGAGTTTCTCAGGACACAGATAATGTAACTATAGGTATCTAGGAGGAGGCCAGAAGCATACAAAACAAATGTGCTTGCTTAAGCTATGATTTACCAATAAAAATGCAGAAGAGAGTAGGCACAAGTGGCAAACCTCATTACACTTCTTCAGCTACCTCACTAATCCCCCAGCCTGTCCTCTTCCACAAGAGAGTCTTGTTTTGCTCATTTTCTCTACAACTTTGAAACAGGCAGTTGCTTGCATGGAGATAAGGTAAATCAAAGCCCAGGGTACTACACGGTAAGCTGGACCTGTATTTTCAAGCAAAACCCTTAGATACTGCAGCGGTTTCAGATGTATGTTTTAAAAACAATTATTTTACTTACAGAGGTAAACAAATAATACAGTCAGTACAAAACCCCTAAGTGAGTTCTGGTATTATTTAAATCTTATGTACTGTCATGTTCCCACATTTTCAGAATTTGACATGCCACTGGTTGTCATCTTTAGGTTTATTCATTACAGTACGTGGGGCAGGTCATACGTTTCAGATCCCCTCAAACTCAGGAAGGTACCACCAAATTGATTTTACATTGGCTTCACATTTTTCAAACTCTTCTTCACAATCATGATAGATAATTTATTTTTACAACACAGACTTAGATTCTTCTGCACAGTCCTGCTACAAGAAGTAAATTTAATTAAATTCAGCAGCCACAGAAGTGCAGAACATATAGGTCCCTCCGTGTAATCTCTGAGAGTCATCGCACAGTTATGTATAGCTGGGAGTCTTCTCTGACACTCTTAAAATGCAAATATTCTTACCATCAAACTTTAGTATCTTCAGTATGGAAAATGGTTGCTGAATTCAACTTGACTTCCTTTTATAATAATTTTATATTAATACCTCTTTGTTCTGCATGTTATCTTTAAAATATTGGTCGAATGTTGGCTCTTGACAGTCTCTCTCTACCCTCCCACACAACTTTTGTCCATCAGAATTTTTCTGACCCTTAAATGTAAGGAGCTGACACAGCTTCAGAATGCAGAATGGCACCGTGGACTGGGCACTCCAGTAATGACCATGTGTATCACACAAATGCTGCATACTTTGTTAAAGATTGTAACCCGTGTAGAAATAAGGCACGTCAGCAACTGCTAATGCGTTAATATCTGTAACTTTAGGATTTCACATGTTCTTGGAAATAACAGCTGAGGCTCCGTGCGCTAGCACACAGCACTCCTCGATGCTGCAGGCTGAACCCAGGCAGCGTTCTGAGCACTCCTGAACCACAGCATTTGGCTTCGCAAGAGCTGACCATGCACTTGGGAAGGCTTAAGCATTTGTCTTGTGTCTTTCAGTCTTCAGGGGAAAAAAAAAAAAAAAAAAAAAAAAGTCACTTTTTTACTTGAGTACAGTCCTTTTAACGGCAACACATTTCTGCCAAGAGAATTCAACTTCAACTAGGCAATCTTGCTGCACACTATGTTGAGGAGTACTGCAGAAAGCAAGTTCCACAAATTTAACAATGGGAATTTCATACAAGATTTACTGCCAGTACAGATGTTGGTAAATACTTCAACGCCAACCTGTGTCTAAATCATTGAAACTAGAGTTAAAAGCACACAACATTTACAAGCTGTAAACCACCGTTATGAGCCAGTTATTGAAAGGGGAAGTACGTTACTTCCTGCCCTCTCCAGAGAAATGATGGCTGTGCATTTTACCTTTTGCAGTGCTGGATGCAGATGCTGGTCTGGAAGACCTCTTGCGCTGTCCATTCTCTACAGTTTCCTGTGAAGCGGCAGAATCCTCTGTTCTTGAATTTCTTCTATTTGGAGTTTTAGACTTTTCACAATTCTCTTTTGTCTCATTACTAATAAAGTGGGACAAAATATTTCTGATGAAGTGTAAGAAGAATTATGTTTTTCTATGCAACTCAGACAAGCTGGAGGATGGACCGACACAGGTACCAGTTCCGGACTATTAGCACTGAAGATATGAAATGCTAGAGATACCAGAAGTTTTATCAGATGAAGAATGACCTGAGTAAGGCAGAGTATAGTCCATTTCTATTAAAAATTATCAGAGGATACAGAACTGAGAAGTCCTCAAAGAGAATATTTTCAACATTAGAAGACCAAGAAATTAGATGCATTATAAATTGTCTGCTCTGTTTTCCACAGGTGCCACCATTACTGAAGTCTAGGAAAAGCAAACAAGTTACATTAGAAACTGCTACGATATGGGAATACAGAGTTGAAATTGCAGATGAACATAAGGAGGTATTATGAACTCTTCAGCGAGTATGCCAGCTTTTGCTTTTACTAAAAAGACTCACTCCACTGATCCAAGTGATTTCCTCACATAGTAAAAAGTTCAAGGTTTATTTAAAACTTTCTTCAAGCTTTAAAGCTTGAAGTTAAAATAATTTTAAGTAGAGTGGAAATCCATGTTTCTTGTCACTGAGATAATAGATGGGAGTGCTGTATTTTGTAATTAAACTCCTCTTTTATTTTATCACTATTAACTCTGTAATTTCAGCCAGAGGTTTGGGTGTTTTCTCCTTAATATATTAATACCAGACAATTTCTGATGACTAAGTTGTTTCTGAAGATTAAACTAAACTTGTCTCCTGAGAATTCAACTGTAAGTAATTAATCAAATAAATAATTGTGCTGATAATGGGAAAGGAGAAAGAAAACTAATTTCATGTCCTTTGGGTGACACTTGCAAGACCGCAAGAAATGCTGCCTTAAATCAGGGAACTGACTGGAAACACACAGAGCAGACCTGTGTGTAACACAGGTTCCTCCACTACAGTGTCACTGTGTCAGAGGAAGTCCTGCTATGAGGGGAAAAACTAATAAAAATACTGGTAGTTTTAAGTAAGAGATATCTAAAATAAAACTCAGTTTGTCAATGAAAGGAGAGATAAACATTCCCAAGCAAGGAAACACGCAGTAGAGGAGAATATGGAAGCATGTGGATTGTCTCATATACAAATACATACTGAAAACTATTTCCCCCTAAGTCAGTATTATGGGCAATCTATAAACCAAATCCCTCAAACAGGTCACAAACTGGTCTTATGCTAAGTGACCAGCAGCTGAAACAACAGCCACCTACTTCAGAGGATACCTGGAGGTAACCAAACAAGCATCATCTGCTGAAGCTTAGTTATTACAGGTAATTTTTACAGATTCTAGTGACTAATTCATAGCTTGGGTTGTCTCATAGGAACCAACACATCAATTCTTTTATAGGAGGAAACCATGTTGGCCCAAGTAAAAATATTTCTAGTGCTTTGTAGGTTGCAACGTTCCTCTAAGGTTTGTACCATATGGTGTTCAACTCCAGGATCTCAAAGCTGACCTCTGTGAGTATCAGCCATCACTAGATTCACAGTTTGCCTGAAAACTTTCCTTCTTTTCTGGTCTTGCTGAGAAAAGCATCAGTTCAAAAAAATCCAAACAGAAAGGCACTTGTGGTAATTTAGTGTGCTGGATGAGTTTAGAGAATGGTCACACAAGGACCCTTCATTTGGAGAATCCACTCATCTGCCAAGTGCCGCACCTTCAGCTTTTTAGAAAAATTCTACCCTAAAGAAAACTTGTCGTGAAATTTCAGTTCATATTTGACACAACTAGAAAGATCCCAATCCATGTGAAGGTATAGTTAAATATTCAATTCAGAGTCATTCCTGATCTGAGTGTATTGCATTACCTCCCTTACAAAAAGAAGACACTGCCTTATTTCCTGATGACCCAAATGAGTGAATTGCACCTCTTACCCTGGCTTAGGGGATCGCTCCACTGACAATGGCAGCATCAAAAACCCAGCCAGTTGTGCCCGCACAGTTATCCAAAAACCTTACTAAGGTCTGTCATTACAGCTGCCTAGACTGACTCTAAGAGCCTGGTGGGTTTCGAATCTAATAACATAAATAGAAGTTGGAAACCCTATTCACTTCTGACAGAACACAACCATTTGAAATTTGATCTTTTAATTACTGACTGGGAACAGGGGCTTTCCTATCAGGCTCTTCAAAGCATTAACAAGCAAACACAGGGAAATTGGAGAAAACAGTCACTAAGGCAGAAGAACCACCTTTAGATAGACCTACTGTCAGAAAACAAAAATTCACGTGACAGCTAAGCTGCAGGCTTTGCAGATTTTAATTTTGATTTGTTTTCAGAAAGTATCGAACAGTGGAACCATCAAAACCCTTCCAGGACATGAAACACTGAGGCCTGAAGGGATAAGAGGAAACACTGCCCAAAGCATGAAGACAGACCCGGGAAAAAGTTACCTTACATTCTGCAGTTCAGCAATGTTTTGAAACATTCAAGTAGCCCAATTTCTTAGCAGGACAGAAAGAGTATGGACAAGAAAATGAAAAGCAGTAGCAGAAGTTGTTCAATTGAAGCAAAGAGAAAGGGATTTCCACCCATAAAGCTATATCTATTCTGAATCTACATAAACTATCTCCTTACCTTTGACCAGCAACTACTGGAGCATTTGTTTCAAGTTCTACAAGAGAAAAAGATAATTTTAAAGTCATCTGTAGAAGTACATACCTGCTGACAAGGCATGACTATCTCACATCTTTCTCATTATGTATTAGGTCTGAAGAATAAACTTCTCTCATCTATAGTTTCTCCGAAAGCAAAGCAAGCTCACATAACAAAGGACCACATCAGCCAAGTGCTCTTTCTGATTATGGCCTGCATCAGCTAAGGCAGAGAAAAGTTAAAAGTAACCCTACAGAAGAAAAATGTAGAGAAACTTCCTGACAAGGGCTACAGTCCTTTCCCTTTTCAATGTCCATTTTAGACAATTTATTCCTTCTAATACTTCTAGGTTTTACTAGTTTTAAACCTTAAAAACACTAATCTAGATCTACTATGCACGTAAAATTTTGCCTTAACCCTCTAATGCAAAGGAAGACAATTTTCTGAAGCCCAATTATACTTCTGCTGAATTGGGAAAAAAAACTCTTGGGAGATGATGATGGGCAAAGTCTGACCTGCCCTTTTTCTCTCATTCTCTTACAGGGATTTTATACATACAGATCAGGTTTCCTTTCGAGCCTTCACCACAATAAACAGCTCTCCTTTTTATCATATAAAATTTCTAATCTTTTTACTGTCCATCTTTTAATTTTCCCCATATCCACCAAATCCTTTGTTATGAAGGAGTATCTATACCTAAACACAGCAATTCTCATAAGAAACTGCCACTGATTTAGGGATTACCATTACAATGTAATGTATTAACTCACTGTTTGTTTGTCACATTGCCTACAGTGTACTCCATCTCACCCTTAAACACCCTACATTCTTTAGGACAGTGGCACACAACACTGTGGCTTTGCCTTTAAGATCAATTTAGTACCCAAAGTAGTTTACTAGAGTGTGCACAAGAAATAAAGGTGTAAAAAAAAAATAAGAAAACAGATAATATCTGCCCTCTTATGATAAATACCCCTTACAATTTGTATTGTTGGAACATCAGACTCTTCAGTGTAAGTGTACACAGCACTGTCTGGGAAAAAACAGATGTCTCGGTAACAAAAGAAAAATTAGACTAAACAGCACAAGGAAAGAGTCACTTTTCTCCCTACCTAAAATTTGAATAGGGAGACAATCCAATAGTAAAAACTGGTAACATCAGTGCTTCCCCCCCAGTAGGAACTCCCTAATAGAGCCACATCAGCACTGGGGCAATGAGTTGGATGTAATGGACAGAGTACATTAATGTCTTTGTTTAAGTGGAAGTTCAAAGACAGCAATTTGGTACAATTTTTACTCTCTGAAAGCTCTACTTCTTATCATATTAGAGGTGGCATATTGATGGAGAGTGGCACTTTCCATGTGCAAGTCCATGTCTATCCATTTTCCCTCCTCATCTTCAAAAATACTTTTTTTTAAACAACACAGAATTGATGGTGAAACACCAGGATAATAGATGGCAACAACAAAAAGTCATCTGCCAGGGCTCTTATCTTTGAAACACTGCCGAGGGTTCATTAAAAGCCGAACAGAAAAAAAAAAGGATTACAATTCTAAAACTTGAGTTCCCAGCATGGCTTTTGGAAATATTTTCAGAAACGTCCAATATAGAAGAAAAACTCCTATTTGCTCTTAACAAAACTTCAGAACTCAAACACAATGCATCATTACAAATACAGTCCCTCCAGCTTATGACTGAATATCCAAAAAACACCTTGGTGATTTTTATATGTTTTACCTGATCCCATACCGAATCTCCAACAAGGCTTTAGAGACTTGTAAAGCACAATGTATCTAACAAAGAAAAGCAATCCCAAAAGCACAAATAATAAAAAAACAACCCAACCCCCAAACTACCAAGCATATTAGTGACCATTAAATATGCATTAAATCAAATGCATTTTTAGTTATAAACATAAAAAATTTAGTTCACCTATATTCTGCTTTTCCAGTGTAAGATTTACCTGTTCTTTGAACAGTACTTTCTGATGTTGCAACTGAACTTTTTTTCTGTGTTAAATGTTGAGAGGATGCTAGAATAAAAGTGAAGGGAAAAAGCATTATTTTAGAGGGAGTCACAAGCATTTTCTGTTGTGTGATTGGGCTGCTTTTACAAAATGCTCTACCTTCCAGCTTACTGCATTTTTCCATTTACAGGTGCAATTTTTTTAACCTATCTTCTACTTTCCCACCACCACACACACTTCCCCAGTTTTTTAAAAAAAAAACTTTGGCAAAACTATCCCAAGCAAGTTTTCTTGAACTAGAGTAAGTGTATCATAAAACACATTTTTAAAGGTAACAGTTTTTCACCAGACTGAGAAATTAAAGAAAGCCCTAGAAATTAAAGAGTTTAGTCTCAGTTTCATGCTCATCTCAACAGAAGCTCTGGGGGAAAACAGCATCTTTGTTAATGCATCAGTGCCCTCAGTCTTTCAATTAAACTGAAAAATATGCTCTAGAGTCTTCCTTGAACTCCTTTGGCAATAATATGATGTGACTTAACGCTTCTTAGGATGCCAAGTTAAAAAATAAGATGGAAAACCAATTCTTGTCATGCGCTAATGCCTTCTAGTCTTCTATGTGATAGTGAAATTATGAAGAACATGAAGACAAAACATTAAATTTATGTTTAAATCAAGAATATTCAGTTCCATTTTTCTCCTAACAAACCAGAATTCCTCTTGTGAAGCTCAAAGAAAACATTTCAGTTCTCTAGTGGCATACAGCTACAACATACATCTAACAGTCACAGGGACATCACATTCAAGCTGAAGTTCTCAGTTCCACTGACTGCTGTGGATTTTATCTTCCATGATTTTATCTTCTGTGTCTGAATTTATGATGCCAAGCACAGTGGATATTTAAACATCTTCAAGAGTGATTGTTTATTTCCACACCATTTTAAACAGATTAAAAATGGCATCAAGAAATAGCAGCAATGTCAGTCTGTCAGATGCTCAAATTAAAATAGTAAAGGAGAAAAAAGTTCAGATGTGAAGATACTTCACATTTTTGAAGTGGGTGTAATTTACTTACAATCACTTTTCCAGTTATTTCCCTGAAATGAGCATTTTAATTTTTCCCTAGACATAATGGGGTTTGTGTGTGTTTGGTTTTTTTGTTTGTTTGTTTTTGTTTTGTTTTTCTTTTTTTTCTTTTTTTTGTTTGTTTTTTTTTTGTTTTGTTTTGGGGTTTTTTTGTTTGGTTTTTTTTTGGGGTTTTTTTGTTTGTTTGTTTTTTGTTTTTTGTTTTTTTTTTTCTCCTGGAGGTTATTCGCTATTCCCCAAGAGAGTTTAGGTTATTCAAAGAGGGAATTAGGATTAACTCAAAATATCATAATTAAGTCAATAAATTGAAATAAATTACAAAAATAGAAAGTCTCTGGCAAGAGTGAAGGAGAATACCAGTGTATCTACCCGTATCAAAGGCACCTTAAGTATTTCTTTTGTCATTACCGATACATCCACTTTTCCTCGCCACTTCTAACAGTTATGTGAAGACACTCCTCTCTTATTGCATCATATGTTCATGACAAATACCTCAATTAAGGAGCAAATGGAAATCAAACACCGGAAACGTGAATCTTAGTGAAATACAAGCCTGTGTATCACCCAGATATTACAAACAAAAAAGCAGTTGTCAGTCTCAGCTACAGTGTCTAAATTTTATTATGTTTGTGGAAAAATGCACCTAGGAAGTTTACAAAAGCAATCTCATTTCTTCCATTTATGCAGGGTAGCATTGGACTTACCTGCAATTTGTAGCAGTTCCTGATGCGCTCCTGCTTTTTCCTCTGCCACACCAACCCCCGCTTGCTCAGCTGGTAAGCCGCTGTGGTTACTACCATTAGTGCTGGGTGCTGCAGCCGCAGGGTCTGGGACTGCAGGAGTGGTTACAACCGACAGTACACTTGTAGGAGGAGTGCTTGTTGATACACTTGGAGACAAGGAGGCAGGAGCAGCAGCTGCAGTGCTGACACTCGAATTGCCAGGCCCAGAAGTGCTCTGTTTTATAAGACTGGGTGCTGGAGGTATCACAGTTTTATTATCTAGTTCTGCTGGTGATTGCTCTGTTCCCAAACTATTTGAGACTGATGTTTCCAGTCCCTGACCTTCTGCTTCTCCATCCAGAGCATATTGCTCTTCCCCTTTCTCAAGGGAGCCAGTGACTTTCTTGCATGCTTTAGTCAGCAAGAGTTGGCCAATCTTGTCTACTTTTCCTTTTCCCTTACTCGATGAAACAGGGCTGCGTCTGTTCCCAGATCCCGGACTACTCGTAAGAAGAGGTGAAACAACAGGCCCAGACTGCGTTGCTGTAACAGAGCCCTGCTCACTTGACCCACCGCTTTGAGAAGAAGTCTCCTCTGGGCTGAAGTCTTTGACTCGCTGAGCGGGAAGATGGGAAGGAACACTGGAAGCAGTTGTAGCGGGAGAAGGCAGCTGAACAGGAGGTGCCAAGGGATTAAGAACAAGCGGCCTGCTGGTGGGAATACTAGAAACAGGACTGCTGGATGACGTGCTGGGAGGAGTGGGCCCAGAGGAAAACTTTATATTCTGTGGTATGTGCAAAGGACCAACAACTGCGACCGACTGAGGCATCAGACTAGAGTTAGAAGTCATGGGGGCTGCTGGAATAGTACTTGACTGAGAGCCCTTCATTACCTGAATTATTGACGATGAGTTTATAAAAACGGGTGTAATAAACTGTGGCCGGGCATTAGACTGAACTCCTGACTGTCCCTCAGAAACCATAACTTTGCTCCCTACGTTGGGCATTGTGACAACAGTTGACACTAACGCAGGTTGCAAGTGAGATGGCAACGGTGCTGATGTATTAGCAGAAGATGTAATAGGGTTTGAAGTTACAAAAACTGTTATCTGGTTGGGGGGCAAAGGACCTGAAATAGAAGAAGAGCTGACAGGCCTTTGCATTACTGGAGGAACACTCTGTGCAACATTTGAGTTTATTTCTCCCAAGTCCTGGTGCCCTGTATTTGTACCGGGCTCATTATTTTGAGGCAAGCTAAGTGAGTTAGATGGCTCTTTGCCTGAGAATGAATCTTGCAGTGGAGGAATGACAGCTACCTTCTTTAGCTCCTCACCAGTGGTGACTATTGGTGCCATTTCAAGACCAGTCAGCCCAGGGGGCTTAATGGTTACGTTAGGAGCTCCAGAATTATCAAGAAGTTGACTTAAAGAAGTTGGTGCCTCCCTCATAGCTGGAGAGACCATGGTTTTACTTTCCTCCAAGACTGGAAGCTTAGTGGTGTCTAAGGCTTGCCCATCTTTTTTTGACTGTTCTTCTGGAACCAACATTTTAATTTCTGGAGTAGGGATACCTTTTAGTTCAATACTGGGCTGGTCTTTGTTACCTTGGACACCTTGTACACTTTGACACTCATTATCTTGAGGCACACTAAGGCTCTCTTTATTGTCTTCAGGAATGCCAGTCATAGCAGGTACAGAAATTGCAGGATTCTGATTATTTAGCATGTTATTATTTTGAAAACTTGTAGTCACAGGTGTTGGCAAAGAAGAGGGACCAGCCATCATACTTCTTTGTAATTCCATGTTCTGCAGGAGAGGTGGATTCTGCTGAGCTGTCAATGATAATTTAGCTGCTTTTGAATTCTGTCTGCCAGGGCTTGGTGTAGTTTTTCTACTGGATCCAGGACTGGACCTTCGACTATTGCTTGGACTTGCTCTCTTTGTTCCTCCAGAGTTGGTTTGTTTTCCTGAATTAATGACCACGCCTTCCAATTTGTGTGACTGTGGGGCAGCAAAACTAGACTGATTGTTAATCGTGAGATTTGATGGGGCCTGTCCAATGGCCTTCAAAGTAGTGGGATTAAGACCCTGCTGATCAAATCCTCTATTGAGATTAGGTCTGGGAGGTAAAGGAATATTAATCTGGGGAGGGAAAAGACCAGCTATAGAAGCATTGAGTCTCTCTGGAGACAAGCTAATTTCTGATGGTTCTGTGCTAGGCGGACGGTTATTAGGAGTCTGAGGATAGTATGGCCTTGGGCTTGCTCTGTTTGGGGTTTTAGGCCTTGAAGTTTGAGATGGGGTGGCAACATTTGGAAAATGGTGTGTAAGAGCGCCAGGCAGAGTATTAGACTGCTGCTGGGGACTTGCACCTTGGGCAGTTGAAAGTGGGGATGGTCCAGGCTTGGGTCCTGTCATCAGTACTTGGTTCTGTGAAACTACTAAATGAGACGTCAAATTATTCTGAGCTCCTGATGCTGGGGGGCCTTCAGCTCCACTTCCTTCTGGAAGGGAGGATACTGATGAAACCTCTCCGAGGGGTGAGCTGGAAGGATTCTGTACGTTATCTTGATAAACCATTTTTCTTGCATTATTTCCCAGAGGAGGATTGCCAGGCAAGGAAATCCTTTGTTTATCAGGAGATGGAGGCACTGATCCAGGACCTTGGATGTTAACCATTACTGGCATGTTACCACTCTGCTGCATTGGCATTCGTTGAACATCTGGATTCAGAGGCCCTCTAGGTGGGTGAACTCCTTGTGGTACAGGAAGCCTGACTGATTTGGGATCCTGCTGCATCATAAGCATCATCATCATCTGCTGCTGCTGCTGCTGTGGTGTTTGTGGTGGTGCCTGGGCTTGCTGTGGTGGCGGCTGTGGCTGCTGCGCCTGCGGCTGCTGTGTATGTGGCATGAGTTGAGGTGGCATCTGCTGAAGTGGCCTTTGTTCCACTGGCTGAGATGGATAACCTAAGATGACAAAATGATACATTCATTAAAAACAACAAAAAAAAAAATCAGAAAAAGCAGAACTTGTTTAATGAACAGAATCAAATAAAATGTATAGCCAGGAGCCTGTTTCTCTTCTGCGAGAGCCACATTAATACAACAAGTTTATAAATACGGACAAAGATTTTACTTAATTTTTAAAGGTATTTTTACTTAATGTATGAATGGCTTGCATGACATTTAATTGGAGATCTCTTCGTGTACTTTACCAGCCACTAGCTATTACTCCAGATTCACGTCACCTGCAAAGTCTCTGCAACTGTCCATGGGCTTGCTTTTACTTACTAATGCAGAGCTGGATTTTCACTAATTAATACTCCTTAAAACAAAGAGTATGACAGGCCCTGTGGTACATGGACCAGCATATGTGCTACAGAGCTGACATTTTCTGGTGTACAAAGTAGAATCTGCCATGTATTACTTGGCCAAAAACAGTGCTAAAAACGACCCACGTGGCTTATAATATAAATTCCTTCACAGACTTTGGGTTTAATACTCCCTATGTGCAAATGGTAATTCGAACTGCAACCTCTACTTCTTAATTCTGAAAAATCAGCTATTGATTAATGTTTAATTTTTAAGGCATTAGTCTGTGCTACAGCTAGAAATACAGAAATTTTTTATCAATTGTGTTATGGCTGAGTAACTCTCCAGTATTCAATATGATACCTACAGGATGATACATCAGAATGTGGCCACCTCTTCATTTTGACCTAATTCAAAGAAAACAATTAAATAATGGTACCAGTACTTACTAGGAAGAAAAAACTCTGGATTTGAATGTGTGATAACACAAATAAAATAGAACTGTCACAAAGATTAGTTAAAAGCTCTTATAGTTAGTACATTCAGATAATCCACAGAAAAATCCTACTACCTGGTGGCCTACTTGCAAAATCTGAAAGTTTAGGGCCTGAATTATCTAAATTCATTCCTTGTTCTCCAGACATTGACGACTGATCACTCTCCTCCAGGCCAGCTGGACGTGGTTCTGAAGAACTGAAAGAAAAATAATTTCAATTAAGACCTAGCCCTCACATCAGTGTTTCACTTCTGCTTCCATAACTAAGTACTCAAGCAATTAATTCCTAGCACTTTTCACAGACCTGCAACTCACTAAAATGCACCACTACCTCTGATATAACGTAACAAACTTGAACACAGAGCCCAGGTCTGCTGACAGTTACTTCTATGCCCTAAATGCTACAGAAAAGGAAACGATTTGCCTGGTACTCTACTGATCTTAAACATTTCTTTCCTTTGTTTCTACCTTGAATCTGAGTTTTGTAACTAAGAGAATGACAATGGATATTTCAAATGACACAGACATATATATTTAATCAGCTTCCCTCTAATATCTTTGTGATGTCTGTATAGATTAGCAAGTATCATGAGTAGATGCACAGAAATTTATTTTAATGGTAGCACCATTTCTTCCAGTGTTGGACCCAGAAGTGACTAGCTCAGGGTATCAGAAACCTCTGTTAACATGTCAGCAAAAATGCACTGACATACCAGACATTGTAAGTCACCTGCCAGAGAACAGACCTTTGTGGGATACAGAGGCTCTGTGAGTGATCACAGAATGGTTTGGGTTGGAAGGGACCTTAAAGCCCCCCCAGTGCCATCCCCTGCCCCGGGCAGGGCCCCCTTCCCCCAGCCCAGGGGGCTCCCAGCCCCGTCCAACCTGGCCTTGAACCCTTCCAGGGAGGGGGCAGCCACAGCTGCTTTGGGCACCCTGGGCCAGCGCCTCACCCCCCGCACAGGGAAGGATTTCTGCCTTACCTGTCATCTAAATCTGCCCTCTTTCAGTTTAAACCCGTCACCCCTCATCCTATCCCCATCCCCTGACCCAGAGTCCCCCCCCACCTCTCCTGCCCCCCCCTTTAAGCCCTGGGAGGCCGCTCGAAGGGCTCCCCGGAGCCTTCTCTTCTCCAGGCTGAACCCCCCCAACTCTCTCAGCCCGGCCTCCCAGGGGAGCTGCTCCAGCCCCCCCAGCATCTTCGTGGCCTCCTCTGGCCCCGCTCGAGCAGCTCCGGGTCCTTCTGCTGTTGGGGGCCCCCGAGCTGGCCCCGGCACTGCAGGGGGGTCTCCCCAGAGCGGAGCAGAGGGGGAGAATCCCCTCCCTGGCCCTGCTGCCCCCCCTGCTCTGGCTGCAGCCCAGGGCACAGGTGGGTTCTGGGCTGAGAGCGCACGGGGCTGGCTCACAGGCAGTTTTCCATCCACTAATACCCCCATGTTGTTCTCCAGGGGTACCTGATGCACCAGGAGACTGTAGGACAATTTAAAATTGTTCAGATTCAATGCCCAATACTTCCACTGAATCAAGACAGCTTCTGCAGACTTAGAATAAAACAAGTTTCTATAGCAATCAATATATATATATGGTCAGAGGATGTAAGATAAAGAGAGATGAAAAGACTTTAACTGCTTATTGGCTTCATGAAGGCTATAGGGAGATCTATGTAATAAAAGCTCCAAGTTAACATTAAAGATGTCAAAATAAGTCCACTGACAACAAAGAGAGGCAGAATCACGCAGAAATGCCAAGGACAAAAGAAATTTTCAGCAAAAGAAGAATGTGAAGCATATAAAGGCAGAGATCTATCGTATTTGATATGAGAGTTAACAGTTTCTGGGATCCATGCAGCTGACATGGAAAGACCCAGGCCTGTCCTAATGTCCTATTAACTACTCGACCAACGTCCAAAAAGCAGTATGTGACTTGAAAATCCCTGAACTTTCACAGGTCAAAACTGGGTAGAACATAAACCAAGAGAGAAGAAAGATAAGAAATGGGGCAAACACAGAACCATTCCAAGCACTGCTGCTGAGTGGGCAAGTATTGCCAAGGAAAGCAGCTGGAGTGAACCCTTTTGTCTAATCCAGCACACCACCAACTTTTGTGACTCAGTTGTTGTATGTTTACATGCCTCCACCAATAAATTTGATGGAAACTGGTAAAATGCATACACATGCCCCAGAAGCATTCTATTAGCAGCCACAAATAAACAAAAATTCTGGCAGCAAAATCACCCAAAGGAACTGCAGCCTTTGATGCAGGTGCCAGCAACATGACCTCGAATAACTGCCTAAAATTGCGAATACAAACTTAAATTTGTAATTTTGCTATTTATGATTTCTTTATAATGGTGGGAGATGAAAAACGCTACATTTAAAGGTCAGATAAAAGCTGATGCAGAGTATCAATGCACAAACGGGTTTAACCTAGAACACAATCATAGTACAAAATCAATTCTTAGAAAACATCTCCTTCCAGATGGGCCTAATTGGGCAAGCTACACAAACCTTGCAAAACAGGCATGAGTTTTATTTGCTAGCAAAGAAGAGCAGTTACTATAGGAAAGATTGCTACTGTAATTGCTGGAAAATGTAAACATAACTTCAATTTTGAATGTAGCTGAAATTCACTGGGCATATTTAGCAACCACCACTCACCAATAAAACCCAAATTTTGAATACAGATAACAAGCAAGATGAGAAGTTTCTGTAAGAGGGACAAATATTCCATATTTTTTCTTCTTTCCTATTGCTCTGGATGTTAAAAAAACCCAAACAAACTACATTAAGTACAGCATGGATTGTCATAAGTGAACCCTTTGTTCCACCAGCTGCATTCTCAAGCACAACCTTCAGATACAAAATCCTTCATCAGAGTAGAGAGAGAAGTCCAGAAGACAAAAAAAAACCCAAAACAAAACCAAAAAGGGCTGCAGATGCTGAAATAAGGTGTGCAAAAATAAAATTACACTACAGATGCAAGCAGAACCAGCCCTGCCAACACAGTACAACGCTCTGAAACAACCTGCCCTTACAGAAAGGCACTTGTCCTCTGATATTAAATGAGCTTCATTTCCCATGTTTACAGGGGGACTGTCACCTCCAGACCTACAGTTAAAAGCTCTCTGAATCTGGTTGAGAAAAACTTCTTTGTCCTGCAGTGCTGTCCACCATCTGCACATCACACTTCACACTGAATACTGCAATCACTTTTAAACAACCTACTTTTCCTGATGTTGAGTTGCTCAATTAAGCAAACCCTTAAAACTATTTTAGTCAGCTGAATAAACTCTTTCAATAGCTCACTTATCCTATTTACATTCCAATATGGCTCAGTCTACAAACCATATTACTAATGGTACTTTTGTTACTGTATTATTACAACTCAGAAATTATTTCTATGCAAAAAAAAACCAGTAATTTTTAGCATGTTCATCAAATTAGCTGCATTTCCACACAAGGTTTGCTGTTCTGAATTCTAAAATTTCTGAGGCAGAATGACAAAGAAGAAGAGATGAAAAGCATCCTATTTGTTTCTGATGCAGAAGGAAGTGATCCAAATCAGATTTAACAGAATCAGCAATTCCAAGATAGGAAAATGCTGAGCTTGCCTAATGATGCTGGGGAAGCCAAGAACGAATGAGGCAGGAAGGTATTACAGCCAGCTTTCACTGCAGTCGCCCTCCTTTTGCTGGAGAATAATCTCAAAAAACATTTATAAGTATAGCTCCCTTCTTAATGCTCCTGCAAGGATAAAATTATTAATATATAGCCCATTAAGAAACAAAATGCTAATCCATATCAGGTGCCAAAACAGTATTCTGCAGGTAGCAATGGCAAGAGAACACTCACTGAAAATTTAAGTGATAGAATACGTACAAAGTGGTATTTCCTTTGTTAAGCATACTGAAATCTGATTAAAAGCCTTAAGAGCTAAGAATTCTTTTGAATTGTCATACTTCAGTCGGAAAGCTGTAATTTAGGCTGCTTTTATTGCGAACACTTTTTACCAAGCAAAGAGTCTTGTGGGGCTTTGTAAGCTCAGAGGAGAGCTTTATATATACATTTATTAATATTCCCAGGCCACATTGAATCTGGGTGATCATCAGTAAGAACAGTGAAAGCAAAATCCTAACAAGGCTTTTCTTTAACAACGGATTTTCTTTTCAGAAGAGAGTGCCAACTCATTTGCTCTATCTGAACCCTCCATCATCTCCATGGTAAGACAGTTTGCTACAGTAGTGGTTACTATTATTTTATTGGAAACTATTTAGAATTGAAGCATTTTATTTTTTACACATAGCACCAGATCTTTCCTACCTAGAAATGTAAGACATTGTTATTGTTTGAAAGATGTCTGGATAGCTCTGAATGTCAGCTGAACAACAAACAGGAAAATATCTGCTTGCTATTTATTTGAGACTCCCTGCAGAATCTAAAGTACCAAAAGCAGGAAGATGCACATTCTACTATTCTTTACAACTGGATCACGACACTGCCTTGTGCAATACACTCTTACAACCCACTCTTGCTAAATTACTTGCACTTAAAATTTCTGGAATGGCAAAATGAAGACACCTACATGCCTTCATGTATCTCCCTTCCATGTAGCCCCAGTACCACAGCTAGAAAGCTTGGCACACCACCACGTACAGCCCTGCCCTGCTCCTCGCAGCAGCACTGCAGCAGGATGGGCCATGGTTCCCCGGGCCCACCCACCGCGGCACAAAGGAGCCCCGTTCTACACAGTTCAGAAGCTGATGAGGCATAACAAGTGAGGCACTGCAAGAGATGAGCTGGTATCTCAGTTATGGTTTCCAAGTCACCCCGAAGTTGCAGTCTGTTCACACCTTGGCCACTTAGTTCTAGCTGAGTTAGTTTGCACAGCTGGCCATAGACTGTACTCCTTCAGATTTAATCTGACATCGTGGCTTGTTTTGCAAGCACTGAGCTGACAAGCCATACCATGACCTCATGTAATTATACAGCATGTATTTAAAAGACTTCTTTCAAGACCTATTAAATTATACCATGCTTTGCTTTACACCTTTGCTATGCAGCATTTCTGCACCTCCAAAGTGCACATAACAGCTCCTGCATTTTATTTTAGTACTAATTAAGCCAATTAATGATCGTCACAAAACATCACTTGCTATAGATGACTTGAGTGGTTTCAGTCCAGAACCAAAATGTCCATGAGAAAATCAATTCCATCTTCATGAAGGAATCTTGACATTGTGCAGAAAATGCAGGCTGGGGCTATGCACTGAATAACCAAGGGAAAAAATAAAATATTGAATAATTCTTAGTACTTGAATGCCATCCACTCTTTGCACTGAACTGGACATCTGTCTCTGGAAAAGGTAGCATAAACTTCAGGTTAAAGACTTATAATGACTATTCAAAGGAATGTGACTGGTGGAATCAGAGCCACGCCAGTAGCTTAATGTGCCATTGCTACATTTTTGTTTGTTTTTAAGAATTTAACGTTGAAAATTGGATATTCATGTGTTAAAATTTTCTGTGCCAAGTTTTTCCTTTTTTTTTTTTCTAAAGCAAACTGGAAACGGTCCCCAGAAGTTCCATCAGGTGGATTCCCATCAATGCCCCTGTGGCCCATCTGCACCATCAGAATAATGAGAATCATATCTGCCTTTACCATTTTAGCTGAATAATGGTACAGCAGCAGTTGTCTACCACTCTGTCCTGGTATTAGTAGACTGCCAACAGCAAAAGGTTACAAGACAGCTGGCCAGTGAAGAATATGCTGGCCAAAAAGTAATGAAGAGATTCAGCAATCTCATATTTCCACTGAACAGGTACATTCATTATCTCTCAATATTATCAATTTGCCTCTTCCCTCTCAAGAGTTGTGGGTTTTTTTCCTTCCCAAACTCTCCTAGGCCAGGCACTGCTTGGGCTTGTTATCCTCATACTCAGAAAGTACCAGATTCCTCCCTCTACATTCTAGCTGCAGCTTCAACTGAAAGAGAAGTCTGGCTCAGCTCCAGACAGGATATACATATAATTCAGGAAACAACCCTGCAAAAACCTCTACTGCACATATTATATGGAGGCTTCTAGTTCTTCTGAAAGTACTTCCCAACCTCTGATTGTAGCTATCAGACCGCTTAAAAAAGGCAGCCTCCTCTTTCCAGGGCTGTGGCACCGTGTGCCACATTCTACACTTCCTTTACCCAGTAAATGTAAGGAACAGTGCTCTTGTAATTGGGTTTATAACCGAGCAGGGACGTTGGCATGGTTTTTTTTAAATCTTGAACGAACTTTCCAGTGGCAGACTTGCCAGCAGGTTATCATTTAACTCTTGAGAGAAATGGCTAAAATATGAAATAATACAGGTCCTTTCCCACCCCATACTTGCTGAAAAAATATTGACATTGTCTACGGAGCTTCCCCATGCCCCTTATAAAAATAATGCAATATTAAACATACGTTGCTTGTTCTAGTTGTTGATTATTTTTCTTCTTCCTTGGAGGCTTCTTCTTCTTTGGCTTGTTAGCATTCTGATTATTTTGTTTGTTGTTCACACCAAAGTGTCCTGCTGATATATCGCTTTGTAGAAGGTTAACCAAGAGTGGACTTGTGAGCGTAACATCTTTATTGACAGGAAAAACAGGATTCTGCCCACAGGAAATCTGATTCCCATTTGGCGTTCCACTAAACCCCGTATTGAAAGGCAGCCCATGGCCAGAGAAATGACTCCCTGAAGCACTGTTGTTTCCTTGCATTGCTTGCATATGAGAAGGCACCATGTTTGGCTGCTGCACAGGAACATCAGGTAACATCTGTGACAAGTTCACATCATTATTTGTTGTAGTAGCAGTATCCCCAAGTTGCTGAGATATGTGAGGACCAGGTCCAGTGGGTCTTAAAACTTGCCCTTGAATTCCCATAACCTGAGAAGGATTACCATTCACAGGGCCTTGCTGTGCCATCATCTGCCCAGTGAACTGCACCATGTTTCCTTGCATGTTTGGGGTTGGTCCTCTCATCAGTTGAGCTGGCCCCGTCATAACACTGGATTGGTTTTGAGTACTAAAGGGCTGTTTATTTCCTTGCATCTGAGTGGTCATCATCTGTTCCATCATCGAGTTTTGCTGCAACAAGACCTGGCCCTGAGGTCCCATCATCTGATTGTGTGTAGACATCATCTGTTGTCCCTGCTGGGGAATCATCTGTTTGGGTGGGGTCATCCTTTGGGGAGAAGGACCAAGATTTTGGTTTTGCGGTGTCACCATCATTTGGCCTTGCGGCATGAGCTGAGTTCGAGAAAGTATCATCTGGTTTTGAGGGTTCAGCGATCCCTGAGCCTGAATGTTTACCATCTGTCCTTGAGAGGATACAATTTGCTGATGCATTCCCATAAGCTGAGACTGTGGTCCTTGCTGAGGCTGTCCTTGTATGTTGCCCATGTTAACTTGTGGCACTCCACTAGCACCAGCCTGCTGGTTGTTCATGTTTCCATGAAGTCCCATTAGATTGGTCTGCATCATATTTGGTGGGCCATGTGGTGCTTGCATCTGATTTTGAGGAGGTCCAGATCCTTGACCACCTTAAAAAAAAAAACAAACCAAACAAAAAAAAAGCGCCAGTAAGAAACTGATTGGAGTGGTATAAGGGATTTCACAACTTTTGATGTTGAGTAAGTAATCCAAAATTGTTTTTCTCCCTTTACCAATGAACTTGAATATCTGACATATTTGCACTGCTGTGATGCAATGTTTGACGATACAGATACATGTTAGTTGTCAAAACAGAACACCATACTTCTAAAAATAAACACTTAGACCAGTACTTCACATGTACCCCACTGCAGAAGACATAAAAGAAGCTTAATTTCAGTTATCTGTATGCAAGTTTGAAAATCTTCCATAATATCACCTAACTCAACAGAGTAATTCCTAACCAAAATAAGCTTCAAACCTTTAGGTTATTTCATAATGGGTTAAAAAAATAAATATACATGGAGTTCTGATAACATGACATTATCAGGGTATCCATAATCCAGATAAAACAATAATAATTGCATTGTTAAATGGAAACCTTTGTGAACTAAAGATTTTTTTACACGCCTGACTGTAAGGAGTCTTCCAAAACTTTCAAAGTAACTAATAAATAATCTTTTCAAAGCAGAACGAGATTATGTTGTCATTCTGCTTCTAAAATAATAGCACACTTCTGGTTTTTTTTTTTCCTGCGCAAGAAGTTCCTTTTGTGTTGTATCTTTATTACCCCTAGCCTCCCAATTTCAGTGCTAGTTCCATTCAATTTCTTAACAGATACTTCTGGATCCTAGTATCACAGTCCTGATCAATAATAGTTGGGTTCTCTGAAAAACATGACCAGCCTCCTGCTTTTCTTTTCCCTATTTAGCAATATACACAGAATGCTCCTGAAGTCCCAGCTACCTAACTCCCTATTAATGACTACAGTTTATCATTTTGGTATCTGTATTACACAAGTAAAAGTGTAATTTTCTACAAAAAAGAAAAAACTGAGGAACACCACATTCCAAACAGACCTGTGTGCTGCACATTTTGGCTAGTTTGCAGCTGTGGCGCTCCGCTGTTCACCGGTGCTCCTGGAGCTGTGGAAGGCACCTGACCTTGCATGAAGTTCTGGTTGGCCTGGCCTGCAGGGAACCCTGGGGGGAGGCGCTTGGGCATTCCTGAACACAAGAATTTTCTTATTAGTAAGTATGGAAAATGGGAACAACAACAACAACAAAAGATAAAATCTATAATTGGAGTATGATAGGAAGAATACCTCAGAGTCTGTATTGCCACACTGCAAGTTTAGGCAGAAAGTCTTTTTTGCCAATATACAAAACCCACAATATATTTCTAGTTCGTATCTGTGTAATAATTCTGTCTAACAAGCTACTATGACTCAGTTCAAACTGTAATTTAAGTACACAACCCACATAGAAGGCAAAAAGTTCATGTTTGACTTCTTAAAAACTGAAAATTAAAGTAACATAGTTTGCTGTTTTCTTCTCTACTGCATCTCAACTCTAATCAGGCCCTTAACTTACTCCATGTACACAAACACAAATAACTTGCATTTTTGCTACAGTGATGTGCTCCTCTCAACAACAACTCTCACTATAACACACCAGATACACACTCCTTTGCACTGCTGTGGTATATACACACACTCAAAGCAACTTCTCAACCCAGACTGGTCTGAATAACCTCATGAGACACCATGTTCAGGCTCCAGAACGGCTGCTCATTCAGGTAACCCTGCTATTCCTCCTGCAAGAGCAAGGAATTCTATCAGGCCCCTATCTGGCATAATGCCCACACTTCTGACATATCAAAACATCACCACTACCCTGGCACAAGAGAGTAAAAATTCCCCTCTGCCAACTTCAGCAGCAGCATAAATGGGTTTAACAGAACCCACTTCTTTTTAACTTGCTGTCAAACATACGATGCCACAGACCTAGAAAGCAACCCTCTCCTCCCTTATTTTTCTGACCCACGACAGACAGACAGAATTTGGCTTCGGTTCGTTCTACAGTTACAGATTTCTTGCACGCTTAATTGTATTGCTTGTGTTAAGTCATTTGGTCTTAGATTTGTAACTAATATTTCAAGATAATCAAGTTTCCAGGTTAAGCAAGACACATGTGCAAATATGGAACGTATACTTCTTGAAATACCACATCACTAGACTCCAGTATCAGTTCTGCCAAGCTTTTAGGGAAGTTTTGCATATAGAGATGCTTGATCTGAGAAAAAAGAAGTGTTAACTCGGCCTACTCCAAATCTAATGCAAATTCTGATTTGTTAAATTAACTAGGTAAAATGGAAAGCGTTTGAATGTATTCATTTACTGCAAACTTTTAAATGCAAGATGGTTTAAAAATTGAAAAGTATGCTATTACAACTTAATTAACACAATACAAGATGGCTTAATAATGGAAATATCCATAATTACAACTTAATTAACATATGAATTACAGCAAGCAATAAGCATGCGCAGAAGGCAGGCAAAAATCTCAGCAAGTAGAAACAACACAGCTTCGTTGAAACCAATGGAATCCTGTCTTCTAAAATCAGCTGAGGATAGAGCTCACAGCAGGATTACTGATTTTAGCACTCTAGGGTGAGTCCAAGTAACGTATTTTGATAGTTTATTTTGGGTGCCATTTTTAACTCAAAATAGTAGGGTTTTGTTTGTAGTAGGCTTACTTAGAAAGGAAGGAGAATACAGAGGTTATACTATCTAAAGGTCGTGGCTATGACATCTAGAGAAAATGACTCCTGATGGGGACATATGGCTGGTGAGGCAAAACCGTAGAGAAACGTGACCGTAATAAATAATAAATAACTGCTTCCAGATGGAGACAAGATAAGATATACCAAGTATAGGGCACTGGCAGGTCCTAAGAACAGTCTGGAAGAGGAGAACCCTGAAACTGAGACAATTATTCTGAATCAAATTCATCTGAATTCAAATGAGACCCACGGTACAGAGAGTGAAAAGAAGCTTGTCCAGATCAGCAGACCAAGAAATGGGTATTCCTTACAGCTTCCTGGATGGATTTCAGATGTACAATGTGAGAATGAAAGAAATTAGAATATATATGTGTGCGTGTGGGCAGACAAAGAATATGGCTTATCATCTCTAAGTACATAAAGAAAATATTTCCAAGGTTTAAGTAAGAGCTTCTGTATGGGTATCTGAGAGCAGCCATTCAAGGGAAAGATGAACAAATGAGTGAGCAGAGAAGTGCTACAAGCCTGGCACAGAACTACAAAAAGCTCAAGGGGAAAAATCCACCAAGGACACAAAAGAGATCTTGGGATTGACAAATGAAATTCCTTCACTGTCAGAGAGGAATTCTAGGAGTAGTAAGTAAAAGACGTGAGTGCAGAGGTCTGAGAAGAGAACTAAAAACAACACAGCCAAAGGGGAAGTTAAAACATGCCTTGACCTCTTAATTTTAGAATAGGGAGTATAACAGCACGGCAATAAAAAGCTCTTTCTTCTTTTATATGGGAAGAAACTGATGACAAATAAAGACAAGGTCAAGAAGAGACATCCACAGCTTAGTAAGAAAGATGTAAAATAATGCCTCACTTCTGCTGTAGAAAATGGAAACATGGTGACAGAGGAAGCTGAAGAGAGAAAGAAAATGTTAATTTGTTCTTATTACACTCTTTCTCAAAAAAAAATGCCACCCCCCAAAAAAAAACAATAACCCCAAACCGAAACAAAAAACCTACACCATCTCTCAATATCCTGAATTTGCTTAAAGGCAAGAGACAAATGGCAGCCGTAACAAGCAACTGTATACAGCAATTTCTTTCTGCAGTGGCCCATGGTCTACCCTTAGGTTATCACTGCGACACTGCAGGATAGAGATACATAGTAGAAATTAAGTGATGCTGATGATAATTCACCTACGCTCACTTTATACTCAATCTATGCCTTTATTCTGTCTTTTAAAGGATCTTTTCAAAAGTAACAGCAACATCAGTTCTAGCCATTTTATGTTTCTTTTCTTTTTAAAATAAAAGAAGGTCTCAGTACTTCTTACCTCCTAAACCAGGGTGTAAACCTTGTGGACCTTGGTTTTGCTGCTGCATCACCATGAAGTTGGGGGGTACGTTCCCCTGTTGCACCATAGGATTACGACTAGGAGAACTGACAGGCTGCTGAAATCCCTGGGGAAGCGTGCTACTCTGGGGAGGCCTTGGTCCCATCTGCTGCTGCGTCTGGTTAACTGTTGGAGATGATGCAGGAGATCCCTGCTGGAAGGAGGAGGGAGAGGAAGCAGGAGACTTGTTGGTCAGGTGGGGTTGTTGCAGTGGTGTAGGAACCCGTGAGGGCCCTCCCTGAAGGCTTTTCATTTGAGGAGCAGTAAACTGGCCAGGATTGCTCATTTGGGGAAAGTTTGAGTGAGCCTGGGAAGCTTGCTGGCTTCCAAAAGGATATGGAGGTGGAGGATGAGTAGGAGTTTGTACTGTTGCTAGAGATGGTCTTGCTTGAAGCTGCTGCTGCATTTGTCCAGGCAATGGGGCCTTTTTCCAGCCCTGGTTTACTGTCAATGTACCCAATGCTCCCTGGGTTGGAGGAGGTTGAAGTGCTCCAGAAGGAAGCTGGTTCCAGCCAGGGGGAACTGGAACCTGTGCTGGTGAAGTAAATGAAGGTCGAATACCCTGCTGTGGCTGTTGATGTGGCTGGGGAGGACGTGTCTGCAACTGCGTCTGCTGCTGCAGCTGCTGAAAGTTGGCTGAGTTCATCTGCCTGTTTACAGGAACTGACTGCATTGAATGGAGCTGGGGAGCTAGAGATCCAGATGGATGGTTTTGCTGCTGGATATTTAGCCCAGATAAGAGTGGGTCCATTGCATCTATTAAAATAGCAAAGAAAAATATATAAAAAAAAAAAAAAATAACCTACTGTAGACAAAACCCACCCCAAACCAAGAGAGGGTAAATTGCTTGCTTGCATTTGCTTACTCCGCATAAAAATTCACACTCCAGTCTTCCAATTTCTCCAACAGACAGAACAGGCAATGCTCTACAAATTTTCAAAATGTTTGAGAATCCTAAGAAGCGAAGTCTTATCAATTTATAACCTCTACAATAAAGTACAATAGCTCCACAGCTCTTGCTGCTACAGACTAATGTACACCTTCTACATACTTAGAATTGCAGAATCACAGAATACCTCAAGTTGGCAGGGACCCATAAGGATAATCGAGTCCAACTCCCTGCTCCTCGCAGGGCTACCTAAAACTAAACCATACGACCAAGAGCATCGTCCAGATGCGCCTTGAACTCTGCCAGGCTTGGTGCTGTGACCACTTCCCTGGGGAGCCTGTTCCAGGGACCCACCACCCTCCCAGTGAAGAACCTTTTCCTAATGTCCAATCTGAACTTCCCCTGACGCAGCTCCATTCCATTTCCTCGTGTCCTATCGCTGGTCACCAGAGAGAGGAGATCAGCACCTCCCCCTCCGCTGCCCCCCTTGAGGAAGTTGTAGACTGCGATGAGGGCACCCCTCAGCCTTCTCTTCTCCAAGCTGAACAAGCCAAGTGACCTCAGCCGCTCCTCGTAAGTCTTGCCCTCGAGACCTTTCACCATCTTGGTCGCCCTCCTCCGGACACACTCTAGTAGTTTGATGTCCTGCATACACTGAGGTGCCCCAAACTGCACACAGTGCTCGAGGTGTGGTGCAGCGTAGAGGGGGACAGTCACCTCCCTCGACGGGCCAGCGATGCTGTGCTTGAGGCACCCCAGGGCACAGCTGGCCCTTTTGGCTGCCAGGGCTCGCTGTTGACTCTTACTCAACTTGCCATCAACCCAAACCCGCAGATTTCTTTCCATTGGGCTGCCCTCTAGTCTCTTATTCTCCAGCTTGTATGTATAACCCACTTGTTGGGGCTATTATCCCTGCCAGTTAAAAAAAGCGGCATGAGGAATTAAGGTAGTATCATAAATTAATATTCCCAGAACATTTAAAACATGCTGTCTGTAAGAATAAATACTGCAGAAGTTGGCAAGTACTGCCACCATTTCATAGACGGACAAGTAATAATCCCCTCTCTTTTTCCGCAGTGCCAAAACGCAAGTAACTTGAACTAGCAGAACTGTGAAGAATAAACCCTAAACATTCACAACCCCCCGAACCCCCAATCCTTAAACTTTGAGTCTACCTACCCCTCCTGGAAAGCACTTGTCCTCAAGTCTAGTGCATTTGCTTCCTACTGGAGACTTCTGCCTCATTCAACCAACCCTTCTCCTACCTTTATCTAAACATAAATCTCAGTCACAACAGTTTTACTGCAAAAATACCACTGCCACTGCTCAACGCATTTGAACAAAATACCAGGCAAGCTCGTGACTTATTAGGCACCTGAATTAATTGAAAAGTTTTACCAGATTCATGGGGGCAGGGAGGGTTGCACAGAAAGAGTAACTCCCAGAAAGGACAGGGGAAATATGCCAGGTCAGTTCTGGAGTGCTCTTATGAGTACACACACAAGCCTGTGTGCTGAAGAATAAAAATTCAAGAAAGTTTTCAGGTCAGTACTGGGACTAAATTTTACCACCTGGCTGTGAGGAAGGCCGAGGTGTTCTTGGCTGCAGCTCAGCACTAGCACCACTTGCCACCATAGAGGAGGGCACATTTCCACTCTGGGACATCATGACAGCTGCAGCATTGCTCATTCTTATTAAACCTTAAAAAATAAAAATAAAAATTATCAAGTCTTGCAATTTTTACATAGAGAAGAATTTTAGATATTATTTTTTTAACAATAAAAAGTTTTATTTATTAATAAAACACTTCCTTAGACTTTAAGAATTGTTTGTTCAAAATAACTCGAGGACACATATCTCAATCTGAAAGCTTAGGTTCCCTATCATAAAACAAGTCAAGGTCATGCTGAAGCTTCTCCCTTAGCACCAAACCTTTAAAAAGGCTATAGAAGAAAATACCACCAACTCATTAATTATTTGAGCCTGACTTGCCACGGAAGTCACCAAGTGACAAGATGGTATCAAAGTTACACATGTACTAAGGTTTTTGCAAAATCCAATATTAGAAAGTAACAGAGGTGTTATAAGAGAGAAAAATGTCAGTGTTTCACTTCAACAGGCTGCTATTTTATAAAACCATTTATATCATTGACCTGTTGGTTATATTGTTGTTATACTTATACTGTTCACATTTATATTGTTGACCTGCAGGCAGTAAATTAATCTTACGATCATCACAATGAAGATTAGAGCAGCTGCTTTCAAAGCAAACCTTTCTTTAAATGTTTTACATTCCTTGTTAAGCACAGTGATTTAACTACTGTTTAATCAGGTTTCTAGAGAGGTGAAATGTTCTTTCCATTTCTTCTGATCAACAGCTACACATGCATCTTTCATTAACTGTGACAAAAAAAGCACCCAGTTATTTTTAATTGCTTAAATCTTACTTACTAAAATACTAATTATTTTGCCTTATGAGTCAGCTGTTAAAATAAATTACATAGTAACTTTCTTTTAACTCTCCATAAAGTCTGATTTTGTAGTTAAAAATTATTTGTCATGCATATACAATGCTCTAAAATGCAGAGTTTAATAAAACTACACCTCCCCGCCAAAATATGTGCTTTATGATCAGACCTCAAAAGTTTATGAGAAAATAAAAAGAGGAACCAACAGTGATAGTGCCCTGTCCTTCCTATAATTATAATGGATTTAATCTAAAATAATTGATTATTGTACACTGAATAAAGGCTTATGCTCATTTTCATAAAGGTAGCCAAACCGAAAACTGTGGTATTTTGTACACATTTCAAAGTGAATTCACTATACTAGACCCATCTGCTTTAGCATTCCTTATGTAAAAAAAACAAAACACCAAAACCCAAACCACCAAACCCTTAAAAAAACCCAAAACAGACTAATCTGCCCCACCCAAATCACTTCAGTGTTTGTGGAACAAAATGCAGCCAACTATTTAGTTTACATAATGTGGGACATGGTTTGACAGTACAGTAACAAGAACACACATTAATTAAAATGGCAATTATAATTCTGCAAACAATAGCTGCTATAATCGGTGAAAACTTATGATTAGCTTAGTAACAAATTTCAAAGTGTATAAAGCTAAACAAATAAAAACCAAAGGAATTTACCTTGTCCCCCTTGCATGGGAAACCCTGTCTCCATTCGCACAGAGTTGCCTGTTCCCAAGGGCCCGTTGATTCGGACATCTTGACTTCTGTTTTGAGCTAAGGCTAAATTGATAGCACCTTCCCCTAAAAATAATGCACAGTTTGGGTGAACTGAATGATATACAGAAAAGCAGAATACAGACATTTTCAAAAGGACATTTAAAAGATGTCAAGGAAGGAAGAACAAACTTTTACGTATAAAAAGTTCTTCAGAAGGACAGTTATGTGTCGTACTACCCTTACCTTCCGGATTTCAACTTTAAGAAAAACAAACACCATGACAAGCATTAAATGCCCTTGGTCTCATCCCGAGTGTGCTCTTGGACAATTGTTCATAATGGATATTTTAATCGTGAAATCCACTGAAAACTTGTTTTTAAGAAAGCCTCATATGAAACAATTAGGGGAAAAAAAAATCAGGGCGCATTTTGTTGGCTAGCACTCAAAAAACATTTCTTAGGAGGTGTCTCAGAGGATTTTCAGCTATCATTTTTATCATTAAACCTATTCTTGAAAGAATAAAAGTTTTCAGCTACGTTTTCACTGAAGTCATTCTCCTACTTACTAAATTAGAAGTTTTGCAACATTAACCAAGTACAGAAAATTGTTTGTTGAGTATACTTAAATTTTAGCTTAACGCCTTTGAAAGCAAATTAGGTGTGTAATACCTTCAATTTGAACTGAGAGAATTCCCAGGTCACGAAGTTGTTGGTTATTATTCTGAGCCAGAATGCGCAGCCGCTCAGCAGCTTCACGGGGTATATTGAAGGTAACACGAACACTGTTCCAAGGTTCTATCTTCTGCAGTTTTAGCTTTTTGGATTCTTAAAAGAAAAATGGTCAGAGTCAGTGCAAAGGCAGTTTTCAAACACATATGATGAAATAACATGGTAAAAAAAGCACAGTTGAAAAAACTGAAACACTTATTTGGCTTTGAAAATTATCAGTGCTTAGTCTACAGGTACAGGAGATTTCTCCATCAGTATTGGTGCCATGACCGATACTGCCAAACCACTTTAGGGATTTTCCAAAAATTAGCAACGTAAAAACTACTCGATTGATAGCCAATGCAATAGCCTACACAACCACTTGATAATATTACTCAAAAATTGAAACATTCTGTGGATAAACTACTTTGGAAAGATATGAAAACATCTAATAAAACAGATTTAGCAAATCTGTTACTGAATCAGATGGATGCGTGAAAAAAACAACTAAAAGAATGAAACCCTCATTCTTGAAATATCTGCTCTACAAATGCTTGTGAAACCATCTTTCATTTTAGAAGCCCAGTGCCAACAGAGCCAAAACAGTATTTCACTAATTTCTACCATATTATTTAGTTTTTCTGCATATATATGTTCAATCCACTGCAAAAAAAGAATATTGAAGTCACACAAAATATTTAGTTGCAGGTTTTCTGCAAACCTATTCTACATACAAGTGTTTCTACATAGATCAGTTGTTTCAAAAGTAACAAGCGGGAATTAGCAAAAAGGTAGGGTGGTCATGCTGAATATATTAATCTGAAGTGGTACTTAATTAAATTATTGCTACAAAACTCATTCAAGGATAATTAAAAATATATTCCTAATATAGGTTTATAAGCTTCCAGTTTCTAGCTTTCTGAAGTCTCTTTGAAAACAGTGAACATTGGCCCAAATTTTAATCAGCCAGTTCTTCCACTGTAACATCAGATTTACTAAAAGTTTACTAACTTTTTGATTCTGAAGAATGTATCATTTAAGAACGCCAATAACTCATTCCTATTTAGAAATCTTAACTAATTCACCAAGTCCCTTCTGTTGCTACAGTAATGGTATTATTAAATTCATCCTCTTTCTGCCTATAAACACATTTTTGGCTAGAAACATGACAGGAGTAGTTTTGAAACCTCATTTTGTGGAGGTTTGAACAGTCCTATATTTACCGTTACTAATGTTCCAATATTTTACATATAAAAATTACATTATCAATTTCAATATATCCAGATATTAGTAACAGTTTAATTTTTCAAACACTGCATCTGCTAAGTCTAAATCAATGTTATTTACTAACTCAACATTCTGAATATCCTATTTTGCTCTGAATAAGTTTAAATAACTTGTCACATGGATAATTTTTAAATTAATTTGACACTGATTTTAAAATTTTGCTTTCTGCTTTCTCAGCTGAGGTCTGAATCATGTTTATTAATCCTGCCATCAATATTTATAACAAACCCAACACACAGATGACTCCGTATAAAAAAAAAGCAACTCCATACAGCTACAGATTTGTTTCCGTTCAAAAACTACGCAATTTGTCTGTGGTATTAACACATATCCTTTTACACCAGTAACTATCTGTTAGTTTTACATTAGTTTTACATCTACTTCCAACTGTTTATAAGATACAGCTCAAAACAATGGTATTTCTTCACAGCATTTTTGCCTTATCCCAGTTTTTTTATCTCCCCAAGAGGTAACAGCAAGGACTCCAACAACTGATGCCAGACTCAAATGACTACAACTGGACAAAATGAAAAGAAAAGAACAAAGTGACAAGGAAATACGGTTCGGTTATTCAGAAGTCACAGGTTATTCTTCTGAGAAGGTATTTTACATTATTAAAAAAACAAGCAATGTAATGAACATTTTAAAACCTAGTCTAGAAAATTCGTTTTGTTTAAACACAAAAACTGCCTGCCTGAAGAAGAAAGGTGGATTCTCTTCATTGGACAGTGTGATTTCAAAAGACCACGCACTGGAAGAGCAGCGTGCTGGGACGGCACCTATAGTTACCAGGAAAAGCTTGGTTCACAAACAGCAGGAAAAGGGAGAGAGGGAGTATGGGCAATTACATAGCTTTTAGACTGCAGTTACACGACATCACGTCAAGTCAGATCAGCGCTGCTGCGGCCCCGGTCTCCAAAGCTCTTTTGGTTATGTGTTCCTGCCACCGCGCTTAAAGCAACCTGAATAGCTTTACCTGTTTCTACAGCAAACTGCACTAATGGCAAGAAATTAAGCCATGGGGAAACTGGCAGTGAGGAGGGAACATATCATTGGTCCAAGCACACTGACCAGGACCATCACAACACTGCACCCTTACTACACTTGAGAGTGAACCTATTCTCAGATTAACTGCAGTGGTTTAAATTGGATGGTTTTGGCAGTAAAAAAACATCTCCTGTGTGGACAAGTTTGGTTTTACTTGCCTATAACACAGCAATGCATAACAGAGGGAAATGAAAGAGGGGGAAAAAAAAACCACACAAACAAGTAAAACATGGGAACCGAATAGGAATAAATGAACTCACTAATGAAATCAGTCTTAAACAATAAAATAATTGCAGAAACTTGAACTCTGTGTCCTTGAGAACAGCTCCCAAATTCACTAAGAATAACCCAGCACATTTTAGTACAAACTAAGTAACTAAAAAAAATTATTTCTTTTTACAAGCACCCTGACTATGTAAATAAATATTTTAAGGACAGTTGAAAAATGACAAGAAGGTACATTACCCATGTGTAAAAGGCCAGGTACATTCTCCAGTATGATATCTAGTTTCTGCTCAAAGTCTCTGTCACCTATATTTCCTTTAAAAGCAACAAAGATTGTGGAATCCTCAGGAGCAGCCTCCTGTTTCAGTTCATCTTCCTCCAGTCCTGAATCAAAATCCACCTCTAAGTCTTCCATAACTGAGGAGTACAAGGAGGCATATGTATCTTTTAAGGTAGGCAGATCATCCAAAACCATTGTATCCAACAACGGGAGCCTGTCAGACGTTAAGATGATGCTTGGAAGGGGAAAAAAAAAACAATTATAGTAAGTATAATAACAAGTGAGTAAGCATAGTAAGTGTGTAAAGACATTAACAACTGCTTTCAATGGCACATAAGATCATTGACAGAAAAACCTACCGGGTGACCGAATGCTAGGGTCTGCGAGACAAACTGTGTGACTTTGAAAACAGTGGCCATTGCAGTATCCAAGCTGTTCATCCACTAGAACAAACAGAAGTGGTTTCCTGACAGAAACCTGCTGCACATGACTTGAGAAGTATTCCAGTTGACCTAAACAATAGTCAAGTAGAAAGGAAGGTAGAGAGGAACAAAAATATTAAGAAAATCAATTACATTCATCTCTGTATCGTACAGAGGACAAGCAAGCACTGAATACCAATTCTGCAGTGCCTGACTGCCAGGAAATTAGAAGACTCACAGCAAAATTTTAATTATGGAAAGACTGGAAAACCCCCCAAATTTAGTTTTAGGGACTGCAGATTCAATAGGCACTTCTTTGTCCAGCAAAAGAGAAGGAAAGCCACGGTACATTTTCCCCAGGAAAAAATTAGCATCTGACATATTTTACTGACATCCAATGAAATCTCAGGCATACCATGCCTTCTTTCTAAAAGTTTGTAAAGATTGGGGTGTTTTCAGCTGCTTATGCACATTACAGCCTGAAATTTGTTCCCCTTGTGCTAGCTCACAACTCCCTCCATGCCCCTGTTGAGCTTGGGTAAGAATGATTTCAGTAAATCAAGTCACACACCTGATGTTATTTTACTTTATAAAACGTCTAGACTTTGCAATAAATATCACCTGACATTATGATAGTAATCTATGCGGTTATGTGTACACAAATACAACCCACGATAAATGCTATCCCTACATCTACAGTGTAGATGTATCTCAGTTAAGATACACATTTTTCCCCTCCAACACAAGCTGTTACAAGGGCTACAGCACTAACTCCTCCAGGCAAGACTATTCTCACACTCAACACTAAGTATTGCTAAAGGACTAAAACCATCTACACCAACAGCCAAAGCTGTTGTCAAAACCAAAAAAGGGACTTGTTCCTGACCACTGCTGTCCAAACCAAATCAGTTCAACAGCCAGAACTGTCAAAACCTCATAACCTCAAAGCTGTTGGTATTCAGCACAACCCACCCAAAACATTTAGATCCCGATGACTTACCCTTCAATAGGATATAGATTGAGATTTTGGCAGAGGTTCAAATTCTCAACACAAATTAAAACCACAACTCTGAGATTAAAGGTGAGCCACAGATACTGGCTAGAAAAAAAAGCCATTTCTAATTAAAAAATGTCACTATGTTAGACAAGCTTAGATTCAGTCCTACATTGTTTGCACACTCACATAACATTGCTGAAGGGACAGTATTAAAATGAAGAAAAAAGGACTCGGAAGTCATAAAATACCCTCAGCTTTTGGTTAGGTCTCTACGCACACACTGTGCTTTTACAAAATACAGGGTTTTTTCTCCCTTGAAACCCTACACTACAATAGGCAGGCTAAACGGCATTAAGGAATAATCACCTATTTTACATATAGTTACTGCCTTCACACTGCAGCACCAGGCCTTCATTCTCAAACATGACTCAAATCTTGGATTAAAAACAAAGCTACTTCTGTCTCACAAGCTCTTCTGCAGTCCTGCAACAGAAAGTAAGTAAAAACGTTTCACTGTCTCTGGTCTATTTCCATAGTGCTCTCCTAAGTTACTTATTATTACTACGGGAATTTTAAAGGTGGGGAATAGAGACAAAAATTCATTCCCAGGTGAACATGGAGACAATTAAATCTTTTTTTACCTCCCAGACTCCTTGCTGCTAAGCTCTGTATGTAAATTACAGGTCTGAGTGTCTCTGGCATCTGCATTAAGTTAAAACTACTCAATTTCACGTCAGGTACCCAGAAAATGAGAATGACAATTAATAGGCATCTGTGAAAAACTGTTTTAATTGGTTTTCACACATAATTTCTTGGACAGGGAACTTCTTTACCAGAGCTGGCTTTACACCAATCAGGAGAGAATTGATTCTCCTTCTGCATCCCTACATCATTCATTACACATACACTGACTTCAGAAAGAAAGGAGCTGGGAGTCCTACACAAATAATCTTTTTAACAACCAAGCACAGTCATTCTGTCCACTGAGGCGAGCATCCTGTGAAATACAAGCACTATATTTTGAAGAAATTTACACAGAAAATTGCTTATCTGAAAATCTTGACTAAGCTTTTCCAGAAGATAAATCTCAGCTCAATATACAAGCTCTTATGTGTTGAAAAATCACAATTACTTAGAGGGGATTAGGTGTTCCACCCGCAGCAAGAAACACTGAGTACCTCTGACAATCCCTGACACCGAAGAAATAAAAATTTCTCTATAAGAACACAAACATTTCAATTTTTTTTTTAATGGAAATGTCTGAAGCACCCATCTTCGTGAAAGAGCAGAAGACTTCCAGGTTGCTTAAACTATGGTTTTAAAGATTTCATGAAAATGCTGCAGCTTAGACCAGATTCCACCAACCTCACCTCAACGTGCCAAAATCTGACAGGATTTGTTTAACCTATTGCCATTCATGAACACTATTAAAATATAGTTTGCTAAATCCTGAAGGACCACAGGCCTTGCTTCATTTGACTCAGAAAATCATAGGTCTGTAGGGAAAGCTTGAGTTAAGGAAAAAACCCCACAGACTGAGCTTTAAATTTTACTTTCCAGATAAGAACATGTAGCTACAGCTCCCTTTGTTTTTTGGTTTTTTATTTTTTTTGTTTTGTTTTGTTTGCGTGTTTGTTTGGTTTTTTTTTGCATTACACTCCTTAAGGGTCTCTGCTACATCCATCTTCCCTCTCTCCCTCTCCATTCCTGCATTCAGATATAGTTTATCTCCAGTATGACAGGAGGAAGTAATGATTTGTGAAATTTTTGTCTTTGGGCAGAGCGCAGCACGCCGTCCATCTCAAACCAAATGAATCCCAGCTACATCCCTTGTCCTAACAAATTCTGTAATTCCTGATTATAGGGTTGACTTCCATAAATCATGAGCCAGCACATGACCATAATTAGCATGTACCTTCACTCAACACTTTCACATAAACACAAAAAGCCTTTAGCATAGGCACACACAAGTAAAACTCTGATCATTCAACAATTCCTGTAAACTAGATGAACTCCCAGCGGGTGATGGGGTATCTCTGATGAGTAAGAACCATACCTGAATTGGATCTGCACGACCACAGCACATTTCATGAACCTAAGCATTAATGCACACAAGGCAACACAAAAAGGTCTCTGAATAATATTCTCCATTCGAAGAATACGCATGGCCTCCTTCCTGCCCCTGCACCCTGCTGTTTTAGTTTTCAACTTAGTATTTCCCATTACACAATTGTTTCTGGAAACTCAGAGCAAGTCCAGTGCTACAACGTGGCAACCATGTACCCATGAACCTGGCCTGGGACAGGCTACAGCAGCATAAAAAGTGTCATGCCTGCCTAGTATAAAGTTGGTTTTATCCAGTATAGTCTAACTATTAGAAATATTTAACTGAGGTAAGAGAGGTGAGGAAAAATTGCCAGATAACAGGACTAATAACCAAAATGCACCTGCAGCATTGTGTGGGGGTAAGGGGTAGCAGGGGATAGCCCATGAAGACCAGAGTCTCCAAACTGAAGGATACAGGGCACACCCTGGGCTGCTGGAGGCTAGTGCTCCCAGGTACACTCAGCATATTGATAAAACAATTGACTGACTCAAATGTGCAAGATAGAGGCTCTCCAGAGGAAGAATTAATGTAGGAAACAGCAATGCCACAGTCCAGTTCTGGGCTGATGGACAGCTGGGAACCCAGAAGGCAGCTCGTCATGCCGTGTGTCGTTCGCAACCAACAGCCCTGATAGTAGAAGTAAACCTGCATAACAAACCCAGTGCCCTGTGACTGGGCAATACTTAGAAAATCCCGTTCAGTCCCTGGGAGAAATGGGATCAGAGCAAAATCTGAAACAGCCAGTTGTCGCTAACTGGGGAGCAGCTGAACACTAAAGCCGGCAGGCTCTGGAGTGCCAGCATCACCAGATGGAAGTGCTGGTCTCTGGGGTTAAAAGAAACAAAGGAGGCAAAAACACCCAAAAACTGGTTATATTGGTATCCTCATCCTAGATCTGCTCAACTGATCCAAACTTAGGGTTATGTCCATTTGTTTCTTAAACAGAACTCAAAGCCTCTTCTGTTGCTTTCTTCTAATCATTGCACTACACAAAGCAAATAAACCAAACTAGACAAAGCCTTGTTAACTTGTCCGAGGTTTCCTGCCACACAGTCTATTGATTTATAAGCTGTTTATACATTTTGGGCAACTCAGAATAAACACTTTCACAACCAATGTCGCATCAGAACATGCACCCTCTCAAAACAAATATGCACGGAGCCCAATTAAATAAAAAGTATTAAAATCCCATTCTAAACCTGAAAAAGCACTCTTATAATAACACAGAAGACTGGAAAGGGTGAGAGCAGAAGGAAGGATGGCCTGATGGCCTTCACTAGCAGATGGCAGAAGTTAGCACTGAGCAGGGCCCTCACCCTTACACTGGCTGTTATTTCAAGCTGCAACAGGGAAGACAGAGAAAAATCAGTCCAGAAATGAGACTACACCAGTGAAGTTCTTTGGTGAATCCAGAACTGAGAGAAGAAAAAGTCTTTGACAGTAGTAGCAACATAATTTCTGAAGGATGCAGAACTCTCCCTGCTTCTGTCTCCATTGAAAAATGGTTTTCAAGCAACTTAATAGGAAAAAAAAAAAAAAAAAGGAAATCGGAAAAAAAATGCATGTCTTAAATAATACACTTGAAAGCTTTCTTGTTTCCTTTGTTGTACATATTTTCTCACTGGCACCTAAAGGCATTTATTCAGTTTTTCAGGATGGAGACAGAGGAGGTTTACCATTGGCAGAATACTGCTGAGAAGACGGCTTTCTTTTAATATGTAACATAGACACACATGCTCCCACCACACAGGTATACTTTTAAAGCGTACCACTTATAAAACCCAGAAACACTACGATCATGATATTGTTTTTATTGCAAATTTGTAAACAGTGTATTACCTTCCTACAATTCTTTCAACCATTTTGTTGCCTAGCACAGTGATCTTGGAGCATGCTAAATCTGATCAATGAGTAAACCGATATACACACAACCATTCTATGATACAAGATTAAAATAACATAATTGGTTTTGGCAAAAATACACAAAAAAAGACTTTTAAACAAATTCTAGACAAGTGTCATATTGTTACACGAGGAGATTAAATAGGGCTAAGAATCACAGTTATAATACAAAAGAATACCTAAAACTAAACTTAACAGCACAGTAAAATTTCCTCTGAAACAACTTAGCTATGGGTAGTTCCAGTAATTTGGAACTTCAAACTTCGGCATTAAAGAGGGCTAACACCACAAAAGTGTTTCAACCGTTCTCTTTAGGAGGTAGATCTGAGAACAGCTACAAAGTTGATGGCAAATGCCCGTAGTCCTCTACCGCAGTCTGAAAAGTCAGCTCTGGAGACAGCCCAGCCCCTCAAAAACACACACACAAACATCAGAGGCAAGGACCTATTAGTGGGACAGTTAGGAGGAGAATATCTAAGAGAGATATTCAAATGCATCAAATGGTTATTTTACCTACCAAAACAAATTCCACAACTTCAGTATTTTGTGACATGTGACAGGTCTTCAGGTAATTCCAGACTGGCAAACATGGTTAAACAGCAACTCCCAAAAATGTGATCCTGAAAGAAAAGCATCATTTTCATCGATGATGCAAAATAACAAAAATACGGAATATAACAGTGAGAATCTTGATTTTTAATATGCAGTTTTGCACCAAATCCAACTCTCTCCTTAGTAATGCAAAAAGCACATATTCAAATATTAACAGCAAAAACTGAGGATCTGGGAGAATCAACCTTTCATTATAGGCAAAAAACTGAACACTCCCTTTGGCTAGAAATATAACTTTACTCTTTTAAAGACTGCAAATTTTATCTAGAATAATGTATTTATTTAAGTCTTAAGATAAACTCTTCTAGATTAAATTCATCTTCAGAAAAGAGAAACTGGCACAATTAGGATGCACTTCAGCTCATCCTAAGTAGGTGTCTAAACCAGCTCAGGCTCAGCCTGTTCCAGAAACATGTTATGAGCCCACACAACCACCTCAGATGGACATTTTTATTGCGGGTGGTCAAAGCAGTGAGATGAATCCATCTCCAGAAACTGCTCCTGTTCACAGTCCCATCAGGTTGCACTCAAACCTCTCAGGATAATTAAAATGCAGCAGTAAAGCTAACGGCTTCAGCAAAAACAAAAAAACGCCCCTCAAATAAAGATGATTTATATTAACATCCCAGTGTTGCTCTTCAAGCAGATTTTCTGCTCACATGCCAGCCTGCTCATCAGTGGGGAGGGGGACTACCCAACAGCAAACTGGGGAAGCAGAACAGGGAAGAAGACCCTGAAAGAAGATAGCAAAGTTCTGCTTTGTCTATCTAAATGACAAAGTAAAATTGCTTTAAAAGCCTTACTGCTGTGCCACAGACTTTGCACTTCTGCCACCCCAGCAACTCGAAGAGAAGGAAAGAATGATTAAATCAGATCATATATGCTTTGTAGCACTTTTAATAGTCATCTGACACTTTTCAACCCCTGCTATCTTATTTCTAAATAAGCACTGTAATTCAAGAAGCAGTAGAGTACCAAGTAGAAGACCTGAGTGGTTAAATCATAAGCAGTAACTTCGCTGGTTCCAGCTGTATGCAAACTTGCCTAAATACCATGACCAGACACCAAGCTGACAAGCAAAATCAAAATCCGAAATATTAAATTTTAATATCATGTAGTAAGCGCAAGCCAAAACTAAAAAAGCTTTCCACGTTCTATAGCAGATACTGCAGCAGTTCTATTTTTTCACCTTTTTTATTATAGGATGTTCCACAGACTATTTTAGATGGCCTAAAACTGAGGCATGTAACAAACTGGCTGGTTACCTCCAAAGCCATGCTAAGAGTTCACATGAAGGGACGGTCCTTACCTGCCCAGTAAAAGCTGTTTCTAAGAAGGCCTCAAAGCTGACAGAAGTCAGCTCCCATTCAAACTATCCATGCCTTGATGAGGCAGGGGTAAGAGTCGACATTTGGCTGAAGGGTGGTGAACTGGGGAGAAAAATCATCTGAACTCCTTGGTGCAATGAACTGAGAGGCTTTTTGTTCCTCCAATTCTCCCTTCAAGGGAAAGGGTGACCCTGCCTCACCACTGGTGGAGGGTATGAGATGGTTTGTGGACACCCAACTGCTCCAGAGAAGAGAGGACTGGGAAAGACAGGCTGCCCTAGTAAACTCCGGTAAGAAACTTAGGATGCTCAGCCCAGGCTATGGAAGGAACTGCTGCCATCTCCATTCCTGTTGTACACATGAGATGATATCAAATTTGGTTAAGGAAAATAATTAATCAACATTGGTTCATTAACTCCAGCTTTCATTACAATAAATTATCTGATAAAGACCTTGGGAATGCCTAGAGACTGAACACCTGCCTTAGTAGACACCAATGAACCCATAAAAGCAGCCCTGTGAAGTGTTCTGGCTATGCAGAGTTCTGGTTAGAGCTTACATTTTGCCAAATGTCAAGAAAACAAAATAACTAAGTCTACAAGAAGACAGGCTTCATTCACTCATTCTGATACAGAACTACTCACCACTCTTCACACTGTTCTGCTGCACTCCCAAAGCCCTCAAGCATAAAACACCTAAAACCAAGTGTTTCCCACAAGGAGAAAATTACAGCTTGTTCTAACACATATGACCTTTTGCAGTGATATCTCGATGTATTTTGACAGCAAGTTTAGTGCAACATTGGTTTGTTAAAGTTTCATCAAGTTTGTTGACACCCCCACAACTCATGCCAAGCTGCAATGGATACGTCTCAACTGAGCCATTAATTCTTATTTCAAGAGAATTTGACTGACAAGATCATCAGGGTTACTTTAAAAGCAAGATGATAACTCCAGAACAAGATTCAACTGCAACTAAGTTAGCCACGTAGAAATTCCCACTTTTGGCAGTTGAGATACCAACACAAGAAGGCTGCCAGCCTTCTTCCTAAGACACAAGTTAACATGGAATCAGCAATTTTCTTGGAAGCTGTAGCCTACACAATGTAATCTTTGATCAATCATTTTCCATTAGCTGAAATATTAATTTCACATATTAAGGATATTCCCATTTGGAAGAAATACACCATAGCTTGTAACAGATTAATACTACAACAGAGCTTTGCAGTATGTAACTTTTCACAAAGATCCACTGATGCAATCAGCAAATATGAGATGTTATTTAAAATTAGATGCATCTTGACGAGAAACTGTATTTTATCTTGCCTTCCAAAGGCTGTGAGAAAACTCCTTTTCGAGTAGCAATCTACTCATTGTTTGTGTTGCGACGAGCTTTTTATTTAAAGTCGAGTTTAATGACTACCAAACCTTTCTGGGCTGACATGCCCCAGAGGTACTCCTTTATCACCAAATTTTCACCGAGCTTCATAAACGCCAATATAACCAGTCCAGGTATCCTTGTGATTACCAGTCCTGAACTAAGGTTTGACTGAAAACTGTACCTCTTTTTATTCTTCCTTCTCACATGTAATAAAAGTCTGGGAAACTAACTAAAGTTTTAAAAATTCTGAAATGTTATAGAGCATGAAGAAAAGATTTAAGCTAAAATGAACAGCTTAACACTAAACCCTTTGATATGAAAGCACTCAATAACATGGAGACTGTTTTCTCTGACTGAAACAAAATAATCTTCATATAACAGAAGTAGGTATAGCTTTTGTTAAAATCAAGATTGTGCTGAGTTTCCTGACTGTATAAAAACTTGCAGCTTTTTTTGTGCTGCTCTGGGCTTCCAGAAGAATCAAATGTCAAAAGTGTTATTTATTGTCACTACTGCTATTAAGAACCACGTAATCACTGGCCAACTTTGCACCTCCCAGTAAAACTAGGATGTAGCAGAACTAGATGGCAATGCATTCTTGCTGGGATGGGAAGAGCACCCCAAAACACCCTCAGAAGGAACATTTTCCCATCCTGCAACCAAAAGATGAGAAACTATTTCCTGTCCGGTATTATTCTTAATTGAGCCTCACTAAAAAGAAGGGTAACATTTTTGCCTTGGGAGGTTCAGCTCCTACAGCCATAGTCCCAAGACTGCAACTGCTAGCTCCTCAACTTCTCTGGGAAAGAGACCCATCAGAATTGCCAGTATGAGGCTTGTACCTCATCTCACTGATGGGAAAAATGACCTTGTTACAGATGCCAAAGCTTCCGATTTATCAGGAAGCAAGGAAGAAATAACTCCTCACATTTTCCTTGTCCTTTCCAGCCAGAAGGGAGGCTTGTGAGAGTGTGCCTGTGCAGATGTATGCACAGCACTGAGGCTTGCATCTAATTCATTCTCTTTAAGTACTACCCAGAAACCATGATAAGAAACACCATCTCATACCAGCTGCACAGTCTTGGTAGGTCATCTGATTTTAAAAAGAATAAAAATTATAAAATGAAAATTATATGCACAGGACTTGGAGAATTTAATAGCATGCATCTTTTGGTGGGAATAATTAGATCATTCCCTTTCATACACCAAACCTAATGCTCAGGCTCCCACATACACAACTCAGTATAAGCAACTTCCTGTCCCAAATTATCGGTTTACATGGAAGACAAATGAATTTAGACAAGGCATCATTCATCTTCTGTACTTTTCAATTTTCATACTAATCTGATCCAAACACCTGTGCAGGGTTATGTTTCACGTCTACTCACTGAAGCTGGAGAAGCAGGAAACAGTCCTCTCAGTACCAAAAAGACGATGGCTCTCACAATCTGTGGGGTCCCCCGCGCACCTCCCTCCCTCACCCCAGCTCCCAAACCAGCTACACTGTGCCATGCACTGGCCGCCTTTCTTTGTTCCAAAATCTGTAAGGAAAGGATATTTACTGTGACACAACCTCAAGGCTGTAACATATACATGACAGAATGCACTTCTCGTTTATATTTTCAATTCCAACAACAGCAATTTTTGATGGGTTATTCAGAGTGCAGGCTGGATGCTGTTAATAGCATCAAGTAATGACAGAGGACACACTGGACAGAAAATGACTCGCAATGGACTGAGAAAAACCCCAGGCTCTGGGACCTCTGGTAAACTTCCACTGCTATCCCTCTGTGTAATCCAAAGCTTAGATGAACTTTCAACTCCAGCGACATCACAGACAAAACATCTTTCCTTCCTTCCTTCTAATTATCCAGGACACTAGACAAACTGAGTTTCATACACCATCTCGAGACAGACCTTCAGCTGTCAACACGTACAAACTAAGGAACATGTTGCCTGTGTGGCTGAAACGGTCAGTTATCTGCAAGAAGTAATTCCCGCTGAAGAACATCAGTGATCCATCCTGGAGGGGACCGCAGAGTTCATAACAGCATCAAGACAAAACACAAAATATCCATGGCTTCAGCAGAGCAAAGGTGAGTTGGTCATCTGGCTAACAGATAGACAACATCTCACCCGGAGTTTGGCGATGCATCTTCCCTGCTTCACGTCCATGTCATCTCAAATTATTTCTCCTCCCACTTCTGCCCCTTAACTTTTCCCAACCCTATGCATTCTCTGTCATTACTTCTGCTCTAGCCCAACACTAAGGAACAAATTTATGCTTGAACACAGTTTTTACAATACACAGGATTAAGTCTTCCCGTTGAATGATCTACACACTAACAGGCCTTCTGCTCACACATTCTCTCTACGCTACAGCGTCTGTATTTCTCAATCGACCACATGATTTTGAAACAGACACCACCATCATGCCTTCTGCCCTTCAGAGGTACACTAGTGACCTATAAAATTTCACTATTCCCAATGCAATCAAAACGTTACAGCCACATTAACTCTTTGATATCTTCAGTAGCAAACCCTTTGCCACTGCAAATCTATTAAATTTAATGTGTCTGTGTAACTCAGTTATAACTCCAGCTTCCATTCGAAAGCAATCAATATTGTATTAGAAAAAAAAAAATACTGTAGATCTGCTTAACAGTTTAGTTATCGGTTTGAAATATTTAACATCTACTACAAAGGCACATAATCTTTGACAGTATCATACTTAAAGAGAATTAAGAACGGCATTACAATCATTCAGCAGAATTTATCTCTACATCCCCTGTATTTTCAACTACTTAAGCCACTGAAAAACGAAAACACTAACACTTAGTTTAGAGATGCACAGAGAGGGCCTGGATTTCTCAGGTTTCCCCACACACAGTTGTTTTTTATTTTAAGGAAACACCTATGTTTTTACTAGAATAGTGTAAAATCACTCAGCTGGAAGCCTACTGTAAACAACTCCTCCCTCCAAGTTCTATAGAATAGGACTTCTGGAGAGAATGGCTGGGGAGCGCTGCTGGGAGTTTTTCCAGCCAAAATCCAAAGCCTAACACAGTATCTTTTTGTACGTTTAAAATATTAAGAAGTGTAATTTCTCAATAGAAGATCAGGTTTGTGTGCAGACACCTCGTTTTATTTTTTCCTCACGGGAGTCAGGATACAGTATTACTGTGAGAAATTTCCTGGTAAAGCCAATTAGCTTGCAAAGGAAGCCATGTGGCCTGGTGAATATGTGAAGAGCACATGAATTTCTAGCAAACACCCTGATGTCTCGCTGTAGGTAGCACATTTAGCACAGAGGCTTGTAGACCTGGCCATTTTGGGTATGTGCCTTGAGACCTTTGTTTCTCTCTCCACAAGATGCACAGAAAAGCTGGGACTGCTTGCTATTGATGAAAAAGAGCTGCTAAATCCAAAAGTTGTCATTATTACACTTGGGGACCTTTTTCTCACATGGGAAATGCTGAAAGATGTTTCAGCTAAAGGACCAGTCATAAAGACTACAATGCACAATAATTACAAATACCAACAAGAGGCACTGTCTTTCCTCTAATGAAATTCAAAGGAGGAAGGTTTCGCTACAGTTTTCAGTTAGTGGAATGAGCACAAATCTGCATGCCTGGAAGCTGAGGGGTTATGAAGAGACAAAGCTCATAATGCTACAAGTTGCAGTCCGCTTTCAACACCACAGAGGTGAGTGACAGAAAAGCTCTCGGCTTCCCATTCCCCGAAGAAGTCTGAAGGAACTGGAACCTTGACTCTTCCGAGATGTTCTAAAAGTAGATGAAATTTAGAGAAATGCAGAAATCAGGCCAAAGGACTAAGTCACATAGCCTTTCTCTAACTATTTTAAAGAGGTACCGAGGAATTAAAACAAAAGCTTGGGTTCAAAGAAATATCAACACATCCTCACTGACATCTTACAAAGACGTCAACACCCACAAGAGGTCAAGGTGGAGAAACTAAAATCAGAAACAATGTCCTAAGTCGGCTGACAGCACCCTGACTGCCTTCCGCATCTAGCTCAGAAACGCTTTCCTCCCCCAGGAAATAAAAGGCTGCTCTCGCGTGGTGCTGCAGCCCCGAACGACCACCTCTTGGCCTCAGGCCGCGACCGAGGGCGTAGGGCTGATTCAGGGTTTAACAGGTTGCAGCAGAAGGTTGAGATTTGAGCGTCAGGGGAAACGGGGCCAGTCCAGCAGCCGGCTCGGCCGGGGGCAGCTCCGGCGCGACGGAGCGAGGGCAGGCTGCAGGCCGCGGCGCCCCGCAGCGCGCTGACAGGCTCCTGCCGAGCCGCCCCCGACGCCCCTCGGCCTGGGCATCCCGGCCCGGCCCGGCCCGGCCCCGCGGGGCGCTCCGCCGGCGGCGGGCCGGGCCCTCGCTCCGCTCCGCGCCCCGCCCCGCCAGGCCCCGCTGCCCCTTCCCGCCGCGCCGCCCGCCTGCGGCCCGCGCCCGCCGCCACCCGCGGGCCCGGCCTCGCTCCCCGCCTCAGCCGCCGTCGGCCCCGCCGTTTCCGGGGCGCCGCTTCCGCCCCGTCGCCCCTGTCACGGCCGCCGCCGGGTCCCCGCGGGCGGCGGAAAGGCCTCGCCGCGGGCCCGCCCCGCCCTCACCTGGCGCTGCCGCCGCTGCTGGCGGCCGCGACGCCTCCGCCGCCTCCGCCGCCGCGCCCGGGCCGCGAGCGCGCGCAGGAGGGGCGGGGGCCGCCTCGGCGGGCGAGGGGCGCGCGCGGGGCCGGGGGGGCGGGGGGGGGGGGGGGGCGGGGGTCGCGCGCGGGGCCGGGGCCGCCCGGGACACCCAGCGCAGGCCGGCGCCGCTCCGCCGCCTCCCTCCGCCGCCGCGGCACGTGACCCGGCCCGCCCCGCGCCGCCCGCGCGCGCCTGCGTCCGAGCGCGCGGAGCCGGGGCGGGGGGGCGGGCGCGCGCGCGCGCCCCCGCGGGTGGACGGACGTGCCCGCCCCGCGCTGGGTGTGTCCCGTCGCGCTCCCCCCGCAGCGTGGGGCGGCGGGCACAGGGGCCGCGGGGCGTGGGGCCGGCCGCGTGCGTGGGAGCGGGGGGGGGGGGGGGGCGGCCGCGGGGCTGCGCGCCCGCTGCTGCAAACGCGTGTGCGGGAGCGTTTCCTGGATGGAGTCTGAGGGAAACGTAATTGCGGCCTTTGGAGGCAATCGATAGGAAGCGAGGCTGTTAATTCAGAGCAATTTTAATTCAGAGGAACTTTCCATCTGCAGGTTTCGGACTTTATAAATATCAATGAATTATACTTCATTTAGTTTTACCACTGGGTAGATGGAAAAGAAGCCAGAGAGTGACCTGACACCAATTCAGCAAAGGCCACAATGCTGAATTTTAATTAAAAGTCTCTGGGTAATGAGCGGGCCCGCGGTCCCCAGCGCGCAGTGCTCACTCCCTAAAAAGACACTGCAGCGTGTGGGGGTTACAACAGAGGCGATCCCCACCAAACAGCTTGCAGGACACAGCCCTCCAGTTTGCCCCTTCGTACAAACCCGGATTAATATGAGAAAATATAAATTAATACAAAAAGACAGTGGCACTGCAGAAATGTCAGATTTTCCTCCTGCCAGTTACTGTTTTAAGCAGAAAGCTGTTACCTGGCAATGGTAAAGAAACACGTGGCAATTACTATTTCAGGCTAGTAAACCAATCAAAAGTTCTTTGTTGGAAAAACACTTTGGTCCTGCAAAAATACATATGATTGACGTCAGTAACTGGAGTAGGTTCTCCTGGCTTCAGGAGGGGTGGTGCAGGCCTGTGGAGCAGCACAGCTGGAGCCAGCTGTCGCTGACCCCTGACATCAGCTTTGTGCAGATTACTGCAGGATAAATGTCATGAAAAGAGGAAAAACGTTTTTTTTTTTTCATTCTGCAAAACCTTTCTTTAATTATTTAATACAATAATCCCACATCTCCTTTGTCACTATAGCTTGCAACACAGAAAAAAAACTTTTTTTCAAGTTGACATATAAATGCATTCCATCAACACTCCCCCCCTCAAAAAAAAAAAAAAACAAAAACCCAAAAAAAAACCCCACAATAATGAACATCATAGTTATTATATGACTTATCTTAATAATTAAATATTGTTGATGTGTGGAAAGCTGCAAGCAGATTGCTTGTTTCCTTCACATTTGCATGTCTAAAGCTCCCTGCCGGCAGACAATCATTGAGTAATTCCTTACTAAAGGATTGTTCTGTTCATGCCTTTTTCTATTTATGCCTTTTCCAGCTTCCGGGATAGGGACCCCGCCTCCAGGACCCCTCCGGTGTGTTACTGACAGGGGAAAAGCACTTCCCCAAGCCCCTGGAGACCCTCAGAGGTGTCAAAAGAAGGGCCGGGGTGTCAGTCACAGGGGTGGTAACGAGGAACGTTCATTACACCTGATTGACTCTCAGGGAGTTTGTTGGCATGAGCAGAATGCTTCCTGTGCTTTGCCTCACCCTGCTCCTGTCTGTTGAGACAGGCTGGAAACCCAAGGAAGCTGAGAGAAGATTTCTTCAGTGCCCGAGAACTGCATTTCTTGCCCACTTGTCTTCACGCTTTCCTCTATTTCAGGAGACGCTTCTAAACCCGACTGCATTTAACTTCCTCCTCCAGCCTGATCTTCCCCAAAAGGCTCATGCATTTCCCGCTCTGGTGCAGTTTGATCAGAGTGCTGCTTGCAAAGAACCCCCGTGTTTCCCACCGATCCTGCTGTGCGTGTCTTGCAAGGCTGTCCTTCAGGTTTTTTTGTTTGCTTGGTTTTGTATGTATTATCTACATTTATACTGGGCACATCTCATACACTGTAGCAAACAAGAGCAGGTAGAACGTTATTTTTCAAAACCTGAGTTTTCCGGAAGCACAATATTGAGGTATCTCACTAAGACCTGCCTGAGCCATTTAAGTGCTGTGACTTTCTGATCTGGGCTGGAGAGGTCCCACGCAAATAACCTTCCTGTGCCTAATCATACATGGAGTTTGCATACAAGCCCTTCCTTCGTTAGCAGCTTGGTGTGTCATACAACCACTTAGCACTGTGTAGCATGCTGCTTCTGGTGGCTTTTTCTCATGCTTCTGCTCACTGTCGGGAAAGACCAGAACTGGCACAAACTCCACACGTTTAAAATTAATCCCCATTCTCTCAAAATAGCTTTGCCACAAATGTAAGGAAGTAAAGGGAAAGTAGAGCTGAAGGGACACCAGGGTGACAGGACATGACCGAGAGCCCTTCTGAGGCATCTCTGCTTAAGACCAGCAGCTGGAGGAACCCAAAGTGGGTTTGCCACCCTGCATATTGCAGCTAGTGAAAGGCACGCGGCTCACTGGCCACCAATGTGTGTGGCAGGAGAGCAACAGGCACCTGACAGTGGTGATAAGGGAACAACAAGGTGTGGAGGACTGCAAGGGGGAAGAAATACAGGACAGCTCATGTACTAGCACCCTGGCATCCTGCTGCTTGCACATGGAGGAGCATCTCTGCAGCAAGGTGCACTATCAGCAGATCTCCAGAGCTGAGCACAGCCTGGATCCACGCTGTGTAGCTTAAACATTTCCAGATCTTGCCTGGTCTCCATACACCATAACCAATACAGGAGATTTTTGGGGGCTGGATCTGTCCCGTTATTCTGTGTGGAACCCTTCCATAAACGGACTCTCATTTTGGTTTGGATTCTGAAGCTTTGCTGCAAAACAAGTGATATGTACTAATACATGATCACCTGCAGAGGAGGGATACGTACAGCACACAAAGACAGCTGTTTGAGCTGCTTCATTGTCTGCAAACAGAACAGAGAAATGCATTTGAGAGCATAACAATCAAAATTATGGTTATATTTACATGCGTTTACATATGACACTATTTTCAAAGGAAAGGTATTATACAGAAAAAGTAGGTAGATTCACGACCAGCTTTAGATGTTTCCAAACTTAAGTATTATACAACAACTTGAACAAAATAATTTCTCCTCTGATACCAGTACAATACCTTAGAGGGAAGGAAGGGAGACCTGTTGCATTGCAGTCCCAATCACTTTTGATGTAGGACTTTGTTAACCTGTGAGTGTGGCGAGAAAAACAGAGGTGGGAAATTGTCTACAGACGTGATAGATAGGGTGGGGGTACACAGAAGTCATCCTCTCCTTCTCAGCTCCAAGGAGATAGAGAGGTGAGAGCCGCTGGGTGGGGAGCCCTGGCCGTGCTGGGGCCAGTCCTGGTGGATGAAGGGTCACAACTGCCAAGAAGCTGTTGTCAAATGGGATGTTCCCCCCAGGCAGCAGGGTCAGCTCTGCCAGGACGAGCTGCATCTCAAAATGCTGTGGCCACTGGAGGTCCCTTCTTGGACAGTGTGTTTCAGTGCTCAGCTCCTCCTACTCCATAGGCTCTTCTGCCCTCCACGCAGCTGTGTTTCATTTTTACCTAGTGCTGTGCTTCCCCAAGAACAAGCTCTGCCTGTCAGAGCTCTCTTTTCCCTGGTTAGCATGCAGATGTCCGTCACTGAAGTACAGAAGATCTTTCCAAAACCACTGTGATGTCAATACCTGGGTGCTACACGAGCTCTTCCTGCTCCACCTGATTCTTTACAAAACCTTACAAAATCTTTAGTGTTTTTGACGTGTTCCTGAAAGAGATGCAGGTTTCATCTCATGGTGTTTACCAAGTCCTGACTTCCCTTTCTCTCCAAGTCAGTGTCCGGGATCAGTCCGTGGAAGCCTGCCGAGTTGTGCAGTGGGTGGAAGGAGGCTCTGAGATGGTCCAGCCAGAGAGACCCAGCAGGCGCCTGGTGGGTCCAGCTCCCCCTGGCAGCCAGCCGGCTGGCTCCTGCTGAACAGGCGCTCTCGGACTCGCTGGCGCAGCTGAGGGACCCCTCGGAGAGACGCTGGCGGGGCTGCAGCAGAGCTGGAGGACAACAGTCATCATCCCTGAAGACTGGGGACCTGAACCTGCTGCCCCGGCTATGGTGCCCTCCCCTGCCCCTGGCAGCCCCCGCGCCCCAAGGCACGGAGAGGACCATGCTGCCGGAGCAGCTCGCTGGAGTGCAGAAACCCGTGGTGTGCCCGGGGCTGCTCTTCAGCTGGTCTCACACCCATGTCCGGGGGTAGCAGGGGATCCCCAGCCCTTCGTGTGCTGCGCCGAGCCACACTGGCAGCGTGGCTCTGACTACCGCGACAACCCCAGCAGCATCTGTCCCCATCCAGACTGGTAGGAGCAAGGCAGGCTCCAGCCCCTCTCAGTGTCTAGGCACTGAGCAGGACAGTAATGGGAACAAAATGGTGCAGCTGAGGTGCTGGAGCATCCTCATCCCCCCAGCTGCAGGATGGTGGCGCTGACTTCTGCCTCATGCCCCCTTTAGGCTTTTATATACAGCTTGATGCACACAGGTGAACAGTGGTATCTAAAGCTAGCGAAGCACTGCTTGTTATCTGTGCTCATGAATGGCATCGAGCCTTTGTGACAAATCCTGATAAATTGAGCTAACACTTAGCAGCCGAGCCTGTCTCCAGCTTATCCCAATGTAAAAACCAGTATATGTTGCTGGGAAGCAATGCAAACATGGGCAGAGACAAGCTGATCACCTTCCAGATCACAGTAGTCACATTTGGCAAAGGCATCCTTTTTTTTTTTTTTTTTTTTTCCCCTCTTTATTTTGCTTGGGTTTATTTTGTTCCTTTGAAAATGCTCTTTATTGTTTTCCTCAGACACTTTGTATTTTGTGTTCTGAGCTCCTCACTGGCACTTTCATATAAGTTTCAGGACAAATTCTGCTTCAGAGCTGTTAGACCTCTACAATAGCTGGGTTGAAATCAGTGCAGTTACTCTGCACACACACATCTCCAGAATATGGCCCTTTATTTCACAATGTCTATCTCACCTGTACAGAAGGAAACATTGGGTATTTCTTGGTACCTCACATTAAATTAATCAGATCTTGTCACAACAGATGGACTCAAAGTATCAGAGACACTGGGCCAATTAGCAGATTAAAGGTTTCCATATTGAATACATCTGTGCTACACTGATGCTGTTTTTAAACAGAGGAAATGGAAAATAATTTAAAATATCTCTATGTCTCTTATCTATAACCTAGGGGCCTAAGTCCCATCTTCCAATTATTTTGAATTTTCTCTTTTTTGCAACACAGGCCATTATCCAGCGGAATACTTAGGAACATGCTTTATTTTAAGATTCTGAATAATTGCTTTGAAATTGTACCTTGGGGTGTTTAAGTGCCCTTTTGAATCAAGACCAGAGTCTTTAACTTGAAAATGAATACAAAGTTTCCAGCATCAGAAGCGAGTTGGCAAATTCAGTTAATAAGGAGGAATCTTATATTTCAAAGAGTTTTGTGATATGCCATGCAAAGTACCGAAACGACGATGAATTGACCACTTATTTTGCAGCTATGCACACTAAACTTCTGTGCCCAAGGAACAGATCACTGCTGTACCATACCAGGAAACCCCAAATTTCCACCATTGTTCAATGCACAAAACTGCATCTGTCCCTTCCCGTGAAACCTGAAGAGGTCTGCTCCAGGACACACAGCTTTATGAACGCTCCAACTTCAGGCAGTGGCCAGCTCTAGTGCTGATGACAGAAAAATCAATAAGTAGGTTTGATGTCCCTATGGTGAAGAAAGTCTCTCTTGCCTTATGGGCAGTGTGGTGGCACAGAAGAAAATTTCCTAAAGACAATGTTGTACTTCCCTCATCTCTCAGCTGAGGCCACTGATGCATCTGTAACAGAAAATACCACTGATGTTCCCGTCTGCTAGGTAGCTGCCGTGCTCGTCTCACGGGTGGCTGCGCTTCAGCGGAGCATAAAAGCATCTCTGTCCTTCCTGGGCACAGCATGCAAGGCTCCACGTAAGATGCTTGGACATCCTCAGCTGGCAGGTGGCAGGAATGATTAGTCGGATTATCCGCTGTAGTGCCCTGCCTGCCTTCCAAAGGAGCCACACACTCCCCGTGCCAAATGGCAGCGAGTGTTAGAAGGTGCGTTACAAACAGATGGGTGTTGGGGGCTCCCTCGGGAGGAAGGCTGGGAGTAACGGGTGTAAGCATCAAATGAAAGACCAAGACAAGCATAAGCAGACATACATATATAATATGTACAGTGGCCATAGATGCATTTGCACCATGAAGGAAATCGTCAAAGTTTAGACCACAGAAAATGATCAAATTCCAGAGTTTTTGAGTGCCAGGTGTCTCTGTCTAACTTACTAGTAAAAAGAGAAGGAAACGTCCAAATGTGGGTTGAATGAAGTGGTGCAGCTGTCAGTTGGGGTATTATTTCTTCACTCTACTTCAGACAAGGAATGCAGAAGTATACTTACATATGTATTATATATATATTTTATATATATGTTCTTTTTTATATATATATTCTTATATATATATATTTGCGCTACATGCTGCGGACAGAAAATTATCTCAGTAGTGTTTGGTTTGGTTTGTACCTTCCCTCTCACTCTCTTCAGCTTTTCCAATAGAACCACCAGTATCAAAATACAGAGCAGAAGTACAGGCTTGAATTTAGTAAGCAGAAAATCCCAAGCCTCTCTGTAGGGATTACATGATTCAAGCTTTCAGAGCAGATCAAGATAAAGTGGTGTAAGGAAAGTTCTGAACCTACCTAAATGCTCTCCATGTGGTCTTTAGACCGTGGACTGTGGATTTTTATAGGTCTGTAGATTTTCACAAGTCTGTGGAGTACTGCTAAGATACCTCCAAAAAGTATCTAAGAGAATTAACCCCATTACCACTAAGCTTAAATTCACCATGGAGGAGGCTGAACCTCTCTAAGAACACTATTGCAGGGTCCACAAGTTCTTAGAAGTTGAAAACCATTGCTCTGGTTACAAAATCAGACTGCCGGTGAATCTGCACAGTGACTTGATTCAAAATATTTACTCCTGAAATTGAAGGTATGTAGCGATGTGAGAAAAGGAATTAACACAGGAGGCTGCATGCTGGTAAAAATCAGATGGCCCATCTGGAGTATTAAAGGACTCCCTGACATTCGAGCTACAGGCACCTACAAACACTAGGCTAGGCTGTATTAATTACTGGCTTACAAAAGAGGCAAAGAATAAACTTGGGAAAGACAGGGAGATGAAGATGACAGTATCATCAGCAGCTGTTTTTTTTCCTTTGCTAATGCTCCTACTCACTAAAATTAAGATGTTGGCTAGAATTGGGCTTTTGAAAAGACTGAATTAGTAACAAGACTCTGCCAAAAGAAAAGTGTGCTCCCTGCATTCCTGCAACAAGGCCTGGGCTTCTTGTAATTCAAATCATTTAAAAATAAAAGAAAAAAACCCACAATGCTGTATGTTGGTGCTGCTAACTCCTCTGGTGTCATCCTGGGTGGGGAATATAGAAAGTCTACTCAGTTGCGTGTGAGTGGAGCTCCTGCCCCGGGAATGGAGCAGGGGCCATTTCAGAACACACACACACCACTTGGGCTGATTTGTCTAAGCCTTGTTCAGTGACACGTCATCTGGGAGGTGCTACAATATTGTGGCTCCGGCAGCATCCACGCTCCGGGGGTCCTTCAGTCCAATGATGAAACTGTTGGTTCTCCTGGCCCCATGAACTAGGGCGACCACTTTGACTTTATCCACGTGATGGCCCCGGGCTACAAGAAGTTCAATATCGTCTTCAGGAAACTCACCTGTAGGGATTTTAAAAGAGGAGTTTGTAACCGTAAGCCGCTGTTGCCTTTAATGCCAAGCTCTGGTCTAACCCTGCTGGGATCTGCAGTGTGAAGGAAACTGCCTGCAGCCTCCTCAGAAGGTGCCCCAGCCAGGGCCAGGGCGAGCCCAGAGGCCGAGGAGGACCAGCACTCACCGCTCCGAGGAGCGCTCTGCCAGCTCACAGCAGCAAAGGCTGTTCGGAGCTGGGCAAGGCTCTGTGTGGGAGCAGAATTGAGGGGATCCAGAAGATCATTTAAAGATGTGGAAGATCCTCCTCTTTGGAAAAAGGGCAAAATATGTTGTTGGCAGCTAATTGTAGTTATTCTTCTTACAGAACACAAGGCAGTCCCCACTCTTAAGATCGTAGTTACAAATAACAGTATTAAGAGTTGTTAGTCAAAGTAAGATGCAAGACAGCTCAAAACAAGTCATAGTAAAACAAGTTGCCAAATGACACTTCATGATAAGACTTCCAACTTCCCCTTCACATATTTCTTAATCTCCCAGCCATCTACTTTAGGTTGCTTGCTCTCCTGCTTTTATTTTGTTTATTTGATGTTCTGTAATTTCTTTGTGAATAGAAGTGCCTGAGGATACAAAGCTCAGGATGCAGCTGGACAAACCGAGCAGGCACACCAAAACCCCACAGTTATTTATGCTATATACATTGCAGATGTGTCTTAACATACATCTTGTTGATGCCAAATGTCCAAATCCACAAATTAGGACCTATTAAAGTTTTGGATTTGTTTTAATTACGTTCTAGTTTCCAAGTCTGCAGGTCACACTCAACAGACATTTTTAGATTTTCATCTGAAATGGGAAGGCCTAGATACTTTGGCTATTTTGTGTGAAATAGGAACGAAACTTCACTCGTGGTTTACTCTGGTAAGGTATGGGGCTTTGTGAAAAACACCAAATAGACCAAGACTTGTAGGAACAAGGACAAGAGCTGGCAGTACAGCCTCCAGAGTGTCAGCACTGATGCTGTATTTCCAGAACTTTCAAGCTACAAGCCTTGCCATAAGCCTTATCTTCTCCCCAGCTGGTAGACTTAGGGGACACAGACTGGAAAGCGGAAAGAATATAATTTATGTCAGTGGTAATAAAGTGTAGGAAGATCTGCTAGCTTCTAGGTCCTGTCTGGGTGAAGCTGTGGTTGCAGTCTTGTTTATTTGGATATCCTCAGATCACCAAAAGGTTTTAAGGGGAGGACAAGGCTGCTACCAGGAGGTAAGCTGGGACAGAGGGAGGGTTGGGGAGAAGCACCTGGAAGAGTTTGGACAGGTGGCATTGGAGGGGCCAGGGAGCATTCACAAGACAAGTGCGAGAGGGCATGGCTCAGCAAGGGCTCCAAGCTCTGAAGAAGCTAGCTTGCTGCTTTCTGTCTTCCCCAAAACCCTCTGCACTAGAACATGGTAAGCAGTGTGCTGGGCTGCTGCACTTCCACAGCAGTGTGCTAAGAAAATCCTGCTCCTTTTCTAAACACGCTAGATTTGTAGGCTGCACCACACCCAGTGTTCATACTCACTGTCAACCTGCAAGGTGTTGGACTGAAGCTGTGGATGAAGTCGACCAAGTGACAAACTTTCACTCAGATTCTTGTTAAATGTTAAAACATTTACCAAAACCTGCAAGAGAATAAAAGATTCCTCAAAATGAGAATAGGAGAAGCCAACTTCTCAAGCATCCCCCCTAAGTTGTGGCTCCAACATCTGCAGATGAAGCAGGAAAAGGTTTTGAAACATTTACTGAACTGCGTGGACTAATGCAGGGTTTTGCACATAAGAAGAGGCCCGTGAAATATGTCCTGTATTAGTGTTGGTGGAAAAGTGGTACTTTTCAGGATTGCATAGGCTTTTTTTTGTCACATAGTTCCTGCTAAATTAGGAGAAATGCATATCTGGAACATGATGTAATCTCTAAATACCTGTTTGTTGCATCCAAAAGTTCAGCAGGTGACTTCTCCAAACAAAGTATCAGAAAGCAATGGTTGGCTTTAGTTTTGCTCTGAATAATGCCTTTCAAAAGGTAAGGAAAATGTGAGCCATTCTTGTTGTGCCTTTCTTTTTAGCAATCCATTGCTGCTGTTCATGCAATCAAACTTTTGGCAAGTACGTCACCTCATTCAAAATCATAAATTGGGAGGAGCTGCCCAATTTATGGCAAGTGCTGCCAGTCTTCTGCAATTTTCTGAATTACAAAATGCTCTTTTTTTCCCTAATGATCCTTAAGATGAGATTTGAAGAGGTATCAGAATGACACAAAACCATTACAGATTTTGCAAAGATGCTTTTCCTCTACAATTATGAGTGGTGCCACCAGGAAAGGTGCAACCTGGTAGCTCTTCGAGATTTGACAAACCAAATGTGTGGAACTGGTGACATCAAAGACTGAACTGGTAATCCTGTGGCCACTAGTTTCAACACAGCCTGGGACACGAGGAGGGGAAGGCCTGTACTGCAGCAGGGGACCCTGCTCAGCACTGAGCTCAACAGCTGCTGTGAGAGGGCAGGTGCCTGAACACAGCACTGACCTGAACAATGCTGCTCAAAGCTTTGTCTCCGTTGTTAGCTCCCAGACACAGGTATGTCCCACACATCCCCTCAGATGGTCTCACGATGGTGGGCAACAGGAAAGACAGGGGCCGTTTCTGAGGCTGAATGAGATTTTGCTGCAGTTTAAGAAAAGACACACCAAAAAAATTTCAACAAGCCAGCTAAACCTTTGCTGGAGCTCAAGTTGCACAGGTTAACTTCTTACTCTTTGTGCTTCAGCCAGCAATTGCACTTGTGTAGTTTTACAAGGCTGACATCCTCATTGCTAGGACAATGCTCTCTGATGCTAATAGGATCTATCCCATTTCACGCTGTGGATCTATTTTACAGAAGGTATATGGAGCCTTTCACCCACTTCCAAAGTACCAACCCAGCAAAGTGGGATGGTTTTACAATACTTGTCAAGAAGAAACAAGAAGGCAGCACTCGAAACCACCAGTACTGGTCTGTAATTGTTTCTTTCCAAGACCTGAAGATTTTTTTTCTTCTACCTGTTACTTTTAAACCTGCAGAGCTGCAATTCATAGAGTTCTTAATTCTGCAGAAAAGGACAGTTGCTTTAAAGTGCATCTGGACTGCAGGGAAAATAGGTAGCTGAGATGTGCAGCATCATTTGATAAAACTGCATTATAATGATAACTGATACACATAAAGCCTTCTGTTAACTCTGTTTCAGTGGCTCATATAATGAAAAACCAGGAGCTTTCTACAGATTGTTGTCTCAGTTATTAATAAGGCATTAAATAGCCTCCCTATTGTGGAGATGAGAATAAAATTATAAAAATGGTACAGACAGCTCAGATAACAAATTTGTCATGTCATTCATTACCGGCCTGGGAATCGAGTGGTTTGTTGTTTTATTTTGCCAGGAGAAGTCTAACATCTGGCTGTTCAGGAGGACTCCAGAGGATGTTATTATTCCACTGCCAAAGGGACGATTCAAAGAACTGAAAAGAAACACAAAGAAATCTTGTAAAAATTCTCCCAGATATTTTTGTACATCTTGAGGTTTTCAGGGCTCCAATGTTCTGTCCCATTTTGGCTTGACAGAGTCTCTTTGGTAGTTCTTTCGGGCTGGTTAGATGTGGAGTGAAAGTCTCCATGTACTTAGGAGCAGGAACCATGTGGGTGATAGCAGCTCTGTCCCAGCCTGTGTTTAAGGATTCCCCTCTAGGCAATGGATCTGTCTCCATGCCCCCATCAGTCCTCAGATTTGGCCATCACCTCTTCTCCAGGGAGCAGATTCAGGCCAGTCCAGACTTGTCTCACTGAGAGGGCTGTAGAATTGCACAGGGCAGAGCAGCACGAGCTCACACACCCCCACCCCATCCTCCCCATTTCACCTGTTGCAGGACTAACTGGGACAGAGCAGCCCCGCTGCTCCAGGTCTGGTCCCATCCTGTCCTGTTGAACCTGCTTTCTTCTCCCTGCTCCCACCCTCTGAGTACATTATGGAGGGAAGAAGTAAATCCTTTACCTTACAACCGCAACAATGAAGTCATCAGGTCCCATGACAAGGACCTGGCTAGCAGCAGGTCCACTCTCCATGGAGAAGTGAGGCATGCGGAGATCAGACAAGAAGGACTGGGAGTCATTAATCAGCTGGCGCAGAGAATTAGCTTCTGATTTACTTCAGCAGTGAGGGAGGGAAAGAGGAAAGAAAGACATGGGCCTAGGAAGCTGAGCATCTCATGGTCTCTCTGTGGGGGTACACCTACATGGCTACTGGTAGTATCTCCCTGTGGGGGCTGGCACTGAGGACAGGGAGCTCCTTTGGTTCACACAATGGAAGGAGACAAGATGGCTCAGTCCGCACGGAGGGGCAATGCCAAGCACCTCCCAGGCTCTGTCTACAGTGGTAAACTCAGCCTGGATGGACAAGGGGTGGCACCACCTGGCTGAATGCCAGTCCTCCAGAAGAAGGGCAAGTCAGGTCCAGCTCTGGCCACCAACTGTGGCTGAACCTGGCTCTGAGGTGGGAGGCTGGGCTGAAACCTCTCCCATGTGTCTGGGTGTTCTGCAAAGGCACCGAGGCCCACAGTGGGGAAGGGAGATCCAGAAACTACACGTGGTGATGACCACATGGGTGGCCGTTTGAGGGGTAAGGAAGTGGCAGGAACCCTCAAGATCAAGCTGGCTCCAGGAAACCTCTGTGTGAGGACATCCCATGATCCTCCCACGAAGGCCCATGGTATCAGCTGTGATCCTAGTGGAAGAGTGAGCCCTAGGAGGACACTCAAGGACTGACCTTTCCTCAGTAAAACAGGTAGAAAAACCTCATGTTTCCCTGTGCACCAAAAAGAACAAATCTAGGAACGATATCCAAATCACACGTCTTGCAACTGTTACCATGCTTCTCAGCCTCAGACCTACCTCACCATGCCTTCTGCAGTGTGAGTGACGGACACATCATCAGATGGGTCTCCCAGGTTGCTAGCTAGACTCAGGGCTATTTTTAATGTCTAAATGAAAGAAAGAAAAGAAAGAAAAGAAAGAAAAGAAAGAAAAGAAAGGAAGGGAGGAAGGGAGAAAGAAAAGAAAGGAAGGGAGAAAGAAAGAGAGAAAGAGAGGGAGGAAGGGAGGAAGGCAGGGAGGGCGGAAGGCAGGAAGGCAGGCAGGAAGGCAGGCAGGAAGGCAGGCAGGCAGGCAGGCAGGCAGGCAGGCAGGAAGGAAGGAAGGAAGGCAGGAAGGCAGGAAGGCAGGAAGGCAGGAAGGCAGGAAGGAAGGCAGGAAGGAAGGCAGGAAGGAAGGCAGGAAGGAAGGCAGGAAGGAAGGAAGGAAGGAAGGAAGGAAGGAAGGAAGGAAGGAAGGAAGGAAGGAAGGAAGGAAGGAAGGAAGGAAGGAAGGAAGGAAGGAAGGAAGGAAGGAAGGAAGGAAGGAAGGAAGGAAGGAAGGAAGGAAGGAAGGAAGGAAGGAAGGAAGGAAGGAAGGAAGGAAGGAAGGAAGGAAGGAAGGAAGGAAGGAAGGAAGGAAGGAAGGAAGGAAGGAAGGAAAAGGAAAACATTTAGGTGGCACTGCAAATACAATTTCTGATACTCCACACAGGAGTATCCGGTCTCCTGGCATGTTGGCAATAGCCTATGAAGAAAAATGTCTAAAAGCCTGGTCCTGGGAATACCTCAGTGCAAAGGGGTGCCACACGTGGGTAGGGGGGCCAGAGGGTATCCGCCTGGCATGGCAAACTGTGTAAGGGGAGCCGAGCATGCCCAGCAGTGTGTGTACAAGGTGGAATATGCCCGTGGGGAGCTGACCAGCTGGCTCAGCCCAGCTCAATGGTTCAGCTGCATTGCCAGCTGGCAGACAGGGTAACCAGGATGCCATTTACTATTTCCATTCCTGAGTGGTCACCACAACAGCAGAGATCACACTGAATCCCAGTGGGACAGTGGGTCCTGGGCTTGCTGTTGCCTCTGGATGGCAGCTTCACTGGCACAGCACCAGTGCCAAGCAGAAATTAGTTGTTCTGCTCACCAGCTGCTACCTGTGTTCCTAGTTATAAGTCATCCAAAGTGTTTGATCAGAAAGCATTAGTCCCAGCACACTTAAGGGAATGATGGTGTAAAAAGAAGGGATCTGGTTTCTCATACACGCAGAATCCTGCCTAAGCCAGTCCATTAAAAATGGGAAGATGCAATTTCAAAAGTGATGGTTTATCCAGCCCTGGTTTTACAGCGGGTAGCCAGAGGACAGCCACAAGGAGAAATTTCTTCAATCAAGCCAGCTTGTGCCCAGCAGAAATGCAAAAGACTTTCTGCTTGCATGCCATGCCATTTTCATTCAAGATTCAAGACAGTACATTGCCCTGCAGGTAGATAGCTAGATGTGACTTCTGTTTTGATATGTGCCACACATCAACAACTTCTCCTGAAGTGTCATCATTTATCTTCTGATGGACAGGGTAAAACACGATCAACTTCTGGAGAAGGTGGCATTTCCATGAAACAGCCTCCTGACCACCATACCATATGGGGGATGTACAAGAGGCTTGGTGGCAAAGGAGCTCCACTGAAACAAGCAGACCACATCCAACCCATAGGCACAGGTTAAGGACCTCTTGGTCATGGCTGTCCCAGGGCTGGACTATCTGGTGCTGACTTAGCACTGAATCTCAGCCCTGTGATCCCAAGTAATCAGGGTTACTCATCTCTGCAGTGACTGCCCTTTATCTGGAGGTTGTTGTTCCTCAGATGGGATATGATAACCAATAAGTGCAACTCTTGGCCTGGTGCAAACACAGAGCAAATAGATTCATCCAGAGCTTCCTGAAGAGAGCTCAAAAATAACTTAGGTGAGTCAACCTTCTCTGTCTCTCTACAGGCCTAGCAGCATGTAACACCTCCAGTTATTGCATTTTTGGTGAGAGGCAATAACTTCCAAGCGCCCACTGCCCTGTCTCCTACAAGGATGTGGTTACATCCTTTCTTAAAATTCCCAACCTGTAAAACTCAGCTGTGGATCTGTTAAGCATCTAAGAACATAACTGCTTATAGAGCAGGAAACAGAGCACTTGCTTGACTTCCTGGGAAGCTGCAATGTTTTAGTAGGACTGGCAGCCCTAAATACTGGAAAAGTCATGATCTGGACCACTGAGATCATGAGGTGGGCTAAAATGTAAAGGTTTTAAAAAAAATATAAAGCGTTAGGTCAGTTTCCCTTGTCATCACCACATTTAGGATTTTGCTTGCAGAATCACATTGCTGACTCTCCTTGCAGTGCCCTAGCAGTGCCCTGGTACGGTCAGGGCAACTGGAGCATAAGAGGTGGAGGAAATAGATGGGACTACTCTCATCTGATGTGGGGTGATTCTGAAGAGATGATCACATACAAGAAATGGCCAGTTTGTTCTTCTGAAAGAGCTCTGCCAAAGTAAGAAAGAGCTCAGCTGAGTGGGAGGCTCCATCATCTGCACCTACCTGAGGCAGCAGCACAGCTCAGATTTACATCTTAGCAGTCTATTTGCTCATTCTCCTCTAGGAATTACCTACAAACATTTTTGTACAACCAAGGAATAAACAAATTACTCTCTAGCAGCACAAGAAATTCAGCCAAATGTTGAACCTCCTCTTACCTCTGCCATCCAGTGCAAGATATTCCCCCTGGATACTTGACTTGTGATGTTAAAGCCCTCAAGGATGTTCAGTGCTGTGATCAGTGCAGGACCTGCGTGTGGAGGTGGGGGACTGAAAACAAGATGACCTGTGAAGGGAAGAGGAGAGGAACGAAGCTGCTTTTGTCAGATTCTGTCCAGTTATAATACTTGCCCATAAGCTAGTGTTCCGGAGGACAGGGAAGCCCTTCCTGATTTAAGGGGGAATAATGGAAAGCAACATGATTTGAAAAGTATTTCCCAAAATGTTCCTGTTGTATCTTTCTGTTTCTTTATATTGGATGAAGGAAGCCCAACTAGGGATGTTTTTTTTACATCTGAAATTCAGTTATTGTTGGTTGGCTGGTTGGTTTTTGGACTGCAGTATGGAAGAACGGAGATAAAATGGATTTGTAGCATTACAGCTATAAGGAGAGTAAATACAGGTTTTTCTAGAAAAGAATGACATTTTAGAAACTTTTTGCATAAAGTAAGTTCTTCTCCCTTGTAGATCAACTTTGGGAACTGTATTCAGGTGTAGGTGCTGGCCTATGGTCCAGCTTCTATCTAGACGTTGCATCAATATGTAATCATGTTGCATCTTTACACTCTAATGCTATCAAAATACCGTCAGTCACTATCAAGGCAAAAACAGGCCCATTTCAAAATGATGAAGACCTCCCGAACTGCCTATGATGCATCAGCATCAGTAGGCAATAGCAGGAAACTCCCTGGAGCGCTTTTTTGCAGGTGCCTCAGCACAGCTTTGACTTCAACTCTTGTTAAACACTGTCACCACCTCTTGCCAGGTGAAGCAAACTTTAACTGGAGTTGCATGGCAATGGGTCAGGCATTTACCTCGATAGACTGTGTGGACAGGATTCTCCACTGTGACACTGTAATTGCTGAAGTCTTCCTCCACCAAGACTCCTCCGTTGTTGTGGACCTGTGTAGGAAGACAAAGCAGCACACACTGAGAAAGCTGGGTCAAGGCTTTCTGTGTTCCTTGTGCTGGACCAGGTGAACACATCACCACACTAAAACAAATACCATTGAGGTTCCCAAGCCAAGTGCCAGGTTCTTCAGGATACCCTGAAAATCTCTTCTTTCGTGGCCTCGGTGGCCTGGCTCACCATTCACCACTGCTGGAAGGCTCTGCAGCTCACCCTCCTAAAGCTCACCCGCCCCATGGGTGCTTTGAAGATGTTCTGCCTACCTGTGAAGATGGGGATTGGCACTGCCTCACAGCCATCTCCTCCCCAGGTGGCAAGCACGAGCATGGCAAAGGTTATGAAGTATTTGAATATTGCCAGGATAAAAGATATATATGGATCCAGGAGAGAAGGAACCTGGGTGTAGCAGGTTGCCATCACTAGAAATCTTTAGCATACAATTCCCACCCTATTTTTAATTATTGCAGGTGACAGTGGGTCTGCTGTCGCCTCGGTCTTTTTGTAAGACTTGCCTGGAGCTACAAGTTACTGGGATTGGTAATTTTCATGAGCACATTAAATACAGGTGATTCACTCCATTTCAGGTCTTCTGCAGCTGAGTCATGATGGATGTGAGGTAGGACCATCATAACTGCACTTTGCTGATCTTAAAATCACCTGAAGTAGGCAATACTCTGCCAGCGCACAGGTGCCACTATGGTCACGAAGTAACTCTTTCCTTCCACCCAGGAGAAGCCATGCAACCTGGTGTGAGGTCCTCCTGGGGTGAGTTGCTGCTATGAGTCCTCTGGATTTCCATCAAAAAATGAGCAATAACTTGTGCATGCTCCAATTTCTAAACTAGCCAGCTAACTTGGCAAAGCATGGATGAATCACTGGACCAGGAAAGCTAACGCAGGGCACGTTGTGAGGGACAGCATGTCAAACCACCCCAAAGCTGCAAAAGATGTATCCCCTGCCTGGGATCCCTGCCCCTTTCCGAGCTGTCCCAGAGCACAGGCCAGGCTGAACCCGAGGGCTGAGAGGAGCAGGCGGGTGCCCGTGCCAGGAGCTGGCTCCCTCGGCTCAGCCAGCGCAAAGCCGGGGCAGAGCACCAGGGAGTGGGGCAGGAGGAGCCTGGTGGCACAGGGAGGGGAGAAGCCCCACTCAGCCACACACTGCAGACACCATCTCCAATTCCTCAGAGAACACTTTTTTGCACCTGTGCCCTCCCACCCTGGGGTGGAAATAAAGGGTAGGGTATTTTGGAGATTTACTCGATTTCACCACGTTGCTGCCCGCTCCCTTGGCTGGAACAATAAACACTGTGAGAAGCCAGCACTTTGCTCTGCTCTGCAACCAAAGCTGGAATTGCACACTTGATCACAGAGCTTGGCAGGGTCTTTGCTGTTACAACCCGGGGCCTTGCTCCTCCATAGATAGTTTGTGCTTCCCTGCAGCAGCCCTCGGGTCAGGGGAGCGGGATGATAAAGCAGGGGTTAGCTGTGGAGATGCACCACAAGCTTGGGACTTTTCCTGTTTCTTGTTCCCCACCTCTACTGTTGTTCAGGTGAACCATAGGAGATTTCCAAACACAGAGCTCACAAATGCCTAAGGCTTGAGCTGAATGAACTTATTCCAGATTACCAACATGTTGAAGGTACATCACTTGAGCCATGGTGGTAAGGGAAAATGGTGCCACCAACCACCCCAACTGCAGCTACACAGGTATAAAAGTTGGGTGCTTTTTTTTTACCAGAATAATTACTTTGTTGTTGCTATTTTTTCCATAGCACCTCTAATGACAGGAATTCAACTGGGACAACCCTAAGTGGGACCAAGGCTGTCTGATCCTCTGCTCACAAGGTTCACAATTTTATTTTAAAACCATCTTCTCGGAGTCTCTATCTTACAGTCCCATTATCAAGAAAAATTGTTCTCAACAGTGCGGCACCTCTCATTATGGGGAGAAAGGGGTTGTCACTAATACTAACACAGTCCAGAGGAGGCCTTGAAATTGAGATTTTTTTTTTTCCTTTGAAAAAAGTCCATCTTGATTATAAATAAAATGGAGGTTTCACTTCTGTAGGCTCTGGAAGTGACCTGTGTGTCACTTACACCACTGCAGTGACAGGGACAGGAAAGATAAAGGAGGCTCCATGCATTTTTCCCCATTATTGTGCCAACACTTTGCTATGGCTTATCTCCAGGCTGTCACCTTAAGCAGGTGACTTGTCTGGGGCGACAGGGACAGACGTGGCTCACCTCGGAGATTATCTCCTGGGTCAAGTTTCCACTGTAGAAAGCTGACACCCCTTCTGCCCCCACCAGCTCCAGGACGGCCGCGAGGTCCAGGCGCCTGACGAACATACCGGGCAGCAAGGGCTGGCCCTCCGGCAGAAAGACCTCCCGAAATTTGTCTGAGTAGTTCAGGTCCTTCAGTTCACTTATGGCTTTAGCTGCAGGTGAGAAGGGGAAGGACATCCAGAAAAGCCAGGGTGCAGGAATGAGCAGGGGACCTGGAGCCACCGTGCACCTGATGGGGGTGTTGGAGGCTTGCTGCTGACTCCTGCCCTATTTCAAAACTAGAGGGACACTGAATCATGCATCCATTAGAGCTGAGAAGGAAACACACACAAACCCCAGCACCCTTCCCCGGCCGGCCCTGGGCAGCTGCCCAGGATGGGCTGCTCTGACCTGTCCCTGAGCAGCCCTCGGAAACGGCTCCAGTTTTGTTGGCATCACACTCTCCCCTTGCAGACCCAGAGCTCATGCATTGCTCAGCTCCCAACACCATTCATCTCCAGGTCCAAAGAGCCTTAATTTCCCGTGAATATCGACCTACATCCCCAGCTGCCTCGCACCCAAGCACAGCGGCCAGTGCGCTCCTCCATGCTGAGCAGCCACTCTTGGCTCCCCACCAGGTACTCACCCAAATCATGTGTGACATTAAACCCATCCTGGGCGACACGGGCTGCGAGGCCCAGCAGCTCGGACCAGGTGAGCCTGCCAGAGGAGAAAGGGCAAGGAGAAGCATGCCTTGGAGGGGTGCTGCAGGGCAGGGCGGTGGGGAGCAAGCACAGGGCTTGGCCCTGCAGTCAGAGGGCTCCTGAAAGACCAGGCTGTGGGGCCAGTGGTGGCCAAAAGGAGCACTGAGCTTTCAGGGGGTTGTTTCTTTTTAGCAGGATCACCTCAGTGCTCCATTATGTGCACCAGAGAGTAATGTCAGTGCAAGGGCAGGGGAAGAGGCATCTCTGGGGCAAAATCTCAAGCCAGGCTCTGGCCCTGAGCAAGACATTCAGATCCCTTCCTGTCTGTCCTAATAGGGCATCGAGGGCCATCACACTTCTTAGGGCCCAGCTAAAGAGAGAATGGAAATACACATACATGCACAAAAATGTCCTGCGCCTATTTCTAAGAGAACATTTACTGTCCATCTTGTTAGCCAAAATTTCGCTTTGCAGAAAACCTGATCAAACTGAATTCTTTCTTTTGTTAAATGAAGTACAAAAAAATGAACATCTTTTTCAACACAAGCCTCCAAGTACCCCTTAGCTAATGGTTTTGACTGGTGGCTGAGAACAGGGTCTGATGGCGAGGGCTCGTGTGCTCCCACCTCCCCCTCAGGGATCCCAGGGCACAGCCTGTGCAGCACAAGGACAGCCTGCCTGTGCCAGCCTCATGTCTTACCTCCCATTTAACTGGTGTGCCTGGTGCATTCCTTGTATCATGCCTGGCACCCCCACGAGCAGACCTGGCTGTAAAATAGAAAGGATAAAAAGGAAGAGTAGTCTCCTTCTTATGAGGACATGGGACATGGTCCCCGACTGCAAGTCAAGGAGATGCACATCATATACACATGGGAAGTGTCTGCACAGTCTTCAGGAGAGGGGAAGAGGTCTGTAGCAACACACTAAATTAGGGAATAAAAGGTTTTGGAAGGAAAGGCAAATTCAATCCTGATCTCAACCCAGTTTTGTCAGGAGAAATAACTCAGAATGACACAGGACTGTGCTCCTCCCTGGGACTCCTGTTCTCCCAGCTCCCCAGTGCCAGAAGGACATGCCTCTTTACTCCCCAAGCCCTGCAGGCTCCAGGCATTCTGAGGCTGCCAAAAAAGGATTTTCCCTGGGCTCCTCATGTCTGCAGGGTCCAGGATCTCCCATGGTGGGAGAGACCTCCTGTCACTTCCCCGGGCATCTCCCCCTTGGCCCAAGAGTTGTGGGGAGAGGAGAGCTGGAGACATCAGCCAGCTACAGCCCTGGAGGGGTCAGCTGTGGGACACCGGGCCTCACCTTGGCGTCCTTCTGCAGGTCCCACTCCAGTGGGACGCCCATGGGAGCCACCTCGCGGAAGTCTATCACCCAGCTCCTGTTCTTCCGGATGTCGTGGACCAGCATCACCCCACCCCTGCAGCGAGACACCGGTCACAGCACGGCACCGGCTGTCCCCACAACAGCCGCTGCCGTAAAGCCAAAATGAAGAGTGTGGGTGCCACTGGGGCTGGGGCCAGTCCTGGCATGATGGGGCCAGTATAGTGGGTCACCAGCCTCAGTAGTGACCCAGGGCTGGCCAGTGGTGCAGGGGAACGCTGCTGCCCATCCCCAGAGAGCAGCTCAGGACAACTAAGCCAAGGCCAGGGCAGGATGCAGGCAGCCCCTGTGCTGAGCCTTCAGCAAGGCTAGATCAGTCCCTGCCAGTCTGGCCAGAGGCCATTGGCTCTGTTCAACTGCCAGGCTGGGACTATCTGGGATTTTCTTTCTAATCCGAGCAGTTTTGCAACAAAACAGGGTTTTTGCTTACAACAGCAATCCATGGCACAGCCCTGAGAAGCTATCAGGTGGCAGTGTTTTATGCAACACTCCTGAGACCTCCTGCAGAGCCGAGAGCATCAGGATCACATATGCCACCCTGGGGATGAGGGCTGGGAGGAGCCCACCCCTCGCTGCCATGCCTCCCGTGGCTGCTGTCTGGAGCTGGGCTCGGAAACTCGGCCTCCTGTTGCAGCAGGGGCAGAGCTTATGGAGGGAAGCACTCAACTTCTGAAAACAATGGGACTGAGCCCAGGGCACTGCAAGCTCCTGGCACACTCGCAGAGGGGGTCGGCAGCCTGTGGTCACTTTTTCAACCCATTTGAGTGTGGGGCTTGGACTTTCCTGGCAGCCACTAATGGCAGACGCAGCTTTTCCCTCCCTGGGGGTCTCTGCCCCTCGCTGTCCCCATCCCTGTGCAGATGTAGACACGTCCACTGCCTGATGTCAGAGACTTTGTACCACATGCTGGGATTCAGGCTACCATGAAGGCACGTCTCAACCGGTGGGGAAACCACCTGCTTGAGGACAACCGCAGCCAAAAGCCTGAGGGTGAGCGATCAACACTTGCCCGCCGATCCCTGACGTGTGGGGGTTGACGATCCCTGCACAGAGGGCCGAGGCGATGGCCGCATCCACCGAGGAGCCCTGCTTGTTGAGCACCTCTATGCCGAGGGCAGTGCAGCGGGCAGCGTCCGTGACCACGGCACCGCGGTGGAAGATCTGCCGGAAGAGGAGAGCGGTTGTGCCCGGGGAGGGGTGCTGGGGCCACCCAGATCTGGGGCACCTGAAGCCTGAGGCCAGCACCAAGGCTGTGGCCAATCTTCATTTTCAGGTGCCTCCAAATGCTGGTGGGAGTAGTATGTCCCTTGGCATGTCCCTGTAGCAGGGCAGCTGTGGCTGCTCTGCATGTAGCCATGGCCATCAGCCCAGCTGGCTTTCAGCAGTAGACATGCTAAGCTGTTGGGCCACAACTCATCCTGTCCTCCACCACCCCAGAGCAGGGTCGGACTAATCCTCAAATGCAATGGGTGACAGTGTGCTGTCACTGTGGCAGCAACGCAGTCACTGGAAACAGGAATGTAGCATCCCCCCGAGTACCACAGCTTGTTCTCATCCTTCTCTGGTGCCAGCACCAGTGCTAATGCAGTCACAGGAAGTTTTAAAAGGTTAATTTTAACCCTATGGTACAAATTGCAGCATCTCAGCGTGAGCTAGAGTGGCCCTGGGAAGCGCAAAAACGGAAGGGCCACGGCAGGCTGGCGGGCAGAACTGGCACTTCCAGTGGTGCCACAAAAGGGGCTGTGTTGCACAGCCTCCCTCCGGCACTGCACCCCAGCCGGCCACAGGGCCAAGCCACTCCACTCCCAACAGCTGCATTTTGCATGCCAGTGAGAGAGAAATAAATTTAAAAAAAGTAAATCTCCTTCACATGGACTCACAGGCAGCTCTGCCCTGCTGGGTGGCATACAGAGAAGATGATGGTGACTACTGGCTGCCCCTTGGGCCTTCTCGGGCAAGAGATGTTTTGCAGGAAGGTATGACCCCATGGCCATGCTGCCTTTGCTCTGCAATTTAGCACTGGTCTGTGGGACATATTAGCAGGAGGTTCAGCTCTGTTTTCAGATATACCCCTGCTTTGTGCAGAGGTGAGCCTAGGTGTACAGATCCATAAAACTCTCTCCAAGAGGGGATGTATGAAAGATGTCTGCTGCTTAACTAAGGATTGCTTTCTGAGAGCATTTACACCTGGCTCAAACCACAATCATCCAGCAGCAGGTCTGCCCACTTCTCTCTGGCAGCACCCCCAAACCTGCCAGACACAGCCACCCACACCCCAGACGTGGGGCAGCTCACCTCTCCGAGCACGACCCCCAACCACAGGAAAAAGATTTTGAGACAATTTGGGGTGGAATTGCAGAGAAAGACTCAGCACCCAGGGTCTCACTGACACCAGCTGGAGCTCACCAGTACTCACCCCGCCAAACTGCTGGCAAGGAGGAAACTTAGGGAGGTTCTCCTGTTTTTGGAGTCAAAGCCCAACTGCAAAGATATCGTTTCATCTTACCTGAGAGTCCCCAAAATAGATCTGCATAATCAGGGCCACTGTGACGCCCGTGGCGAAGGTCAGGCAGGCAGTGATGATCACAGTCAGCCCATCCTGCTGGCAGCTGCAGTCTCCAGAAAAAGGGTCCTTGCTTGTCTCCTGGAGAGGGGACACGTCCTGGCTTCCCATCTCTGATGAGGATGAGGGCAGACGCTGGAGACGTGCCGACTTCAGGAAGGAGTCCGGGTCTTTGTGGGCAGCAGGGAGAAAACAAGTGTTAGATATTGAGCAACATGAGGCTCTTATTGCAGTGTTTATCCAGTGCTAACATTACACCATGCCCCTTCCAGCAAAGCTATTACCTTCCCTATTGATCCCAGCTCTCATGAGACTTTCTGGCTCAGATGCTGCTTTACGTCATTTACTGATCCCTTGTTTTAGCTCTAGTTATTCCAAACTTACTTCCCTGGAGATTAAGAGGGGCAAAAAACCCTGAATCTTGCTCCTTTTCAGTCCTTTCATCAGTCTTCAGTGATGAGCCCACAGTTACTGCTCCATTTGGAGGGGTTCTTAACACAGCACTGACTTGCAAACAGATCTCTGAAATGCAGCAGGACTGAAGAAGAGGAAATTAAAAAAAAAAAAAAAAAAACCAAAACAATCCAGCAGCCTTATTTGGAGCTATGCTTGAGTTAAAGCACCTGAGCAAAACAGAGGCGAAGCAAAACGTGTGGCCTGGGTGCAGGAAATATCTCTTCAGAAGCATGACAAAGAGAGGGCAGAGAGGAGCAAACCTGCAAACCAGAGGGCCTCGGGGTGCCCACCCGCTCTGATGGCAGGAAAGGCTCTGCTTTAATTTCTTGCTTCCTCCAGCTGACAAGGCCCACTGTGAAATCAAGGCACTCACCAAACACCCAGCTCCAAGATGTCAAATGCAACGGGGCAGAGTTTTGCTGGGCATCCACCAGATGGCAAACAATGCTCGGTGGGATGAAAAAGTCTCTCTTCTCCTCTGAAAGATGCCTTGAATCTCTGCTTGCATCCCTTGTGGTGGGGGGAACGCCTGCTGAGCATGCCCTGCCTGTGCACAGGCACTGCCTGGCACACAGAGCTGCTGTGGGGACATGCCTGTCCTTGCTGGGCACTGAATGGGACCAAGCGGCTCAGGGCATCATGCAAAACTCCTGGATGAGTTTTTTCAGGGACTGCTGAGAGTCAGTGGCGGCTGCAGTGCCCTGTGCATCTGTGGTGGGAAGAGGAGCACCAAGTTGAAAAGACAAGATAAAAAGCTTGTCCCTCCACACAGGGGACGTTTCCCAGGTTTGGGGTGAGGGAGGAGGGAGTGAGCAGGAAAACCCACATCCCTCATCACCCCGCCATGCCTCCAGCTCCTCTGGCAGACAGCCTCTCCCTGCAGACCACCAGCCCTGTCCTTGCCACGACATTAAAAAAGACTCTTGGGTGCAGCTCTCCTGGGACGAGGCAAGGAGTTAGTTTTAATTTTAGTAATGCTGCAACCACGAGGAAACCCCCTGCAGCCAAGGAATCACCTTATGGTGAATTTAATCTCATTCATGCGGTGGTGATTCAGGAGCACTACTGGGAAAGACTCAGCTTTGCCAGCCTGCACCTCTGAGTTCCTCACTGCTACTCCTGGTCTGAGTGAGCTGGGGCTGCAGCATACAGGCAGAGTGGAAGGCCTGGCTGGGGTGCGGGCGATGGGCTGAGGTGCCTCCAGAGGGGGCTGTGACTGGCCTGGCAGGGGATGCCACCGGGGAGGAATGGCACATACAGCCCCTGGCAGCCCCCTCAGTGGGGAAACAGGGAGTGAGCTGGGCTCCTCCGCCTGACCCCTCCAGGATGCGGTCCCTCTGATCTGCTCCTGCAGCACTGGTGACAGGCCAGCCCAGCGCAACGGGACACGAGCATCCAGGCAGTCACCACAGGAGAGGACAGGCCACAGCCCTCCAGCACGTGGCCTCTCCCACCCATGCAGAAGTCCCTTTGTTTTCCGCCACAGACACCCCACATGGCCTTGACCAAGTCACTTAGTCTCTGTGACCACCGATGCTGCATGGAGACAGCAGGGCTGCGGTTTGGGGACAGGAGCGGCTGGAAGGGGTCCATCGGGAACACAGAGAGTAATAAGCAGCCTGCGAGGCCAGCGAACAGGTGCCCATCCCACCACCAATGTCCAAGCTTGAAAGAAGCCACCAAACCCTATTTGGCTTCCATGGGAACTGTGAAGGAGACGTAGCTTCACGGGGGAACCAGCACTTTGGGGAACCAGGGTCACCTCAGCTCTGGAGCCACTGCAGAGGGGACAGCAGAGACTGGAGCCGCTCAGGGGCTCTGGCAGGTGCTGCAATGTGCGACCATTCAGGCCTTTGCAAGGTCTGTCCCTAGCACCGACAGCACAACAGAGGCATCCTCCTTTTAATGAGAGCTTCTGGGCGGTAGAAACCAAAGGTCTGGGTTCCCTCCCTGCCAGTCCGGCAGATAACGTGGCATGGAGAAGCACGGCTGGCTTTTCCAAAGCAGACACAGTGCTGGATGAGCATGAGTTTCCACGCGGCAGGAGAGCGGCAGCTCTTCCAGCCACCCCACTCGCAGGCACCCGAGGAGACTGAGACCCTGTGCCTGGTGAGGCATCGGCACAGCCAAAACTGCACCAAGCTCTGCTCGTGCTCCACATGCAAGATGAGAGGCTTTGTGCTTTTGGAAGAGCTGTTCTGTCAAACCCGCGCGCGGCAGGTTCGCCCCAGCAGCGTGGGATGGCCCGAGATGAGAAAAGGCAGCAGGAGCTTCACGCGGCAGTCGCAGGGGAACGGGGCAGAGGACAAGCGGTGCCTGCTCAAACATGGGCCTCGGGGTTTTGGGGTCCATGAGGCAGAGACCTGCCTGTGGGTTATGAAGCAGGCCTGGGGGGTGAAAGGCAATATTGCTTGGAGAAACTTGGCATGGGGGAGAAAAAAACGTTTCTCTTAACTGCTGAGAAGGAAGCAATCAATTAAAAACAGACCAAGGGTTTTCTCGAGGATCAAAAGACCGCCTGCCTTTATTACAGTAGTGCAGCTAGCTGGAGGAACTGCTAACTCCGTGACAGACCCCTGGTATCTCTGGCTATCTTCCGTGCTCACGGCACGTCCCCGGAAGGTAAACGAGGGGCCGGGGGGAGCCCGGCGAGCCCCGACTCCCTGCGTGGGGCCGGGGAGACAAGAGCCCTTTGGGCAGGTGGAGCCCGCGCTCCGGGCCTGGTCCGGGGCCGCTGGCGCAGCTGGGGCCCGCGGGGACCGGGGGCATGCGGGGCCGCGGGCGGGCTCGGCCGCCGCCCCTCACCCGTGTCCTGCTCGCCCAGGAACGCGTCCTCCTCCTTCCGGGCGCGGAGGCCGCCCTCCGCCGCGCCGCCCGCCTCCTCCTCCGGTAGCCGGGGGAAGCTGGTGATGCTCATGTAGTCCACGGGCGAGCCGACGGCCAGGGCCCGCTGCCGGCCTGCCCCCGCCTCCGCCGGCACCGGCACCGCCATCGCCGCCGCCGCCGCCGCCGGAAGGGGCGGGGCCGGGCCGGGCCGCACCGCCCGCCGCGGCGGGGCCCGGGGGCGGGCTGAGGCGGCGGCGGGGCGGGGAAGGGCGCGGGGCCCCGGGCCCGCTGCGGGCGCTTTGCCGCAGCCCGAGCGCTGGAGGCGGCAGCCGTGGTCGGGGGCCGCCGTGGTCGGGGGCCGCCGTGGTCGGGGGCCGCCGTGGTCGGGGGCCGCCGTGGTCGGGGGCCGCCGTGGTCGGGGGCCGCCGTGGTCGGGGGCCGCCGTGGTCGGGGGCCGCCGTGGTCGGGGGCCGCCGTGGTCGGGGGCCGCCGTGGTCGGGGGCCGCCGTGGTCGGGGGCCGCCGTGGTCGGGGGCCGCCGTGGTCGGGGGCCGCCGTGGTCGGGGGCCGGAGGAGCGCGGCCGGGCGGGTCTGGGCCGCTCCTTGCTCCGTACGCTGGGTCAGAGCCGGCGGAGGGGGTGGATCAGCCCCGGTCCCCTTCAGACCGGGGGCGTCGGCTTTCCAGGCCTGATCAGAGATATCATAGCCTTGTCTCCCAGAGGTTGGGAGGGTTTTCTAAATGACGTGCATGCTCTTTGTGCTTATTCAAGCAAACTTTTAGCAGGGAGGCTCTCATGCTGCCGTTTCACCCGTTACCGCAGCGGCAGGGGGGGTCCAGGCACCCAGTTCAGCATCCAACAACCGCAGGCGAGAGACCCTGTGGCAGTGCCACAGAGCAGACTGGTGTGCTCTTTCTCACAGCCAGCTTGGCCTTCCAACACGGACCTCTTGTGTGCGGGGGCATCTGGAGACGAGAGCTGAAGATCATGGTTCTCGTCATGGCACGACAGGTTCTGGCTGGTGTTTGCAGGTGAAGCTGGCCAGGCCCAGCCCGGGCTCCAGCAGCCCCAACACACGCCAGGACAGGCTGAGGCTGAGCCTGAACTGGGGCCACAGAACCGGCCGTGCCCGAGGCAAACCTGAGCTATGGTTACCAACAGCTCCGGTCTGGCGAAGGGTTTTGATTGAAATACACAGAGCGGGGGAGCCCTGGTTTGCATGGACATTTCTGAAATCAAACTGGCTGAAACATCACATTTTTCTCCCCTACACTTCTTTCAGAGGTTGACCGAAAAAATGCCAGTAAAATAACTGGAAGACGGGAGAGGTTGTTTCATTCTGGACTGAACAAAATGCTTCAGGGTTGTGTAAATTACTTCCCTCCCCCCCACCCCCCCCCAACACCACCCGCCTCTACCTCTCAGCTTGGCACACATGCTTGGCTGTTCAGCTGCCAGATCTGAAAAATCCGTCCTCTGCCCTGGTCTATCCCAGACATATGTCGTTTTGGGAGACAGAGCATGTTGACTGCTGGGCTGTTTGGCTCTGGAGAAGTCACCTGAGAGGTACACATCCTACTTTCTCATTCGCCAATAAGCTGGCTAGTGCCCCATGCTTTTCCCTGCATGAGCAGCTACACTAGCTCACTCAATGCTTCTTAATGCAGGGAGGTGTAAACCTTCCTCTGCTGTGGCAGTGGCAAGGTTTTGTTAGTGTCCTCCAGCAGCCTGAGGGCATAATGGGCACTCCCAGTTATTAACTAAATACTCCTGAGAGCATAGCTTGGCTTTTGCAAGGCAGTCTCAGCCTGCTCCATTTTCAGATATCTCTCCAGCCTTCCCCTCCACAGCAGTTAGAGGTGGTCCCTTCCCCATCAAAGCAACTCCTCCAAAGCCAGGAGCTTTGTGCATACTGCATCCTCCTCCACCCATTTGCCTGGAGGAGTATTAACAGACATCCTTGAAACGAAACACCCTAGGAAGTGTGGGCAGGGACACACTGCTGTCCCAGGTCTCAGCAAACAGTTGTCAGATCTAAGTGTGCTTGAAGACAAAGCTTTACTTCCTGCTTCTTGGGCTTTCAGGACCCTGCTTTCCTCATACCAACCCAGCCCCGGCTACTCTTGTGTTTCTGACAAACCAAAACCATTCAGCTCTGTCAGCTGTGAGCAGCTGAATCATAGCAACTGTGAGCACAGCCTTTGCAAGCTTAGAAATCAAGCTGGGGAAACACAGATGACAACACCTCCACGGAGGGGATAGAGGCTCCTCAGCGGTGTGCCCCCAGCCCCAACAGGCACCACTAACTTTAAGGACAGCCCAAGCTCTGTTAAAAACAAGTGACATCAGCAACTTTCCCTTGCTGAACCAAAACCACAGGTAACAAATTTACATCATGCTACCTGCTCAACCATCACCACTGCAGAGCTACCCTGTGGCAGGCTGCAGCTCTTTTAGCTGGAGTCTGACAACTGATGTTGCCAAGACACAAGATGCCCAGCCCAGCCACCTCTCAACACCTGTTAGCACATCTTTGCACCCACGTTGGTTTTCCCTTTAACTCCAAAAATATCTTGCATTAAAGTTTTAACAGATACTATGCTTGAAGCCCAAGACAGAGCACAAGAAATTTCTCTGCCAGTTTCACACCAGAACACACTTGCTCCTCTCCTCACAATGAGGTTAGGCCAGGGAATATTTCACTCTCCTTCCTGCCAGGGACTGGCTTCTTTTTGCTGGAAGCCAAAGTGATGTTACTCCCGGTCTGCAGCTAGCAGTGAGCTTCACAAAGCCTGCAGGCAGTACAGCCTCTTCTCTGCACCGTCATGTAGACCCCATAAGGATGCAGCTTCCTGGTGGAACTATATCCCAGTGGCTGTGGCTCCCACAGCTCAGCTCTCCAGCACAGAAAAGACCTTTTTCTCCCCAAGTTGCTGCTCCATGGTAGTGCAGACGCCCTATCAGCCATAGGTTTAGTCCCCTGCCCTTCAAGGAGAGCAAAAGTACAGAGCAAGCATACGCTTTGTGCCAACACCAAAACTGCTAAGGACAGAGGTGCTGCCCAAGCCCCTGTTCCCCCCACCGTAGTGCCTACTCTCAGCTGCTGCTCTTCTGTCCTCCTAACACTCAGCTTCATGCTGCTAGACCATCCTTATGTCAATCTCTCAAGTCTATGCAAAAACTCCTTGTTTTTACAGTGCTCATAATTGCAAGATGCTCAGTTCCATTGCACAGCCTGCCACATCCCCCTGAGCTTCTTAAAATTAGCCTCATTTCTTCAGGGGCAGATGCCATAGCTTTAGTTCTCTTGGTGATCAGCACTGGGGATACCTGCTTCTAGCCACCAAAACACCCCTTAAAACAGAAACCTTTAGAGATTAAAAGCTTGCAGCTGGGCACCTGCAATCACTAACTTACCAGGAGCCTTGAGGAGGCCAATGTCTCTTCCGCATGGTCACACTCCTCCTCAAGGATCCTCCTCAACTCAGGTTCTGCCTCAGCTTCCAGCCACTAAAACTGTATAAAACTGCAAAGACCAAGAGACTCAGCTGGTGGGACTGCAGGCAAGCAAGGAATAGAGCAAAGAGGCAGTTAAGCAACTCTCCAGTTCTGCACATTTTACAGCAGTGCTTGAAGTCCTGGTCTGGACCCGACTTGGGCACTCTGCAATGCAGCAGTGGCTCTGACATGATTGCGTGTCACGGGACAGGGACAGCAGCTGAAGGAGCAGAACAGTTTACATAGAGGCAACACTTGGCTTAACCACCCATTAAAGCATGGGTCTAAACATTAGCTACTACTTCCACTACAAATGCTTCTGGCCCCTTCTTAAAGTGCAGAACTTAAGCCGGCAGCACAAGAGACCTGAGAATCCCAAAGAGCTGCTGGCTTAAGTATTTACCAAAAATCAAACTCTTATAGGAATCCCATACTCCCACCACTTTACAAAACTTCAAAGACCAGAGGATACGGAAGCTGCACAGTGGATTATCCAGGCGACATTTATTAGAGCATTTCAAGTATACAATGATTTTACTGACGGTTGTGAGCAGCTAAGATGCAAACAGATGCCAGTAGGAAAAGGTGACCTAAAAGCAGCAGGCTATGCAATTCTTGTAGGAAATTAATGCTTTCAGCTGAAAGAAGAGGAAAATAAAGTATCAGACTAGAAGACGGAGCAAATTGGGGGATATGGAAGAGAAAATATGCAAATTTTTATTTGAGATCACTTACTTAAATTGGCAACTCACAAGTAGCAGAAGCTGCCTGCTATTGCACTCTTCCCTTGGCATCCCAAGGACCTAAAATAGCCAGGTGTGTTTTCCCCACCAAGAACAGACAGCATTTTCCCTGATAAGAATGGAGGCCTACACTGGTGGGTGATTCTGGAGCCCTAGCCCAGCACTTGGATATTTAGATCCCTGGCTTGGCATCCTCACGTGTGAGAACCAGGCTGTTAGACTTCCACCAGTGAGGAAGCAATGCAGACTTTCAGCAAGAGCACACTAGAACTATCAACTCTTCACTCTAAGGCAGCTTTAGGGCAGGACTCTTTTTGGGTGCCTGAGCTGTTGTTTAGAAAAGCAAGGACCACATGGCAACAAGACTACAAGGTCCTCTGGCAATAACAAGGACTGTGCGTGTTTCCCAAGAGTTATTTCTGAAAGACACATCCCTAAAAATATCTTAAAGCAGAGACTCCCCCATTCATGCACAAAAAGAGCACGACTAGGGAGGAACTGAACTATGAAATGATCAACTCATAAAAAGCACCTCACAAACCAGAGGCTGTATACTTTGCCTGATTTGCAAGTTAGTAATTCTGCATTTAAGATAATAGCTGCCTCAATTGTGTCTTAGACTCCTGCATTTATTAACAAGGAGCAGTTGAATTCAAGAGCTTAAAAAAAAAGCATTTAAACGCTTAACATTTAAAAGAGTATCACCAGAATGACTGTCCTTCAAGACTACTAAGCTCTGAGGTATGTGATGGCAACTTAGTAGCCAGGCTAGCAGAATGCAGCAGAGTTTCTAAGCCTCCTGAATACACCTTCGTTAACCAAATGAATCACAATTGTTTCTAGCAAAATTGCTTAAAAATTTGTCTTCGGCAAAGACCATTTAAAAATTCTGGTTGACAACTGATTTGCAAGTAAACCAAAAAAATATTAGAAATGGTAACAACATAGTCTGCTTAATCAAATCAGATCTGGTTACTACAAAAACATGCTAAAGACAGCCACTCAACTCATATCCTGGATGCTGCAGTGCCTTCCTCCCACGTACCCTACAACTGCTTTTTAAAAACTTGTTTGTCTAAAGGACAACAATGGAAGACAATTCAGGATTTAATGACAGATTTCAAACAGAAGGGCATACATACATTAAATTAACAGATTCAACCTTCAGCACACAGGAGTTTGACAGAGTTACTGGCTAGAGTCACAGAAAGTTCCAAATTTGAACAGTCTTGAACCACTTCCAAAAATTCCAATGGCTTTTTAATAGTTCCAACAATTAATGGGTATATAAAATAGAGACGGACTTCTCCAGAAGAAGAGCTGGGGCTCTTCCAGGCTAATCAGACCGCTGGTACAGAAGGGAGTTGATTTGACCTCCCCCACCTTCCCACCAGTCCACTAAAAACTATGATTTATTAAAACCTTCTTGATTTACTGACGACTGATTTAAGAGGCAAAAGCTGCAGACTGTGTCAATCATAGTGGATGGCAGTATAGAAGATTATCCAAACAACCTGCAGAGAGGAAAGGAAGTGAAGGTTATTTTGATGCTTCTGGACACAGTTCAGACACAGAAAACAATCCTCACACCTCGCTCTCAAGAGAGGACTGGACACTGAATTTCAGCATTGAGAGGGTCTTGGAGAGATGTTAGGATCACCACATGCCACAAATGGTGGCACTCAACATGCTCGCCTTCTAGGGTGACTAGCCTCTCCACATTAAAATCTCACCACAGTCCTTCTATTGATTTAGAAACACCAAATCAAGTGCTGAGTGTATTCAGAGACTTGCGGGAGGGGGGTAAGGGAAAAACAAAGACACCCAAAACACCAGTTCCGGTGTAACTAGCTCTAGATTAAACTCCACCAGGACATCTAGGACAGAGGATGGGAAGACACAGAAGTTAAGTGGTAGTTGCAGAAGTATAACTGTTCCTACATCCTTTCCTACAGAGAAATCCCAGGCATTGATACTGTATTTCATAGCCAGTAGCCATCAGATTTTGGGATTTTCTTTCCCAATCAACTCCACTCATGAGCTGATGTTAACACATCTCTCTTCTATCAGCACATCACCTTGCCTGCTTTTCTCCCAGGTCTTTTCCCTCAGAAAGTATACCAACACAATTCAGTAATCAACTTAAAGAAAGCAAGAGGCATTACCAGAAACAGTGCAAAAGATGTCATGAATCCTTCCTTTGTTAGCTCCCATGTCCCACCATACTCCTCCTCATCTATCTGCTGGAAGCTACTGAAGTAGAGGTACAGAACGCCAGCATTGATCAAGCAGAATCTGGAAGAATGATATTAGGAACAGTCATTTTGGTGATAAAGAGTGCAGGTATCCAACATCCCATACAGCAATGGAGCAGTGAAATGTCTTTCATTCACAGCAGAGAGGCAACAAAGAGGAACACTTCCTGCAACACTTCCCAGGCAGCTCAGTCACTTCCTTAAAAGAGCAATTCCAGGTCAGCTTGCCATAGTATGCTAGGTTTGGATGAAGGTCACCTCAGAAGGCACAACCTGCTCCTAGTGAGGCTCAGTAGACATTAGTCAAAAGCTGGAAGTATCAGCAGAGTAGCAGCAGTCCTGCTCCCATACAGAATCCAATTTCCTTGTACGTGCTACTTGATCTTGAGACTGCTAAGAGGAAAGACTGTTAGACTCTATGCTCGGTGTTAGATCCCTGTTAGCGTCCCATGACCCAATGCAGTGACTTAGAGATGAGATCCAGAGAAGACTTGACAGCACCCTCAGAGCAATAGCACTGGGGTTCAACTTGAGACAACTCCTAGCGCTCTCTAGTCTCTGCCAATAGTTACACTGCAATGGAGAGAAAAAATGTGATCTGCTGTTTGTCCTTAGACATGTTTGGATTTACACCGCCCCAACTTAGGGCTGCGACAACCTGGGAAGTGACAGGCACATTTCCTGGAAAGAAGGCTGCGTAGGAAAGGCAATGCAGGAAGACAAATGCCCAAGTTCAGTGACTGGCAGCAAACTGTGAGCTGCTGTGCAACTGCATACCACAGAAACCATGCACTCAGTTCTATAAGCTTTTAGTTTTTCCACTGTACACCAAATCACTTCTATTTCTTATTAACATTTAGCACAGGAATTGGCTTAGGTGGCTGAAGGTGCCTTGTGAATTAATGGATGACTAAGTAAGAACAATGCTTCTCAGCTACTCTGCATCTGTTCCCGGGAGCACTTTAGATTGAACTGTTTGCATGTAGCTGTAGCTACTGAGTTCCTGTTGGAGCACCACTGCTTTACAGCCCCTTGTATCTAAATTTTTTTTTTTTCTATTTCTTTGAGACACTTGCTGTTACTCCCTCCACTTTCTTGACACAGCCAGGACACTCAGGAGGAGGGAGAAGATAACAAGTCAATTTTGCCTAGGAAAAGCTGTGTGGTTGTGAGCTTCACTAGGAGACCTTGACTAGGCAGAGACTTTTACAAACAGGAAGTCCCCAGAGCAGACACAGCATCTTCCTACACCTGGTGTTTAGAGAACAGGGCTGTGTTTCCCACCTCTGGTGTCCCTCTAGAGGCTTTCAGGCACATGCAAGGGCCAAACAAATTTTCATTTCATAACACAAGAGTGCTCATTGCAGCCTTCAGACACCTGCTGGGAGGTGACCTGAATCCCACTACTCAGTGGGGATCTGATGTGTACATACTCTTCTAGGCACCGCCTTCCCCCCAACACCATGGCTGAAAGAACAACTTCAGCAAGCGGGGAGTGCTGCAGGAGCACTGCAGCAAAGGTGCCACTTTGCCTGCTTGTTAGCTACAGTCTCTGGTGTTTTGAAGAAACCTTTTATTTTGCAAAGAGAAGCTGCCCCTCTTGTCTACTAACAGAACCTCCCCTCTGAGAAGGGCTCCTGACTCAAAGAGGACCACCACACCTTCCCTTCTATAGGCCTTCCTTCTTATGTGGTCACACTAGGCACCACACTCTCAGCCCCTATTCACACATGCAGGAACAGGCCACTTCACGAGGCAATTGAACCTTTTGTTCCCTCCTTCTACCCCCACCCCCTTTAATAATAATAAAATAAATCATTATTTTAAAAAGCATTAATCAGGCTGAAGGGAGAGAAAGAGGCTAATGAAGACATGTTATGATTCATATGAATTTCAAGACAAATAACAGTCTGGAATGTGATGCTAGCTTTAAGATGCACAGCAGACAGAGACTGTGCTTGGCCAGCCCATTGTTTATAGCACAACTTTAAGCCAGACACCAAGTAAAGTCCAAACGTGGGAAAGTACATGAGACAGAAAAGGAAATAAACCTTACACTGCTATTCCCACGAATCCCTTCAGTGGAACTACTCCCCAGATGATTCCCAAAATAACTGCAATGATCTGCCGGAACCAGTAGATCACATCTAAAAACTCGTCCTGAAGAGATAAAACACAAGAAAGATTTTGGCATTTACTATGTTTCCTTTTTTTAAAGCATCATACAATTAACAGGTAAAACTCTAACACACTAAACACTTAGTTTTCCATTCAAAGTATAAGATACTGTACTCTGAACTGATGAAGGCAGCTTATGGCATCATGTACTCTGTATTTCTCTGCTTTCAAATTAAATACACAGCTTTGTCCTCCAATGGGCTACCTGCAGAGGTGAACAAGTGCCTAATCCCCTTGCTTACTAGAGATTGAATTCTTTAAACTTTTATTCCAGTGATTTTTTTTATAGAACTGTTTATGCTTTAAGACTGTTATTACCACTCTCAGTGCCCCAGGCCTTCCCCTAACCAGAAACAAGTGCTACTACCAGTAGCCAGTACTCACGCCAACTCCAAACCTCAAATCATCTCTCACGTGTCCTACAAGTGCATCTGCATTCTTTGAGGGCAGCAGCGAAGTGGCCATTCCTGTCTGTCCACAGGGCCACTGCAACTGTAAGTATTGCAGCTGGATGATACTGACTCATGCTTTAAATAAAATTAACTTCTGCTCGCATCTTTTTTTCTAGCCTCCCCAAGGATGGGATTGCCCCGGCATACCCCCAAACACCAACAACCTTCGCGATTTTACTGTAGGATGTACAAAGTTGTTTGGCTCCAGGTGAAAGACTGGCATCCATGTCAGATAGAGTAATTTCTCTCAGTCACTACACTCCTCAGTCATTTTAGCCTTCAGTTCACATCCTGCTGCATCAAAACATTGGGACAGCCTGTCGTTGCTCCCCTTGCTAACTCTAAAATTCCTGCCCAAATTGTTCCGAGGGGGATGAGGCTGAGCACAGGAGAAGCCCATCAGTTCTGTGAGCAACAGCGACTGATAACAAAAAAGTGACACATATTCATGTCTGTCCCCCCAAGAAAAGCAGGGCAGGGTCCACACCTTCTCCACGCTGAAAGGCAAAGCCAGCAAACCAGGGAGCAGAGGTCCCTGGCACGTGGGCCCTGGGCCCAGGCCACGCTAGAGAGATGCTGCAGGAGCTGGGAGCACTGTGGGGGTGTGCTGCTGGGGGGCAGCAGCAGGAAGAGGCTCTGACCCAGGGGCATTAAAGCTCCCTGGAGATACGCACATTGAAGAAAGCTTCACTAGTGCTAAAAACACTGGGAAGTCTGTAGCTGACATACTTTCACTCATACTTGGAAGGTTTGCTGACAAACACGAGCGAATCATGCAAGTTGAGTACACACATGAAATTCTGCGAAAAATCCAATCTGGTTTTGCACATGAGACGGCGAGGCTAGGAACAGCAAAGCAGACCACAAATGGCTAAACAACCACAGCTCTCACAAGCCTGATCTTGCTGCTGCCCTTTCCCTTCAGGCCTCTCAGCTGGATTTGCAAATATATTTTTCCTATAACTTCTTAAAGTAGATTATGCTCCTAATTTTCTTTTAAATACACGAAGTAAATGTTCATTTAATCCCAGAAAAATGTAATCCAAAAGCCAAATTGAACTGAGGTATCTTAATACGATCTTAATATAAATTAATAATATAATATATCTTAATATGAGGCATTTTACGTTTTCTTTGGCTCCACGCCCAAGTACCAGAAAAAGAACTGGGTCTGCTGTAGGCACCGGCACACCAGACACGCCACATCTGCCTTCAGGAAGCACTCGGAGGGGAAGTCCTCTGAGTGAGAACGGACACAGCCCCACTGCACGCCGGCTGGCCAGCGCGGGAGCCACAGCTGGGTTTAAACAAGCGCTGTGTTTGCCCGGGACGTGCGCCCAGGGCACCCCCGGGGCTCGCCCCAGTGCTGCGGGTCGCAGGGCGCTGCCGAGCCCGCGGCACAGCAGCGCCCACCGGCGCTTCCCGCAACGGGGACTTCGACGAACCGGGGAGGCGTCCGCCCGCCACCCGCGGGGACGCTGCCCCGGCCCCTTCCGCCGTCCTTCGAGGGCGGGATGGGAGCCGCCGCCGCCGCTCCGGCCGTGCCAGGGGCTGCCCGGCGACCGCCGAGCCCCACCGGACGACCGGCGCCGGTCCCGCCGCGCTCCCCGCGGGATGCCCCCGCACCTTGTCGTGCCAAGCGGAGTCGCTGCGCAGCGCTTTGCCCCACACCGACCCGCGCCCGGCCGCGCCGCCGTTGGCCACCGCGTGCTGCTGCGCGTGCGGCGGCTCCTCCCGGCGCCGCGCGCCGCTCATCCTCCCTCCCGGCCCCGGCCCCGCCGCCGGCCCGGAAGTGGCCGCCGCGCAGCGTCCCCCGCTCCGCCAATCGCGGCGGCGCCCCGCGGCGCACGTGACGAAGGCGAGCGCCGCTCCCCCTACGGCAGGGGAGAGGGGCCGGGCGGAAGCACCGCCCCCGTCAGGCTCGGGGAGGGGGCGGGGCTGGGGCGCGGCCTGGGCGCGGAGAGGGGAGGGGCTCTCCGCGCCCCGCCCCCGCCTCACCCCGCGCCCCGCCCCCGCCTCACCCCGCGCCCCGCCCCCGCCTCACCCCGCGCCCCGCCGCCCAGTGGGGCCCCGCGGTGTGCGGGGGGACCCGGGGTGTGCGGGGGGACCCGGGGTGTGCGGGGGGGAATCGCGGTGTGCGGGGGGACCCGGGGTGTGCGGGACCCGCAGTGGGGGTGGGGGGACTCGCGGTGTGCGGGGAAGACCCGGGGTGTGCTGGACCCGCGGTGTGGGGGGGGACCCGCGGTGTGCGGGACCCGAAGTGGCGGGGGGGGGACTCGCGGTGTGCGGGGGGGAATCGCGGTGTGCGGGGGACCCGCGGTGTGCGGGACCCGCAGTGGGGGTGGGAGGACTCGCGGTGTGCGGGGAGGACCCGGGGTGTGCGGGACCCGCGGGTGTGCGGGGGGACCCGGGGTGTGCGGGGGGACCCGGGGTGTGCGGGGGGGAATCGCGGTGTGCGGGGGGACCCGGGGTGTGCGGGACCCGCAGTGGGGGTGGGAGGACTCGCGGTGTGCGGGGAAGACCCGGGGTGTGCGGGACCCGCGGTGTGCGGGGGGACCCGGGGTGTGCGGGACCCGCAGTGGGGGTGGGGGGACTCGCGGTGTGCGGGGAAGACCCGGGGTGTGCTGGACCCGCGGTGTGGGGGGGGACCCGCGGTGTGCGGGACCCGAAGTGGCGGGGGGGGGGACTCGCGGTGTGCGGGGGGGAATCGCGGTGTGCGGGGGACCCGCGGTGTGCGGGACCCGCAGTGGGGGTGGGAGGACTCGCGGTGTGCGGGGAGGACCCGGGGTGTGCGGGACCCGCGGGTGTGCGGGGGGACCCGCGGGACGGGACGGTCTCCCAGGGCAACTCCGCGGGTGGGACAGCAGCCTCCGCTCTCCCCCCACAGCGCTGGGCAGGAGCGGGGGCAGCCCCGAGGAACCACCGCGCACACGGGCAGAGCCAAGGCCGGTGCTGAGCCGGGCCGAGAGCCGCCACGCAGAGCCCCGGGGATCCCTGCGCCAGTTGCTGGCATGCTCTGCTCTCTGCTCAACATCCACAGCCACGCTTCTGAGACTCCCTGGTTCCCTCCGCGAGGTGGGCCGCGGGGCTGGAGGCATTCGGAGCAGGAAAGCCTTTAAAATAAAACAGCGTTGCGCTGAGCGCTACAGCTTGTTTTCTCTGTTTATTCGAGCAGACATTACAGCAGGCGAACATGCCATCTATAGCAATTATGCTCTTGGAAGTATATGCAAATAAAATAATCACACGTGGAGCCCTAAAGATTTACCTATATTTTTATATTCTTGCCTCACAAGAGCAGCAGCACTGAACTTCAAACGACTGCATTCCTCATGAAAAAAACATGTTGGGAATTCTTCAGCATGGGGTGGGCAGGGTATTTGGTTAGGATTGATTCACTATTACCCTCTTCAAGGTATGCTTATATGGGCAGGTGGGCAGAAAAGGGCCTGGGTTTGTGACAATAAATGATTGAATTTCCTGTAGGTGCATGGGTGTGGGTCTAGATGCCTCCTGGTGTGTGGCTCAGCAATGCTGGGACCACTCACGGCGTTGCTGGAAGTCCTTCATCCTGCAGTGAACCTTGCTGGTTGGTGGTGAGGCCTGAGCCCTGCACAGATACCTTGTATGGAGCCATTCCTTCCTCACTTGCCCCTGCACGTCCCCGCTGGCACTGACACATCATGAGGTTCGCTGTTTCATTTCCCTATTAACAAACCCCTGGCCCAGGGTCCTGTACTTCTTTCCGTTGCAAGAACTAGCAAATGCACCATGTGCTGTGCAGCCCAGGAGCCTGAGTGCTGTCTGTTTGCAGCACTAAACACTTCAGCAGCAGCAACCTCACTGTTGATTTCATCAGGATCTGGAGACCTTCAGGACTAGACTGGACCTTCCTGAGCCGAGTGTGGTTCTCACAGAGGGGAGCAGGCAGATGGATCCCAGACCCCCCGATCACTTCCAGCTGAGGTTTAATATAGTTTAAATACAGATTATGCAAGGCACTTTTGGACTTCAAAAGTATCTTGCCGTGCTCCAGCTATCAGGCCACTGAGCACATGTCCAACCCCTCGGGCATTTGCCACAAGACAAAGGCTGTTCCAGTCAATGGCCCTGTGTTGCATTAGCAGGAAGAGGACATGCAGTGGGGGGGTCATCGTTGTATCTCTCGCTGGACCTTTGCCTCTGACACCCCCCCATGACAGTGCCCTTCACTAAGGGGGCAGGTCTCATGTGCCCCGGGGTCCAGCCTGGCTCCTAGGGCGCTCCCCATGTGCTTGGGGCATGGCAGCCCCACTCCCGCTCCGTGCCCTCCACTCTGCGATGGACACGGTCACTGAGTGCAGGGGGACACGGGGCTGATGTCTTCCAGAACTTTAGTCTGTGTCCTAGGCACGTGAGGAGTCTCACTGCCCCCAGCTCCGTGCTCCTGCCCCAGGCCACCTTGCAGGGGTGGAAGCACTTGTGTGGTGATGAGACACCTGGATCAGGGAACTGATCTAAAATTCATGTGCTAAAAAACCCCTGCCTTGTTTCACTCCACCTCCATTGCCTGATCCACAGCCCAGAGAGAAAAGCAAATTAAACTGGGGCTTGAAAGTACAAACAGGAGGTGGGGGAGTTGCCAGAGGATGTCACTGGGTTACAAAGAGGGCTCTGGTAAGGGATGTGTTTTAGCAAGCATGTGAAAGTAGGTGAGAAGGATTACATGGGCAGCCCTAGGCACTGTCAGGGGAAGGTGGGAAGGGCTGGATGGGGCTCAAGAGAAAGCCCAGGGGGCTGAACAAGGTGGCCCAGCAGCAGCCCCTTACGTGCATGCAGCTTCAGAGGCTGCAAAGCATGCGAGGAGCTGCCATGTCCATACTGCCCCTCTTCACCAGTTCCAGGCCCTGGGGCCCACCCTGACATCTGCCCAGTGACGAGGAACTGGGGCTTGGTGAGGGACAGTGGCCACCTCAGAGGAGCTGGAGAGGGGACCTGCCTCCTGCCAGGCTCCTGGGGACTACCTGGGCATGGCTGAGGCCAGTTCTTTCCTCTGGCACAGAAAACCCTAGGACCAGCCATGGGGGTGGCAACTCAGGCTGTCTGACTTCTGGGGTTTATTCTTTTTTAATCTATTTTTAAACTTTCCTTATGTTTTTATTAAAAAGGCAAACCTTCTTGAGACCCCCCTGGCTGGATCATGGGCATGGCACAGGCTCTGTGCTCTCCCTGGCTCACTTCTGCCCCAACATGGCACTTGGTGGCTTTTCCAACCCCATCTCCACGTTTGGCCAGATCCTGATTCCTCCCCCAGCACAGCGAGTCCTTTGGGGGAGACCCAGGCAGGGTATCTGCCTTCAACGAAGGCTGGGTGAGCTCCGTGGCTCCCCCGCTTTCTGGAGAAGGCAATGCCCTGGCAGATTTTGTCCAAGCAGCACGGAGGCATGGTTAGGATGTCCCCAAGTTTGTCAGGCTGTTGTCAGAGTGGGTCCCTGGTCTTCTGAGCCAACAGGAACAAAATCCATGCCCTGGCCAGGATCTGGCCAGGCTGCTGGAGGGCATGGCCATTGCTTTTGCATCAGTGATGAAACAGATTTTTTGGCTTTTTAACTGTTGTTTGTAGTGATGCCCAGCAGGAGAATGGCAGCTGAACATTAATTTGTGCCACTGCTCATTTCTGCTCTTCACCTGTGTTGCTGTGAGCGTAACCCATGTGCTCCATGCTGTCCCCTCAGCATGGCTCTACCACGCTGGGAAGTTCCCAGGGGTGATGACAGGGTATGGTCCTCGTCCTTGAGCTCCCACCTCTCCATGGGCACTGACAGAGCTGCTGGCAGTGCCTGGGCAGAGCAGCCCTGCTCCAGGGTTGGGTGAATCCCTCTCAGAAACACTCCTGGTGTCTCCTTCTCCCACTTGCCTCTTCCTCTGCAGACTGAATTCTGGCCTCGGTGCCATGGGGTCCTGTAAAACAAAGATAAATCCTCGTTCAGATGATGACTGGGCAGGGTGTCACTCTCCCGGGGTGTGTGTGGGGGGGGAGCCCACAGGAGCAAGAGCTCCTCTTGATGACTGCAGGGCTGGGTTGTGCTGCGGGGTTGCTGATGGGAAGGAAATTTGAGCAAGACCTGCTGCCCTGGAGAGGTGCCCCAGGACCCTGTCCTGCCTTGGGTGAAAGGTAGGAGCTCCCCATGCCTGTGCCTCCAGGCTGCAGACCCCAGCTTGGGAATGGGGCAGGTCCCCCGGCTTTCCTCTACTCCAGGCCACTTTTACGAGGACCTTTGAGGGGCTGTTTCACCGGGTCCTTCTGGCGGCTCGCAGCCAGGCAGGGCTCAGTGCTGACCGACTGGTCCCTCTGGCCGCCGTTCCCTTTGCAGCGCGGTCGCACTGGCCCACGAACAGAGGCGTTCAGCCAGCCTCGGTGCAGCCTCCGGATGCCCTCGGGTCCTCTGCGTGTAACCCAAACGGGCTGCTGCTCCACAGGCTGCTATCAGGGACCTGCCCCGGCCACGCTGCCGCAGCCAGAGATGCCCGTGGTGAACCACCACCCGTGGGCCCCCGGCTGGTGTCATCTGTGGGTGCCCACGGCTCCACAGGGCGCGACAGCCCCCTGTGTCACCGGGCTGGGAGCCGCAGGGATGCCCGCGGGGACGCCGGGACACGCCAGCACCCAGCCCTCTGGGCGCCGCCCCGAGCGGCGCATCTCCCCGCGGGGAAGCGGACACGCGTGGGCCGCTCCCGCCGCCCTTTTCGTCTATATAAGGCCGGGAGCGCCGTGCAGCCGCCCCGGCCCCGCGGCCGCAGACCCGCCGCATTCTTCTGCCTTGTATGGGCCGAGCTGGGGCGGGCGGGCCGGGCCGGGCCGGGCGGCACCGCCCCGGGCCCCCGCTGCTCGCCCGCCCGCCCCTAGGGCCGCGCCGCGGGCCGGGCCCCGGCAGAGCAGCGCCGGCCGCCCCGCAGCTCCCCCGCTCCGATCCAGGTGAGGCCGGGCCGGGAGGGAGCGGGACAGCCCCGGCGGAGCGGGCGGGCCGGAGCCGGGGGCAGCCGCGGCGCGGTGGGCCGGGCCGGGCCGGGCGGGATGGAGCCGGGGGCAGCTCGGCGGGCCGGGCCGGGCCGGGCGGGATGGAGCCGGGGGCAGCTCGGCGGGACGGGCCGGGGCGAGCGGGATGGAGCCGGGGGCAGCTCGGCGGGACGGGCCGGGGCGAGCGGGAGCTGGAGCTGGTGCTGGGCTCAGCCCTGGGGAGGGAGCAGCGGCAGGAGAGGCCCCAGCGCGGCCCTGCCAGCCCCCTCTGCCCGGGCAGGTGGGGAGAGCCCCTCTCCGGCGCCCGGCAGGGATGGCCCAGCCGGCGGGAGGCAAGGATCCATCTCCGGCGAAGCTCTTGGTGACTGCCTGCAACGACTTGGAGCTGGGACATCCCGGTTTCCTCGGGATGGCAGCGCTGCGGGAGCAGCTCCTGCTTCCTGTGGCTTCACCCACTCCTGGTTGGTGAGACCTGTTCCTGCCCGGAACATCTGCTTTTTCTCCCCAAGTCCTTTTGCTGATGGCCAGAGCCAAGATCCAGATGCATGTGTGATGCTCCGGAGATCTCCCCAGTGACTTGTGAGCAACTTCAGGCAATAAACTGTTGTAAGGCAGAAGAGCTTTATTTAGCTCATTTCCCTCAGTCTTAAACACAGATGAACACTGTGTTTTGTTTAGCTTTGCCCATGAAAACTTGAGGACCTCTTGGCTTCCCTCCCTGCGTGCTCTTTTGGTACAAAATGTTACGACTGTGATAAAAGCCAGGGTGGCTCTAAAACATGGATGTGTAGGAGCAGGCAGCAGCTGAAGCAGCATTCTTTGGAGTGGAACATCCCCCAAGTGTCAACAACCATCGCTGCTGACCAAAGATGGTTGAGTTTCTTCAGTCACTTGAATTTTTTTCCTCTCGTCACTGGCAGGCTCCGTGCGGCTGTAGGAGGAGTTTGCGGTCACCTCCCCCTCTGAGGCGCTGCGGCCAGATTCCCCTGCTGAGGTGAGCCCCTTAATTCTCCTGGGAAAATATCAACCCCACTCCAGGGCATGGTGTGTTGGTGGCCCAAAGCCATGAAGACCTTCTGCCCTGCGGTCCCGTTCCCCAGCCTGCCTGGGCATCAGAAGGGTGCTGAGTCTTTTGTGTGGTGATGGTGTCTGTGTATGGTCTTCTCGTGGTGACCCCAGAAGTTGGGCTTTGGAAGGGTTTGTGTATGCCTCATGGGCACAGTGAGGACCTTGTCCCCTAAACTTGGTAGGAAGGAGCTAGCCCAGAGATGGACTGCCGAACTTGCAACTGAGCCCCAGAGCTGCACGTGGGCCTGGCTGGGTCCCTGGTGTGTGACGGGAGCTGAGGGAGGGCTGGGATGGACTCTTGCTCCTGAGGGTTGCTGCACTCTTAGTTCTGGTTCCCCAATGCTGCCCTGCTCCTTCCCATCTGCATGTGAAACCTGCAGTTGTGGTTCATCAGTGCTGGTGGCTGCACCTGGTCTGGGGACACAGCCCAGGGCTTGGGTTCTGCTTTCCCCTTGCCTCCAAACTCCCTTTCCCACATCCATCTCTAATAAGGCCAAAAAGGAGCAAAATGGCCACCCACCTCTGGTCCTGCAGTGCCCGGTGAGATGGGGGGCTCCTCCTGCAGCTCCCAGTGCCGCCGGCTGCCAGCATGGCTCCCTCGGCACCAGCACCCCTCGGCAGCAGGGGTGGAGCTGAGCAATCCCAAGGGCATCCTGAACAGGGCTGTGCTGGAGGAAAGGGACAGTTTAACAACAAATTAGGCAGGGAAGATGAGCTGCTCCCTGCTGCCTCCTCCAGTGTATGACAGCCTGGTCCGTGTGTCCCACTGGCTCCAGAGGTGGGATGTCCACCCCTGGGCAGTCCTGGTGCTGGGAGAGGTGCGTGGCAGACAGCAAAGCTTTACAGGTGGAATGATGCCCTGGCTGCAGCACTGCCCTGCAGCCTCCTGTGCCAGTGTGGGGTGCTGCAAGCCATCACCTACACTGGCCCTCCGGCCACCCTGGGAGAGGGGACGGGAACTGCTGTCTGTGCTGGACTCCGCTCCCTGTGGTGCTGTAATGTGTCGAGGTGTGGCTAGCCATGTATTGTGGAGGGCCAGTGCTTGCCCATTAGTAAATGCAACTGCGTTGTGGCATGTTGGTACTAGCAATTAATTTCAGGAAGAGCCACTGGGCAGAGATTTAATCACAGTCCCTCTGAGTGGCCCTACTTCACCCTGAAGGGGTGTCCTCTGGGACAGCCCAGCCTGTTTGAATTGCTCTTTCCCTACCCAAACGAAAAGCATCCAGCAGATGCACATCATGCCTCTCGTGGCAGAGAGGAGCTCGTTGTGAGCAGGTGATGTCTCTCCGGCTGTGCTGGAAACTGCAGGGCAGCCCCGCAGGGTGCAGGAGCCTTGTCAGCACTTTTAGAGGTGGCTCCAGCAGTTGCATGCCCAGCTTTGGCGGAGCCACCCTTGGGGAAACCTTAGTGGCATATCCTGGGTGATTCTGAATACACGGGAACACCCCAGGGCCTGGGGAGCTGGCCCATCCCCTTCCCACCTGGGCACCCCTCTTTTGTGCCACCCAGCCCTCTGGCCCAGCAGCACTGCCCCGCTGCTTTATTTTTCAGCTGTGATGGTGAGCTGGAGCAGCACAGGAGAAGACATGAGGTAGGGAAGGGTGGAAGCAGGCAGGAGGGAGGAGGACAAGGACAGGATGGGGCCCTCCTGCCCTGGCAGCACCCCTTGGCTTATCCTACCCTCCACCAGCACAGTCAGGAAGCAGCACCAGGATGGAGTTGCTCGCTTGGTTTTTACCAAGGAGGAAACACATGGTGGTTTATTTTTCCGAGTCTTTGCTCTTTCTCTTTAAAACTAAACTCTTTTCTTTACTAACTTAAGAACTTAAGCCAGCCCTGTGGCCCCTTGGGTCTGACTTGTTGGGGAAGGCACAAGCCAGGTGGTGCAGGAGTCAGGGAGATCATCTTGGCACAAGAGGTGGCAGAAGGACAAGGGAATAAGGGCAGCCAGTGATGGGGCGAGTGTGGTGATCAGATCGGTGCATGGCTTTTGTGCCAGGCTGGCTGGGGTCTCACCCCAGCTCTCACCTCAGCTCTGCTGCCTGAGATCAGCAGCTCCGGAGCTGGAGCAGCACTGGGATGCGGCTTTCAGTGGCGGGTGACAGGGGCAGGACCAGTCTCCATGGGTTTCCTTCTCGCTGAGGAGGAAGCCAGAGGTTTGGTGGCTGCACCAGTTGGCTCAGCTGAGTCCACCCCAGCACGTGGGGCATCGTGGCCAGGCATTCCCTGAAACGGTCTGGGCATTGGGTGTTTGGGAATCCCAGAAAGCATGGGCTCGAAGACCAGGGGGAGTGTGGCCATTGAGCCCTTGTGCAGAGCATGGATCGCCCCTGTCAAATCAGACCTCGCTGCGAATCACTTCTGTCTCATGTGAGAGGCACCTTTCTCTGTACCGATCCAAAAAAGTCTCTTCCCAAGTCTCAGTCAGCCCAAAGAGGTCTGCTAACAGCAGAAATAGAATGATTAGGAGATAACCTGGCCAAGCTGGACCTTGGGACGAAGCATCTTTCCAGGGCATATTTTGGATCAAACAGCAAAACCATGTGCTGTCAAAATCACACTTAATCTCCCTAACGAGAACCATCTCTCTGGAGAGGGTGCCAAGCCACGCTTCTGCTGCTGGTCACAGCCAGGGCAGGGTAAATATTTGGATAATATTAATTCATGTGGTGAGAGAAAAACTCCTGCTTATTTCTCTAGTCTTCTCCTAATAATTCAGCATGTTTTGAAAGCGGAGGCCAGTGCCATGGGCCAGCGGCAGAGCTTTTATTGCTGGCTCTGACCTGGCACGGTGGAGTTGTGGTGTTCAGCTGAGCTTCCTCATGCTGCTGCCTGGGGGGATGGTTATGGGCTGGCAGTGCACACTGGTGTCTGGCAGGGCATGCAGAAAGAGGCGGTCTGGTTCCAAAGAGTTTTATGGTGCAGCAGGGCTGGAGGAAGCAGCAGGTAAGGGATGGTCTGGGAGGGAGTGAGATCTCCTGCCCATCCAGCTGCAGGCATGGCTGGGCTCTCCAGTCCTGCTGCTCTCCTCCTCTGGCTGGGGGCAAATATCTGTTTCCTGGTGGGCACTGGGAAAGGACAGAGTGTTTGGGGGATGGCAGGGTGATTTGATGACTACTGTTAGGCACTGGGTGCCAGCCAGGGCAGCTCGGAGCAGTTCGAGGGAGGGGGGATGAGGGCAGTGCGGTTTCCATCCCAGTACCTACAGCCACTGGGGCTCATGGGGGACAAGGCAGGGCTGTCTCCCTGGGGACATGGAGCATGTCACCTGCAGATGAAGGGCCCAGCTTGGGCGTGGTGGGTGCTGTCAGGCTCTCTGGTGTGGTGCACTTCTCCCACAGTGGGATGGGAGTGGGTGATGGGGTGGGGGCAGAGTCCCCAGCCCCCTCTGAGCCTGTCTGGGTACCATGGTGCTGGGCAGCCCTGCCAGCACGGACACTGTAGCTGGGATTTGGCACTTCCCATGGTTCCTAGGATGTCCTTCCAGTGCAGGCCAGCTAGGGGAGCCTGGGGACCACCGCAGGGTGGGGACCAGGCTGGTGGCTGCTCCAGCTCCTACCTCTGCAACCCCTTGAAAGAGGGATAGTAGCAGGGGAGGGAAAAACCTGGAAAAGAGGTATGGTCTGGGGAGGACTGGCAGGAGCTGTGCAGGTGCAGGAGAAGGCTGTTGGCTCTGCCCTAGTCTGTGCCAGCGCTGGGGTCCCACGGGGAGGGAAGCTCCCCAAGGCCCTGCGGTCCCGCTGGGTGCATCAGCGTTAAGGACCCAGCCGGGAAGTGCATCCTGGAGCAGCATGCTCAAGGGTGGCCAGACCAGCTGGGCATGATTGCTGACACGCAGCTCGACGGTGTTGCTTTGTGCTGCTTCATGCAACACGATGTGGCTCCTTAACTGCTGTGTGTCCCCCGCCAGAGAAGGCAGGAACCCAGGCAGCCCTGCTGCCCACTGTGGCGTGGGGTGCAGTGTAATACTCTGCACTTCCCCACGGAATTCATTCATAATCCATCAATTTAACATTGACCCCCTAGCCGTTCCACGTGCCAGATGCAGACCCAGATGGGGAAACTAAGGCACGGGGCTGTGTGTGTGGGACAAATGGCTGTGCTAGAAACATGAGGGCTCCGAGCAGCATCTCTTTCTTGGGCTGATCTCACCCCAGACTTTCTCACAGAGCCGTGCTGAGCTGGCAGCTGACACCGTTCCTCTGCTGGGCTGGTCTTTGCTGGCAACTTGCTGAGTTATGCTTGTCAGGATTCAACTGGGAGAGGTCTGAGCATCTTCCTTTCAGGCAACATTGGTGGTCACTGGTGGTGCCAAGCACCCCATAGGGATCCTGTTTGGGTCCCCAGCACCGATGGCTCAGGGTGTCTTAAATACTGATTGCATCCCTCAGCCAGGCAGCGTGGGGTGATATCACCCAACCCCTGCTTGGAGGTTGTGAAGGGGCTTGGGTACCATCTTGAGGTGGGAATGGGCTCTCTGCTCCAGCCAAGCTCTGCTGGGTGCTCGCCAGCATGGGCTGGGGGCAGGACTCTTGCTTTGAAAGACCAGGTTTTCCTGCCATGGTCCTGCCCCAGTGGTGTTCGGGGTCTGCATGGTCCCTTTGCTGTTCCCCATGGGACGTGCGTTGTCCCAGTCGTGTCCCCAAAGGTCTGCCCATACCACTGCTGCCCCTGCCTCTGCCCATCCAGACTGTTTCCTTCTCCTGGAATTCATTACCTGTAACAACAGCACCAGTCCTCAGCACCCTGCAGTCCCGGCGTTGCTTGGCCGCTCTCCCCTGCTCCGCAGGGGCTCTGCAGCCTCCCAGACTCTCCCCTCCACGTTGGGGCCCTTCCCACGGGCTCCCTGTGGAGACTGTGGGGCGCACCCAGGCACCACAGTGGGGAGGGAGGCAGCGAGTGGCCTTTGGCCCAGCCTGGCCACTGGTGGGGGAGGTGGGATGGGTGGAGGGGGAGGGGAGGCGGTGGTATGTGAGGAATGCGCCCGGAGCAGATAACCCCTTCACACTGGGTGCTGGGTGCTGCGCCGACCCCACCTCCCCAGGACAGGGCTGGGGGGCTGCTTTTGGACAGTGAAATGGAGGATGCAAGGCAGACCCATCGCCCCGGGAGCTGGGCTGGGGAGAGCCCTGCCAGAGGAGGAGGGGAGGCCTGGGGGGAGCGCAGCTAAGCTCTGCCCAAAATGCCAAGGCAGCCAACCACCCCCCCCCACCCCCCCCCGCCCCGGGACTGATGGCAGTGGGGGGATGCTGGGTGCTGGGCTTGGCATATTTCCTCGTGCCTGGGGTGCAAAGGGGACAGGTGGCAAGCAGGTTTGGGGGTCTGGGGGCCAAGGGTGCAGGCACGGAGCCCTGCTTGCAGCCCGTGGGGACAGCCCTGGGCAAGGGGTGCCAGCGAGCGCTGCCTGCGCTTGTGACTTCCCAGGAGACTCATTAGAGCCTGAGTCTCGCCGGTCCCCATGTCCAACTGTGACCGCCAGATCCCACTGTTGCCAAACTTTGTGACAGGCAGGGAAACTGAGGCACGGGAGGGGAGGTGCCAGGAGTTGTGTGTCCCTGCCTCTGCTCCAGAACCCTGGGCTCTGCCTGTCCCCAGCCCTCCTGACGCTCCTGCCTGCTGCCCTGCCCTTAGGTACCACCCCAGCCGCCAAGATGTCCAGCAAACGTGCCAAAGCCAAGACCACCAAGAAGCGGCCCCAGCGTGCCACCTCCAATGTCTTCGCCATGTTCGACCAGTCGCAGATCCAGGAGTTCAAGGAAGCCTTCAACATGATCGACCAGAACCGCGACGGCTTCATTGACAAGGAGGATCTGCATGACATGCTGGCTTCCCTCGGTGAGGAGATCCTTCCCTCGTGCCTCCAGGTGTCCCTCAGCCCCTCTGCCCTCAACTCCTCCTTGGCAAGTGGGGAGAGCTGCTAGGTGATCTAGTGCCTCACACCCAGCACTGAACTTTGGTGGGATGCCATTGAGGCACAGCCCTCCTGCTTTGGGCCAGCCTGATGTTGGCTGCAAAACTGGGGGGAGGGATTTCTCTGCTGGCACCAGTTGACTGTAGAAGGGGTGTTTGTGGAGGCAACCAAGGGCAGCAGCTTGGTGTATTGCTCTTACAGCTGGGCTCACTAGAAGGGAAGAGACCCTTGGGGTTGGAGAAACTCTGCCCTAGGAGCAGCCACCACCTGCAGCCATTGAGTATTTGGGTAGTTTCACCCCAGAATATTGCTTGGGGTCATTCCCTGTGGGACAAAGCCTTCCTGTTGCTCTCAGCCTGAGTGACAGATGAGGACAGTCCCTGCACCAGCATGATACCTCTGCCAGTTGAGACTTGCAGGTCTGGCTGTGTTCCCCACCCAGAAGAGAAGAGCCTGTTCTCCTTTGCTGCGGGCCATGGCTCCCATCTCCTGCTCCCTGCTCCAGCTCCCTGCGGTACCTCCATGGCACTTTGGGAGGTCTGTCAATGATTGACCTGGCAGCCAAACCTGTTCTGGAGGTCCTGCCTGGCTATGAAAAGGACCTCCTCCCTCCTGGTGAGCTCCAGGAGCAGAGGGGGGCCAGGTGCTGGGGGCACACAGACCTCTGCAGAGGAGATTAAACCATCCCTGGTGCATCCGTGGTAGGAGCAGTGCTAGGGACATCAGCTGCACGAGGCTCATGTGGGGACATTGCTGCCCCTCTCCTTGGATGGAGCTGCCGGGGGAAAGGGGAAAAGCCATGCCTTTAGTTCCCAGTAACCCCTAGATGAATTCCTGCAACTCCCTTGAGGCTGATCCAGGCAGAGCTTGGTTCCAAGTGGCCTCCGGCATGGATTGAAGCTTGGGGAGAGATGCCGGGGAGGGGAGCACCAGGCACTGTGGAAACCCCCTTCCCTTGTTTGTGGGGTGAGTGAACACATACCAGCAAATTCATTTGCAATATGAAAAAAAAAAAACAACCAGCTGGCTGGGTGCATGGGTTGGCCTTGGGGATGGGTGCTGGTAGGGGGGAACCCGCACCCATACCCCTGCGTGTGTTCGGCAGGGAAGAACCCCACCGACGAGTACCTGGAGGGCATGATGAGTGAGGCGCCGGGGCCCATCAACTTCACCATGTTCCTCACCATGTTCGGGGAGAAGCTGAATGGCACTGACCCAGAGGACGTGATCCGCAACGCCTTCGCCTGCTTCGACGAGGAGGCGTCAGGTAGGGGCACTGCCTGCACAGCCCCACGCTGCCTGCCTGGGCGCCTTGCCCCCAGGGGCATACAGCCAGCACTGGGGCTGGGGCCAGATCACTGGGGACAGTCCCCACGCAGCTCCAGAGTGGGAGAGGTGGGCAGGGGTGTCTTCACCGGAGGCGGGGAGGATCCCGACGCTAACACCACCCGCTGCCATTCCCGCAGGCTTCATTCATGAGGACCATCTGCGTGAGCTGCTGACCACCATGGGAGACAGGTTCACTGACGAGGAGGTGGATGAGATGTACCGGGAAGCGCCCATCGACAAGAAGGGCAACTTCAACTACGTGGAGTTCACCCGCATCCTGAAGCACGGGGCCAAGGACAAGGACGATTAGAGCCCAGGGCCATTCATCCCCTCTGCCTCCTCCTGAGCACACCCCTCACCCCTCGGCCCCCCTTGCTGCCCCACAGCAGTCTCCCCCCATGGAAAACACCTCCCAGGACCAGCACCCTGCATCAAGTCACGCTTGGAGGGGAAGTGCTCCCATCACTGTGCCCATCCATCAGCCCCAGGCCTCCCCTCCCATCACCTCTTCCACCCACAGGCTCGCCTCACTGGAAACCCCAGCCAGGCTGGGGACCCCCCCCCCCAAGCAGCCATTGACACCCTCGAAGCCACCATGCAGCTGGTCCCCGGGGCCGGGGTGGCCATCCCAGGCGAGTCGGGGATGCTGGCCAGAGATTTTGGCTGGCTCAAGCCTGAGTGATCCCCGTCTCGGGGCTGTAGCACAGAGAGAATGCATCTCCCCTCTCCTCCCGTGCTCCCTTCCTTCATGAAAGAAAATCACTTTGTTTCCTCCTCCCTGGCTGTTTTATGGCTTTAGAGCCTGTGATCTGAGGGATTTGGGAAGCCGAAGCAGGATATAAAACCTGATGGGTGTGATATGGAGATGTGCTGAGTGTGGCTCTCTCGTGGACAGGCGCTGGGCTGTGCTGCCCACCTGCCTGGCAGATTTGGGGGGCATCTCCCCACCTTGCTGCTGTTGCCAGCCAGGGCCCCTTCCCACGGGGCAGCCTGTTTTTGAGGCCAAATCACTCCCAACCCGTGTAAAATCAGCTTGAGCATCATTTTCCACCTTTCCTGATGGGATGAGGGTCGCTCTGCTCGGCCCCAGCATCAGGGTGGGCAGACACGTGGGCTGAGATACACTTGGCAAGGTGCTGGTCACACTCTCCCCAGCAGCTGGTTCGGATTCCCAGAGGCTTGGGCACCCTTTTTGTATCACCCTGAGCTGGCAGGGGTGGGGGTAAGAAATGGGGATGGGGCTTATCTCTTTGGTTTGGTTATTTATCACCACCCTGACAAGGGGGTGGGAGCACAGAGGGCTCCTGCCTTGCAAAGCTACTGTCTTAAGTGGTGCTTGAAGCCAGCCCATCTCCTTGCCCTGGAAGGATGAGTTTTCTGCATTTCTTTATTTAAAATGGGGGAAAACGTGATGACAAACCCACAGAATCTGGCAAGGGCACAGTATATCCTGGAGATGCTCCCAGCACACTGGGAAAGCTCAGACGGGGTCTGCGGGAGCTCCATGGGCATCAGAGTGGTCAGCAGCCCCATCTGTGCTCAGAGAGCTGCCAGGTCCCAGGTGATGCTCAGGGGACACAGGGACATGAAAGGCTGAACACATGCTCTCCCAGGGAGCTCCCCAGGGTCATGGCTCACGCTCTGCATCAACAGCCTCAAACCATCCCACCTCGAGGCTTGTAGATGCCTAGCTCCTTCTCTATTTCCCTGCTGTACCAAGGAAAAACCTACAGTTCTCCCACTTGCAGAGGAAAGTCCCAAGCCTGAAGGCTGCTGGAGGGCTGGATGATTTATAAAAATCCCCTTTGCTGGGATGCACACCGAAGAAAATGTCTCACAGACATCACTTTGGGGCAGATGGGTGGATGCTGGAGATAAACCAAGTGGCATGGGGAAGGGCCTCCAGCTTCTGCAAGGTCTCTGCCACGCTGTGGGCAAGCCGTCCTCTGGAGGTGCTGGAGCTGGGCAGAACCACACAGCCCGGAGGCGGTGAAGCGGTTTGTGCTACAGCTGACTTGGGCTGGGGCACAGTCAGACCCTGGGTGTTTTTGCGGTGCGGCTTGTTCCCAGTCAGTGCCCCCCCTGGCATTCTGACATAGCTGTTGGTCTCACTGAGCAGACAGTGATCACTTTTAAAGCTTGACATCTGCCTTCAAAGCTCTGCTGGAGGTGGATGTAGGAGCGCACCAGCCCAAGGCTCCCACTCCATCCCTGAGCTGGGAAAGGACAAACCCAGCTATCATTTCCCTCCTAATTAACACCACCACAACTCCAGCCCAAGGCCATCCATCCTTGGCTTTTGCAGAGCAAAGGCAGGCTGTGAACCAGTAAAAAAACACTGTTAACACCAGTCCCAGGACCAGTCCTACTGAGGCAATCCCAGCCTGCTGGGAGTCCAGTGGCCCTGAACAGGGAGGAGGACCCCTGCTGCTGGAGGGACAGAGCTGGGCCCCAAGGGCAGGCCTGTATGCAACAGCCAGTGCAGCCAACCACAAATCCAATTTTCCTTGCCAAAAATCCAGATTAAATATCAAAGGGTGGGCAAAGGGTGGAGGAAGCACTGCCTGGAACAGGTCAACACTCTCGGAGGCTGCCTGATGTTTCCAGCGTCCCCCTTCCAGCTCTGGCTGGCCGATTGTTTTTCAAATTGCTGAAGTTTAATAGTATTATCATGTCAATGGGCCCGGCCAGACTTTGCAGGGCTGGCTGCCGAGCGACTCCGCCTGGACAAGCCCCTAGTGAGAGCAGGCAGGGAGATGCCCCATTGCCCCTGCCCTGGCTCCTTGCCCCACAAGGCTCCTAATTCCCCATCAGCCGGGAGCTCCCTGGCTGCCACTCCAGGCTGGGTTTGCCCGGGGATTTAGGCTCCCCAGATGCTGCACTCAGGCACCCAGTGGGTTTTTTCCAAAGCTGTTTCCACACTACCTGTATCTGCAGCCCAGGGAGCGCAGGAGGGCTCATGGCCCAGCCCTGGGCAGGTATTTGAGCCCAGGGACCATTTCCCGGTTGTCTCAATTAGGCAGAAGATTAATACGGCCTTTTTCAAAGGGTGGGAGCAAAAGCAGATCGCTTGGGAGGACAGTCCTGCCTGGACACAGACCCTGGTGGGGCGGCCAGGGGGGCTCTGCAGTGTCACCCTCCAAGAGCCCGCTGGGTGCCCAGGCGGGGAGCAGAGCGGGCAGGATGAATGCGTCCTGCCTGGTAACGGCCCTGGTTTGCAGGCAGGAGCCAGCCTAGTGGGAGAGGGCAGGCTGGGGCAGGGGATGCACCATGCACTGGTGCAGACTGGCAGCAAACAGAATTGGTACCCAGGGCTGGCCCCACACCTCGCCTGCGGTTCACCAGCCCATCCCGCGTTTGCATTAATGGAGCAATAGCGATTTGGGGGTACAGGTTCACTCAGGACATTAAAGATTTAGCAGCAACTAAACAAATGCTTTAAGGAATTCTCTTTTTGCTATTTAATCCTTTATCGCACCATGCAATCTACTTTAAACGGATCAAAAACCTACCATGAAAGAAGTTTTTTTGCAGCTTTTCTCAATACCTGGACAGATAACCATCTTTTTCCCTGCAAGCAGAAAAGAGGAGAGGGAGAGGAGCTGCAGCACAGCCTGCAAGGGTGGTGGAGCCTGGGAGGGGAGAGCTGCCTCAAGCCTGCCTCCTGCACCAGCGTGCCGTCAAATACCTGCTGCAAACAAGCTCTGCGTGAAGAAAGATGGAGCAGGACTCAGTGACCCTTGGGGCTGCTGTGCCCCACAAGCACACGGGTCCCTGGGGGGATGCACACATGCATGCTGTGCTTGGCTGGGCAAGGATGAGCGCGGATATCCCAAAGAGGCAGGACGGACAGCCCAAAGAGGACATCCCCAAGAGGGGGGTCTCTCTGCTGGCACCCCTCTGGGCTGGCCACCGGACAGGGTCATCCTGGCTTCCCGTGGCAGCGCTTTCTTTCTCCATCACAGGAGCTGGAAGGGATCAGTCTGTGTTTCTCACCACACTGACCACACAGCCCAGAGGGTGCCTGATCCACGGGATGTGGCACCACTGCTCAGAGCAACTCTTCTCTCTGGGGTTCCCACCGCGGAAGGTTACCACCCCAGGGTGGACACGCTGGTCGTGTCCCCTTCTGGGCTTGGCACTGCTCACCTGCCTGTCCTGACCACCTGGCAGAGGGTGAAGGTGTGTCCCAGCCCCACGTCATGGAGAGGCATGGAGCACATAGTAGGGAAATCCTGCGGGAGCCATACCCTGGACCAGCAGCGTGCTTGCGCATAAACGGAGCAATTTGGTCTCCAAAACTCAGAAGGTGACCTTGGGCTCTGCTATTGCAGTGGAGAGGCGCAGGGAGAGCGGTGGCAGCCCAGTAAACGCCTCGCCAGCCCATCAGCAACGAGCATGGCAAAGGTCCCACCTGGTGCCCCCTCCATCACCATCCTGGCTTGGAGGCACACTCCGCTTTCATGGGAGCGGTGAGGCGCTGAGGTTCCGATTTCCCATTTAATAAGCCAAAAAGCCACCAAACAAACCAGGGGTGGTGCTGCAGGGTGGTCTGAAGTCCCTGGGGGTGTCACCCACACCCGCCCCAGCAGCTTCTGTTCCTAGGCCTGGCCCTGCAGCCAGTGCCTGCCTGTCCCCTGCCTGCAGACACCAGTGACCCCTTAGCGCTCAGTTACAGGATTCACCCTCCACAGCGCCAGGGGGGGGAAGGAGCTTGTGCGATGCTTTGTGGGGGTGCCCCTGAGTGGGTGCCCGCGGGTGGGTGTCCTTGGGTGGGCGCCTCTGCGCGGGTGTTAGGGCATGAGTGCCCCCGGGGCTGGGGTGGCCCCCGGGGCTGGGGTGGCCCCGGGGCTGGGGTGCCCCCGGGGCTGGGGTGGCCCCCGGGGTTGGGGTGGCCCCCGGGGCTGGGGTGGCCCCCGGGGTTGGGGTGCCCCCGGGGCTGGGGTGGCCCCCGGGGTTGGGGTGGCCCCCGGGGCTGGGGTGCCCCCGGGGCTGGGGTGCCCCCGGGGTTGGGGTGCCGGGGTGCAGCTCCGCGGAGCGGGGGGGTGACGGCGGCGTTTCCGCAGCCCGTGGGGCCGGGGGGGGGGCCTCCCTCCCGCCGGGCACCGTGGCCGGGAGCGGGGGCAGAGCCGCATCCCCCGCCGCGGGGCCGCAGCGGGCGGGGGAGCCGCCGCCGCCAGGTACCGGCCCGGGGGTCGGCGGGGCGGGGGCTCGGGTGCCCGCTGGCCGGTGCCGCGGCGGTGACAGCCGGGGGCGGGCGGGCCGGGGCCGGGGGCGGGGGGCCCGGCCGAGAGTTCCTGCCTCCTCGGGAACAAAGGGAACTCTGTCTCGGCATCTGTCACCGCCGCCCACCCAAAACTTTTCGCTGCGCCTCGGCCGCTCGCCCCGCCGCCGCGGGAGGGTCCCGCCGCACCCCCGCCACCGGAGCGGCGACCCCGGCGCGGCCCATGCAAGGGCCGAGGCGGCGGCGGCGGCGGCCCGGGGGTAAGAGCGCAGCCGGGGCGGGCGGCAAACATGGAGTCCCGGGCGGGTGCGGGCGCGGCGGGCCGGGCCGAGCCGAGCCGGGCCGAGCCGAGCCGGGCCGAGCCGGGCCGAGCCCGGCCGGGCCGGGGGGTGCGGGGGGGCGCGGAGCGGAGCGCGGCCCCGCCGCCTTTGTGCGGGCCGGGCCGGGCCGGGAGCCGCCCCCGGCATGAAAAGTTTGTGGGAGTCGCGGGCGGGCGCGCTCGGGTGGGTTTTGTTCTCTTTCCGCGTCGTTTCTAACTTGGCCAGGGCTGTTGGTTTGGCCGGGACTATTTTGGGGCCGGTTTCTGCCGTTCGCGGGGGGTGCGGGGTTTGGGGCCGCGGGCGAGTTTCCAGCTTCTCTTTCTTTCTCCTTCGCCTCCCCGGGCGGCGGCGGGGGGGGGCCGGGGCTCGCCGCTTCCCCCTGGCTTTGTGTCGGCGGCGAGCGGGGGCCCCGGCGCCGCGCTACCTGTTGCGGGCGGGGGGCGGCGGGGCCCGGGCCGCCCCCCCGCCCAGCCCCCGGCCCCTGACAGCAGCGCAGCGCGGGGAAGTCGCCCCCGCCGCCCCCCCCCTCCATCCCCGCCGCACAATGACCCCGCGTGGTTCCTCCTCCCCGGAGCAACTCCGACTTTGCAACCCCGGCCTTTTTTCTCCTGCTGAGATTTTTTTTTTTTATTCCCCCCCCCCCCCCCCCCAAAAAAAAAAAAATTTCTTGATTTTTTTTTCCTTGCCCGCTGCGAGCGGCTCCCCCTGAACCCCGCTTGCGTGCGCTGGGCTCACGCCTGTACAGTCTCCGCAGACCTCCAGGGGCTCTGTTTAGGCAAACCGAAGTGCCGTGGGGTGGGCTGTTGTCTCTGCCGGTGCCTGTAGCTTCTCCTCCCCCGGGGGGGCCTCTGCCTCTGGGTTAGCCCCCCCCCCCCCGCCCCAGAACGGGTGAGGAGGGGGTGAGCTGCCCCCCACCTTCGGGGCGGTGGGGAGGGTGTCTGGGGCTGCGTCTGTCCGCCCCCCCCCCCCCCCCCCCCCCCCCCCCCCCCGTCAGGACGCTGCCTGATGCCTGCTCTTTGGTTTCCACCTTGCCAGGCTTTAACCAGGAGAGATCTGCGGGCAGTTCCACCATGTCGGATAGCGACCTCGGGGAGGACGACAGCGCCACATCCCCGGACCCCTCACAGTCCAACAAGAGGAAGAGAAGGGGCAATCTCCCCAAGGAGTCCGTGAAGATCCTCCGGGACTGGCTGTATGAGCACCGCTTCAATGCCTACCCTTCCGAGCAGGAGAAGCTCAGCCTCTCGGGGCAGACCAGCCTCTCTGTGCTGCAGGTAGGAGCCAGCCCCTCACACGCTGGGGACGCTACTGGGTCCTCTGCCACGGTGCTTGGGACGGGCTGGACCGGGAGAAACCCCTCGAAGATCCCAAAGGACTTGGCACGCTGGAACCACCTGCCTCCGAAGGGCAGCGAGGAGGCAAGGGAGGGAACGGCGCAGAAGCGCAGCCGCTTGCACATGGGCGGCTGCTTTCTGAGGGAGGCCTGAGCCCCAGAGACCAGTTTTATGGTCGTGCTGGAGCAGAGCTTTTTGGTGGCCAGAAGACAAAGGGAGTTGAGATGGGGACAAACTAAGCAATACTCTTTTTAGTAAAAGCTGCCACAGGTGCGAGGGTTTCAGGGGGGTGCTGCTTTATCCTGTTCCCCCGGGCACCCCCCAGTAAGGGGGCCAGGGCTGCCAGCCCCCTGCACACAGACAGAAGCTGAGCTGGGCTTTGACCACAGGTGGGCCATTAGCAGCACGGAGTACTGGCTGGCCCACCTGGCCCCAGTTACGCCAGTTGCATTAAGGGGAGTCTAGCCCAGCTGAGGGCTTCTGGACAGGAGTAACCCTGTCCTGCTCCTGGTTGTGAGCTGATGTTTTCCATGTGGTGCTGTGATGGCTACCTAGCCAGGAGCCCTGGCTAGTAGTGGGGGTGAGCAGTGCTTTTCTTTCCAGCTTTGACTTTCACCCTGCCTGCTGTTAGGGTAGTAAGGAGAACCTGCCTGCAGCTGAAGGCCGGCAGCTTCCAGAAAGGGGAACCCCTGTGTGCCCAGGGCCCTGTCCCCCCTCTCTCAGCCTGGCAGGGTGGGAGATGAATGGGGGGGCTTTGCTTTGCTTTGTTTCTGGGGGCACAGCAGGGTGGGCAGCAGCTCTTGTGCGCAGGGGAGCAGGCAGGGGCTAGCGGGTTTGCAGCTGAGCTTCCCTCCTTGGGGCTTCTGCATCTCTAGCTCCTTTCTCTGTGGCTCAGCTCAGTCCTGGGCAGCCATTCCGGCTGTGGCCCAGACACTGGTGTGTGGGCAGTGACTGGCTGGTTTCCTTCTTACTGGCCAACAAGGCAAACTTTCTTTCTCATTTTAATGTATTTCCTTAAATGCTGTCTGTGCAACAGATTTGTGTCTGGTCAGCTACTCCGAGGGGAGGTGCGTGGTCCTGGGAGGACTCGAGTCAGAGTGATGAGGGGAGCAGCAATGGGTTGGGGTTCTGGGCATCTGGGTTTGTCCTGGACTGGGGTTGGCCTGGTGGTACCTGGCACGTGGGGATTTATCTCAGCGTTTGTGGCAGTGGGACCAGCAGGTGCCCGGCTCTCCGTGTGCTGGGAGGCAAGGAGGGTGCTGGCAGGCACTTGGGCTTGTGTTGAGGGGTGACCTTGCCGTGTGCCGGCCGTTGTCTGCCCCGTGGGACCCCCTGCAGCCAGTGTGTGTCTGGTGAGGAGGCCGCCCCTGTGCCCCCCGGGCAGGGGGCCCCAGCCTGGTGGCACTTCCCAGGGACAGCTGAGGGCTGTCACTGGGGTCGCTGTCAGTCTGAGGTGATGCAACAGGATGCTGTGGGGGCTGCTCCATCTGATAAGAAGCCTGTTGGGATGGAGGTTTGGGACACTGCAGGGGTTTGGGGCTGCAGGGTTCAATCCGTCAGTGCTGATCCAACCCTTCCAGGAGCCTCTCGAGCACAGGGCTCTGCTGCACTCCCTGGCTGAACATCCCCCGGTTATTTATTTGTGCGTGCCCCTGCCCGGTCCAGTGGCCTGGGGAGCTGGAGCCAGGTGCCAGAGATTGGGAGTGCAGCAACCCTGGGTCTCCAGGGAGATCGGGAAGCCGTGTGTTGCCCTTGCAGAAAGTTGGGAGGTAAGAAAGCGGTACCTGCTCCTGGCGAGGCTTCCTGGACAACAGCAGGTTTCCAAGCCCGTGTGGCCTCCCGTGGAGATGGGCTTTTCCTCCCTGCAGAGGGGATGAAGCTCTGCTGCTGGTGGTGGGGACACATGCTGCCCACAGTCCAGCGTGCACTGGTGGTGGGGCCAAGTGATGGCCAAGTTTTAAAAAAAAAAAAAAAAACCAAACCACACCAAAAAAAGCTGCTCGGCTCAAAGCTGAGGCATATCCCAGCTCCCTGGTCGGGTGATGCTGTGTGGTGTCCTTTGGTGTCACTGGTGGTTGTGTGTGCCTGTCTGTGCCACGTTCACTACAGGGAGTTGAATGCTGGAAAGGGACCAGCATGGTTTTGGGGGGCTTCTCAGTGCTGTGGAGTTGATTGGGCTTTTTGTTGGGAGTTAAGCCCTCTGGGAGTTACAGGGGTTGACGGCTGTGGGATCACAAGATCATGTCAAAGGGACCTGGATAAGGCTTGCAACCAAGTGTGTTTGGAAGGGAAAAGAGGGTGAGACTGTTGTATTTAAAGGGTGTTAAATGCCAAATATTGTCTTAAAGACAAAAAAAGGACAACTGAGATCTTGCTGCAATTGAAGTTGTGGTAAGGTCTCTCTCCCTGGGGGAAATACTTCACGTAGCTGTTGATTTAGGAAAGATCAGTCATTTTTTTTCCCCCCTGATTTATTTTCTTCTAATTGTTTTCTAGGAAGAAAGCAGTTATTTTCATGTAGCGTTTTATATAAAGATGCTGAAACAATACATGGCTGAGACTAAATACATGGTCACTGTGTTTCTGGAGGGCTTCCAGAGGTGTAGCCGCAGAGCTCTCGCTCTTTGGTGTGCCGATGTTTGGAAGAGCCTCTAAAGTTAGCTGTAACCTCACTGGTTGGCAGGAGGCACGGGAAGGCGTTGATGCACTGCCACGATCCCTGTGTTAGGCGGTGGGGGTGCTGCAGCCCTGCGAGCTTACGGTTTTTAGGGTTTTCCATCCATGCTGCTGTTGGTCTGCAGTCAGCTGCCGGGACTTTTGGAGCCGGTGCGTGGGGACGGTGCTGAGCCCGTCCCTCTCCAGGGAGCAGGCAGCACCGCTGGAGAGCCGCTGCAGCTCCAGTGGCTCTGTGCAGCCTTGCTCTGGCTTGCGGGGCGGCTCAGCCCCAAAGCTGCCCAGGCTCTGCTCGTTGAGTGTGTCCGCGTGGTGAGCAGGCACCGGTGGTGCCATGGGGGGCTGGCACCCGTGCGCAGTCCCTGCCAGGGTGGGCTGGCGGGGCTGAGCGGGAGGGAGCGTTGCACCGCGGGCAGCCGGGACGGGGGTGCAGGGAGGAAGGGGCTGCTCCAGGCAGGCGGTGCCAGGCAGGAAGCAGCCGGCGTTGGGGTTTCCGTAGGTGGCTGGGCAACCCCTGCCAGGAGTAGCTCTGCCTCTCCGGAGCCCCACGGGAAGGAGTTGTGGGGCTTGGCGGGGGCGTGGGGGGGGAGACCTGTGGTGGCTGGGGTGTGCAGGAGCTGCTTGCTGGGGCTTCTGCCGGCTTGGCTTCAGGCTGCTGCCCCACAGCCAGCCCCAGGCACGCGTGGCAGCCCCGGGGCTGACGGCACTGCCTCCCTCTCTCCTCCCAGATCTGCAACTGGTTCATCAATGCCAGGAGGCGGCTGCTCCCCGACATGCTGCGCAAGGATGGGAAGGACCCCAACCAGTTCACCATCTCCCGCCGAGGGGGCAAAGCTGGTGACATGGCCCTGCCGCGGGGGGCTGCTGCTGGCTCTGGGGTGCTGGTGGTCCCTCCCGTGACGGCCGCAGGGGCCTCCAAGGTGCTGTCGATGTCTGTGTGCCCGCAGGTACTGTGCCACCCTGCCCAGGCGCTGGGCAGCAACCTGACGGTGGTGAGCGCCCACAGCCCCGACTGGGAGAAGCCCCCCGGCCCACAGCGAGTGGAGCCGGACCCCAAAGCACCGCTGGGTGCCACTGGCAGCACCATGACCTTACTGGCCCGGGCTGAGGCAGCCAGCCCCACCAGTGGACTCTTCAACACGCCACCCCCCACGCCCCCAGAGCTCTTTGGTGACGACTTCAGCAGCTTCCAGCTGCTGGTGGAGGTGGCACTGCAGAAGGCGGCTGAGCTGGAGTCGCAGCGGCAGGGTGGGCAGCTGCCCCTCTCGCCCCAGACTGAGCCCCCAGGAGCCTCCATCTCCAAATAGCCCTCTGGGCCAGGTCCCGCAGGGTGCCCTTCCTCGGGGGGTGCCTGACCCTCCCAGCCTCCTACCACCCATCTGCTCGCACCCCCGGACCAGCTCATCTCAGAAGCGGACTCCCGCCTTCCGGGCGCACTCCGGTCTCTCTGTCAGCAAAGCGGGGAGAGGAAGGACTGTCCCATCCTGCCGTCTTCTCGCTGGGGAGGTGCCCCCACCTGCCGCCCTCGTCACGGAGGACAGTGCCCTGGGCGCACGGGAGGACGCGGCCGCTGCGGTCTGGCCATCGCGGAAAGACCTCTGCCGCGTTTCTGACCTCTCCCTGCCGTGACTGACGGTTACTGCGGAGCCCCCTTGGAAAACCTGCTGACTTCTTTTTCTCTCTCCTGTAAACAAGGGTCCAGCCAACACCATTTCTTCAGGGAGAGAAAGAGAGAATTTATTTTTTTGAAAGTTGGTGTCTGTTTTAAGGACTATGGATGAAAAGATTTTTTTTTTTAACCCAAATCTCCGATCTCTTACCCCCCCTCCCTTTTTTTTTTTATTTTTCCTTTTGTTTGTGGAGGGCCTTTCTGGTACCTTGTGCTGACTAGGAGCTTTGCCCAGGGAAGGGCAAAGGACAGATGAACTGGAAACCTGAAGTCTGTGGCATTTTTTTGGATGGAAAACCTGGGGCAGTCCTCTTCTGCTTTAGGGTGTTATGGATGCTGCCAGCAGAAATCTCTATGGTGCTGTTTAGCAATTTTTTGTTGAACCATTTTTCCCTTTAATTGTGATTTATTATATGATTTTTTTTTTTTCTTTTATGAGCATTTCCACAACTTTCCCGTGTTTCTCTTGAGTTCCTGCTGAATATGTGCACATTGTGTCCCAGAACAGAGAGCGTGTTGCAGAGGCTGGGAGATGCTCACAGCAGGCTGCTGCTGGGGGTGGATGCAAAGCTGAGACTGTGAAATTCTGTATCCAATTTATGTTTTTTTTTTTGTTTGTTTGTTTTTTTTTTTTGTTTTGTTTTGTTTTGTTTTTTTGTTTTGTTTTTTTAAAAAAAAACATTTGGAAAGAGGTGTGTTTTGGGCATGGGCATGTGTGCTCTTCTGCAAGTGCAGCGCTCACAGCCTGCAGACCACGGTTCCTGGAAAGCAGAGTTGTCTCATCAGCCAAGTGCTGATGAACTGCCCTGGGAACGCGGAGGGATCAGTCCCGTTGCTCCCTTGTCCCCTCCCTCCTGCTCTTGCTCTGCAGGGCTGAGCGCGGCCGTGCCTGGCTGTGCGGTGCTGGTGACCTCTAGTGACAAGCTTGTGTCTGCTGGGAGCTGGCTGGGCCCCCCCCAGCCTGGTCTGGTGGGGGTCTGGGGGCTCCAGGGCAGTTCCTGGCTGGGCATCGCTTGCTGTCACTGAGCGGGAGCCTGGGTGCTGGGACTGAGATACTGCTGTTTCACTGTAAAATGTAAGTTAAATAGCGATACGTACGCACCTATGTTATCTATCCTGAGAAACACTAATCCTAGGTAATTAGCCTGTTTATTAAGTTGCATGACTAGAGATAATAATGTCCACGGGATCTGGTGCTCTGCAGAGGTTGGAGCCAGCAGCGCTGGGGGAGCAGCACGCTGCGGGATGATGGGGCAGGGAAGGGAGAAGCACTGATTTTGGGGACTGGTGTTCCCCCTGCCCCACCTCACCCTTCGGAGAGAAGGTGGCAGGGGAGTTGGGGTGCTGGCAGGGGCTGCAGGGGGGCTCGCCAGTTGGGGGTTGTGTTGGCCCCAGCTCTGGCACCACCCGGCTGGGCAGACTGCACGACTTTGCGTGGATGCTCATCATGTGGCTGGGAACATCCCCCTCCTCATCACCCCCAGCTCCATTTCATGTCCAGCCTTTGCCCTCTGCCTCCTTTCTGGGGGAAACCCTGAATTTTAGGACTCCCTCCCTTATTTCTAGGTAGCCCTTTGCCCTGTCACCACCTGCAGTTCTGTTTCCTCCCCCAGGGGATGGAGAGGCTTTTTGATCTCCTCCCTTTATTTTGCCCCAGTGAAACCAAAGTGGTTTCCTCCCGCAGGGCAGGAGTGCCACAGCTGTGCCTGCGCCATGGACTGGTGTTGCTGCCCTAGGGATGGACCAGAAAGAGTGGGGAGAGCAGGGATTATTGGAATGAAATTTATGGAGCAAAAGAACTACTGTAAATATATTTCTGTTTGTTCTTCTATTGTCAAATAAAAGTTTTTTAGTTGTTTGGTTTTTGTTTGTTTTGTTTTTAAATATGAGCTCTGTGTGAGAGTGGACTATGGCATTTGAGGGTGGGTCACTTGCTCCTCCCTCACCACCAGCTCTCACCTCCTGACACTCAGCCAAAGCAGCTTGAGAGCTGTGAGGAACGTTGCTGGGTGTGGAAAAAATGGGCCCAGTGCCTGGCATGGGCCTGCACTAACCCACGGTCGTTTGGTCTGATGTTACGATGTGTTCACGTCCCACAGCGTTTGATCCTAGTGTCTAGGAGCCAGAAAGCGTTTGGCAGCAGCAGAGCTGATGCGTTTGTATCTTCTCTCTTCCAGGCCAGCACTGGAAAAGTGAGAGAGCATCACTGCTAGCCCCTTGGCAAAGAAAAAAAAGGAAGGGCTCTGCTGCACCCAGTCTCCTGGGTCAGGAACCCTGGGAGGTGGGCAGGGGTCTTGCAGAGCTCTTCCTAGAGCAGCAGCCCTGGGCAGCCTTGCTCGGCCGCGGAGGGCAGGGGCACGGACCCAAGGGCTGCTGCAGTGCTGGCGCGGCAAGGCTGGGCTCAGAGCTGCTGTGCTGGCCCCGGTGCTGCCCTGGGGCTGGGCCACCCTCCGGCATGCCCTCGGGGTGCGCGCTCTGTTATTTCATCTGCTAGTGTCTTCCACGTACGCCGTCTCAGGGTTACAGCGTCTGTGCCAGCTTGATGCCCTGCATCCCCTCAGCTCTTCTATGTGCTAGCAGGGGCTGGGGAGGGGGCTAGCACCAGTTCAAGCCCTTTGCAGCCCCCTGGCCCCCGGCTTCCTGAGGTGTAGGGTGACCCCAGGGTGTCTGCCCCCTCCCTGGCACTGCGCGGGGGCTGTGGAAGGATGGCGGCACCCAGCCGCCAGGGAAACCCCACGGCAACTCTGGTAACAAGAATAGCAACAGGGCATCCCCCCGGGGTTGCTGACACTTTGTGGGTGAGGAATGTGGGCTGGGGGGGCTGGAGCCAGGACTTGGGCAGGGCAGGGGACTGCCGGCTCAACTGGTGGGTGGTGGTCTATACAGCAACGGGGGGGGGGGGGGGGGGGGGGGGGGGGCAGGGCCGGGTAAAACAGAGCCGGTGCCCACCCCCAGCTCTGCCTGCCCTTCCTGTGGCCTCAAGTAGCACCTGGAGGGGTCCTGAGCTACACAGGGGTGCCTTTGCCCCAGCCAGGCCCTGGGGACCAGCAGTGGCCTCCACGGGGCCAGCGGCCCCCAGTGGGGCTCAGGCACACGCTGCCACGGGGGGGCTGTGGCAGATGTTTCCTGCAGGCACAGGGAGAGTGCCCGGGGCGGGGGGGCTGCCGGCACCCTCGCCCTCCGGCACAGGGCCGAGCAACCTCACCCGGGGTGGGACACGGCTCCGCGTCCCCCCCGCGCCGCCTCCGAGGGCAGCAGCGGGGATGTGCGCTCCGGGGGTGTGGGGGTGTCCTGCCAACAGCCCACCACCAGCCCTGCAGCCCCTGCTCCTCCTGCCCTGGGCGTGCTCAGGCAGAGCCCTGAGCACAGGAAAGCCTCCTCCTCAACGCGACGCTTCCATATTTCTCATGGCAGAGCCAACACTGCCCCGAAAACACCCGTGTGGGGATAAGGCTTTGGGAGACCCTCCCTGGCTGCTGCGTACCCCACTGCTGGGGCGAGGAGGCAGTGCCGGGCATCATGCTGCGCCCCTAAAACAGTGCAGCGGGAGGGTGAGTTCACGCAGCACAAGGGTCCCCGAGCCCCCAGGGACGCCTGGGCAGCAGCAGCCCCCGACCGCCCCCCCCCCTTCCTGCTGCGCTCCTGGACAGTGCGGGGAGCGGCTCCCCTGGCGCTGCTCCTCAGGGCCTGCACCAGCCCGGCTTCACGCCGGTCCCCGCCGGTGTCGGTGCTGCCTGGGGTGCCGGACCCGCGCGAAGGGCGCTGAGGCGGTGCGGCGGGACCCCCGCGGAACGGGACGCGGGGGAGAAGCGGCGCGGGCAGCGGACCCGCAGCGTGGGCCCGCCGGGTCCTCCGCTGAGGCGGGGCCAGCGCCAGCGAACCACGGGCGCCCGGAGGCGCCGGGCACGGGCGGCCCCGTCCCTCCCAGCACAGACCAGTGCCGGGGCCCTCGCCCCACGCCCACGGGGGGACACCCCCCCCCCGCCCCGCTCCATTTGGGGGCGGGGCATATTCCGGCCCCGCCCCCTCCCCGCACTCCCAGCGCCCATTCGCCCCAGAAATCCCACGGCCTGTTGTGATTGGCTGGCGGGACCACCGCTTTACCCAGAGTACCCTCGGCACCTGAGGCCCACCCCCTACGCGCACAGGGGGCGGCCATTTTGTTTCACCCACCATTTTATAGAAGGGAGCAGCCATTTTGTAAAACGTCACACGGCTCTGTGATTGGCTGACGGCCATTCCTTCACACCATCACACCTACGTGTTCTCAGGCAGCCCCGTGATTGGATGCTTGCTTCCTTTGGACCCAGAATTGCTCAGATATGAAAATACAGGCATTTATATACATGTATAGATCGCATATAGATATAGTTATTTATATACATATGTGTGTAAAGATGTATTTTTCAGATATGTATTTCTATATTTGTATACATATGTATATATTTCAATAGACATTTGCACATTTATAAAGCTGTAGAGATTATACAGTCATAAATCCACAGGTATAAAATAGATAAAAAATAGAGGAAGGGCCCTGGGGTCTTCGGGGCAAACGACTGAAGGAAGGGAGTGAGGGGAGAGGGTGGTCCTACCAGCCAATCACCACAGACCACATGACTGAGAGGGTGGGGCTTCCTGGGCAGGTGGCCTATGAGGCTGCAGGAGGGGTGGGACTGACCGCCCCCCACCCCCTGGCGCATCCGCCATCTTGCTTTGAGGGTCAACACGGCTCCAGCTTCGAGCTTCGCCCCCGCTGCCGGGCCGCACCCCATTACAAACCAGTGACCCAGACCGCTGCGGCAAACAAAGGGGCAACAGAAACTGCAGGCAGTTATAAATTCAGACTGCATTTGTTTTATTATTTTTTTATGGTAAGCCAGCCAGCTGTCCTTGCTGCTGTTAAGTTCTTCTCCTCCAAGGTGGCAGGAAACAAAATGAGTCAGGCAGGCAGGCACAGGCACGCACCGCTGCTACCCAGCCTCACCCCAGAGCCCCACGCACACCTCCGCCGCTGCACCCCTGCCCTGGCCGCCCCAGGGCCCACGGCCAGCACCGGGCCACGGAGGAAGAGCGATCCGGGCCCAGGGGACTGAAGAGCATGTGGCAGCTCCCCGAGACCGCCAGCCCCAGAGACAGCAACGTTCCAGGCCAGCTCCCCCACAGCAGCCTCAGCCACTTTTGGAAAAGTACATAAAAAAAGAAGTTACCATTTCTTGGTGTTCCCGATTTCAATGCTAGAGATACCTAAACCCACATCTTTACAGTCCTCCCCAAAAACCTGACAGTGCAACCCAACAAGTCAGTGTCTCTACCCACAAAGATCAAGACCAGTGCTGAATTGGAGTGACATTATGGCTAAGCTTTGATGGCAATCTAATTCCGTATTTGAGAAGTTACGGTAGGTGGGCTGAAATCTTTAAGAGCACCTATGCATGGACAACACTGGACAGTATACAAGGGTCACTCAGACAGCATTCAGAATTTCACTTTTATTTATTTTTTGCCTTCTGGATCACCAACACCCTCACTGAAACTTCTCTAGGATTCTACCCCCACCCCCATGAAAGTAGCACATAATCTCCCAACTCATTCAAGCAAGTGAAGCTAAAAAAAAAAAAAAAAAAATCCCCAGCAAGATCACTCAAGATGGGGCCAAATGCTTATTTGCAGGGGGTGGCAAAGAATTTGGTGGTGGCGGTTCTGGCTTCAAGAAACCAGACTGAAAAGGAGACTTACAAAGGGGAAAATGGGCTAAAAAATATTTAGCAATCCTTCCTCTACCCAGAGAGCAGGGAGATAAGGAAAAAATAGTCATCTGATTACACACAGGGTATATATTTTTACACACACTTTTACACACATCTAGATATAGTACATGTAAAAATATATGCTATACATACGCCCATTCTCACCAAGGTGGTTTTAGTACACCATCTGCACTGTGCGTATGGGCATGTATACGTGTGTATGAATTAAATGTACAGGTACTACTAAGTGTATATGTGCATATGTACACATACAGGCAGGCAGCCTACCACCAGCCACCTGTGCCTTCCTCTTTGTACAAAACCCAGTCCTCCCACCCTGAAATACCATTACTCTTTCCCAGCCCTCCTCTCCCTTCCCCAGCCCACTTTGAAACAGGTCCCTCAGTGTAGCAGCTTCTTTCTCAACAAGCAACTCAAGAAAAATAATTTTGTAAAGGGAAGAGGAGAAAAAACAAAGTGAAGCATGTGTGGATCATGCCTGTAGTTGCTCTGTGGTCCTGCAGCTCCCCTCCTGTGCCTGGAGTGGGCACTGCTCTTGGGATCAGCCAGCCAGGCGCTGTCCCTTCACCCCTTTTGCCAGCTTATTGCACATTTACTTCTGGGCTACATTGTGACAACTCTGCATTACATTCCACAGACCCTACCATCCTCTCACTTCAAAAAAACAGAGGAATACAAACCCACTGCCCTATCCCTGCCCACCCATCCTTCCCCCACCCCAATATCCCCATCAAAAGGAAAACAAAAAAAAAAACAAAAACAAAACCCAAGAAAGGCTGCTTGCTAGCAGAGTGCAATAGTAGTACACACTGAATGGGTGTTCTCTTCGGGACCTCTGTGGAAGAGAGGTTATTTCTAACACAGTAAACAAAGCCATGCAAAGGGTGGGAGAAAGGAAGCGGGAGGAGGAAGAAATAAAGAATGAGAAAGAACAACAGAACTGAGGAGGAGGAAGAACACAGCATGGCAAGTGCTCAAGGCTTCATGTTTTCTTGTCCTCTTCTTGTAAACAAGCTAGTAATTCTCATTAGACAGAATGAGTAAAAAGACTGAAGTTCCAAGTCGAGGGGCTGGAGTTTCCACGAGTCTGTTCAGTCCATTCAGCAACACCACAGCCAGTGAGAAAACAAGGGGTATTTTTTTCTTTTTTTTTTTTTTTTTTTTTTCAAAATCTTCATTACTTAAAGCTGAGAAAAAAGCCAACTCAGGAGCCCTTTTCAAGGATGGCTCGTTGTCTCTAGACTGAATAAATCACACTAGTTTAGAGAGAACCCTTTTTTTCCTTTTTAATGACTTATAAAAACCACGCGGTTCCTTCCTCTGCCCCTTTGCTCAAAGGCGGGTCTGTGCCTCGGGTACGTAGATCTCGATGCTATCTGCGCTCTCCGTGGCCGAGTTCTGTCGGACAGAGGCAGCCCGCTTGGCTGCCATAAGACGCTTGCGAGCTTCCTGGCGCTGCTTGTCTGAATCGGAGACTTTGTCCCGGTTCAGTTGGGATTTGGACTTGGCTGGCTTCTTTGGCACTGGAGGGGGTGGTTTTTTCTCTTCCTTTAGGGAGACAGTAAGGAAAAACCCAAACATAAAATAAAAATGCACATACAGAAGCTTGCTCTTTGATATGGTGGGGACTCTTACGGCATAAACAGTGAGATCGAGTGTCAGCTAAAAGAAGCAGCAGTTCTTGAGCAAGACACCCATCAAAATCAGCTTCCCTAATGTCTAGAAATGTGCCATTTTGCATTTCATGGTACAGAGCTTGCAGACTATGTCTGGCCCAGCTATAGGTCAGAGCACAGCACAGGCAGCATGAAGACTGAACGTGATCTGAAACAGCAAAATTTTAGTATGTCACCCTGCCCAGAGCCATAGTGCTCCCCTTCCTACCCTCATGTCTAGTCAGGCAGGCTGGCCCAGGGATGCAGCCCGTGCTGTGTTTTCAAAAGGTTCAAATAGGTGGTTTTTATACTATTCAGGCACCAGGAATACTTAAAACCTATTCATACAGTGCTTGCAACACTAGAGGCCTCTGTATCACTGCTTTAAACATACACCACCATTCATCACTGGTCTCTGTTGCAACAGTTTTTCCCCCTTGTACTAAATGGTCTCCACTATTACTCAGAAAGAATGGTCTCAGTGCATTACAAGGTTGTGAGATTACACTGCACAAGTGCAAGATGGTAAAAGCCCTAGAGCTCTTCCGTTTTCAGACAGAAATATATCTCAGACACCCAAAATGTCCCCGAGATGCTCCATCCACTCAACTGCCCCACACTCACCTTTCTCTCCGGTGTCTCTGCCAATTGCCAGCTATTAGCTTTCAGGTGGTACAGCTCATCAAACTTCATGCTGATGTCTTCAATGGACAACTGCAGGAGATCCCAAAACCCAGCTAGGTCCTGGGCTGTGGGTCTGGGATTGGCATTAGGGTTCTAGAAGGGAAGGCATTAGAAGTCTTTTAGAAAGCATATACCCTCCTGACAAGCAGAGCAATCTGCAGAGCTTATATATTCACCTCTTATAAGTCTACCTGCCTGACAACTGAAATGACAAGAACCCAGAGGAGACACCACAGCCCTAAATATGCAGACACACCATGCCACCTTTTACAGTCAAAACTATTTCTGCAAAGATCAGGAAGCAGAGATCCTGATTGTATTTCTCCTATAGGAACCTGAAGAAGAATCCTGAAAGACACTGTGTGGCAGAAAGCAATAGCTCCCATTCTCCCCAAAGCTTGCCCAGCTAGCCCTAGTCCCACAGCAGGAACCTCCGGCTGAAGGTCCCCAGCACGTGATTCAGAGCTAGAACACTGGTTTCTGACACAGAGATCCTGATTTCAGGGTGGGTAATAGTGGAAATGGACACAACACAATGCAAAGCACAGCTCTGACACCCAGAGAACTTGCACACCAGTGTACAGCAATCCAAAGTCGCCAATATATTTCACTTTGCTACATCTCTCTCTCTCTCCCTCCCCCAACCAATCTGAAAGTATCAGTATTTCTCAGGTTAGGTTGAAAATATTTCCATAGCTTAAGTTTCTTCCAAGAACAGAATTTTCCCAGTTCTGAAAGATCTGAACTGCCACGATAGGCCTGGATTGCCTCTGGAAAGCATGGGATCAGATCTGAGCAACTCAGCACAAAGTGTCAAAGGGAGACCTCAGCACAAAGCTCTGCTGAAAGCCTGGCAGCTAGTGGTGTTGCTGCTAACCTCAGCTGTGATTAGTCAGAGATCAGCAAGCAGATGCTCAGCACTTCACCCTCTCCTCCTTCCCAAATTGCCTTTTTTTTTTTTTTTTTTTGCAAGTAAGGGGGAATTCAGCTCTGAGGGTTGCAAAATCCATACCACAATAAAGCTTGAGGGGAAAACCAAAACAGATTCCCATCCATTCCCACATTAGTCCTGCTCAGCTCTCAGCAAGGGCAAACTCTTGCATTACATTTGAAGAGCTCAGATTGAAACAGTGCTTTGTGACTAATGAGGGACAATTCTGTTGGGACAGTTTCACCTCCACATAATCTACATGCAAAAGCAAGCATGTTTGGAGAAGAACAGTAGACTTATTCAAACATTCCTCCCTATTTGGCAAAACCTCAGTGGTTTACCTCAAAAAGCCGTTTAGAAGAAACAAGAAAGTAGTTTCCAGGACACACAGCAGTATGGCTAGCTGACAATTCAGACCCACAGACACTCAGTGTATTCAGCATGCCCTGATCAAGAAAACTCCCCTGTGCTCATGTAAGCACCAAAAGGAATTGCAAGCACTCATCCCTGAGCAGAGCACAGCCCAAGAACTGCCTGCTCAGAAGAGAGGTTGAGGCAATCAGCCTCCCACTGACTCAGCTGCCATTTCAAATCAGCATTCATCCATCATGGCACTGTAGTTAGGCTGTAGGCCACAGCTGCATTGGCTTTGTTTTTACAGTGACAGTAGTCTGTTAATACCTGGTCATATTCATGTAGTGCTGTTGAAACAGATGCACACACACCCCCCTCCCCAAAACCCAGGAGAAATAGATCCAGACTCACCAAGTTTTGTTCACAGAGGCCGTGGAATTGCTGGAACTTCTGTGACATTAGTAACTGTGCACTGCCCACTGCACTCAGGACTTTTCCTAAGACTATGGAGGGAAGAAAAAAAAACAAAACAAAACAAAAAACAACTTAGTTGAACAGACTATTAAATGTAGCAATGAACTCAAGTGTTTATGGAACAATGAAGCCCTCTTGATTCATTAGGAGTTTCAGAGATACCCAAGGAACTAATTGCTCTCAGGGAAAGATGATGTACTGAAACTATGATCTTCATCTGCCTCTGCCATCTATTATTGCTCCTTCTAGAGCAGGTCAAAAGCAGGCCAGACTGAGAACATTACATCAGAATTGGCAGAAAGTACCTTAAGCTGCCTTCAGTCCACCAGAGAAGGCACCAGCAGAATCTCAGTGAGCAGATCGCTGGCACCTGCTTGCAGATCACAACCTGTTCTTCCACTCATGCACGAGTTTAAGGTAGCAAGCAGCAGCAGAACTGTCTCCAAACTCCATTTACCAGATGCAATTAATACTGGCAGGCTAGGGCTTTTAACACCCAGGACTTTAGGCTGCTCTCAGTGGGTTTTCCAAGAAGCCTCTGGGCATGGCAACATTCATCTGCTCGTTAATGGAAAAACACTGTATGGACTCTTCCCTTTCAAAGGTACAGTTGAGAGACCCACAGTGCGTGCAACTATACACCATGCATGGGGATGAACCGATTCCCGTTCTCCTCCCTGGTCTGCTGCTGCACCTACTGAATCAATTCTGAACGTTTATAGATCTTGGTGGGACAAGTGTAAGCTGGGGTCTCTCCATACCCACCAAATTCTCTGTTACAGATAGCTACTAGGAGATTGCTCTCTGAGGTCACAGATTAATGCCACACTGGTCTTGGTGTCTTTTCTTGCCAGAGGACTCTTGCCACCGGCAAAACAAGGGCATCCCCTGAGGCAGGGAGAGCCCTGGCACTGCCTGTCCAGTTTAGCAGCCTGTGCAGCATCTTAGTGCAACAGGATTAGAGATTAGCACCCCCAAGTCCTAGCAGTGACACTGAACTGTCACCATTATTTTACTCTTCTCAGGTATTAAAAAAATAAAAACCAGACTCAACCCAAAGATCCTGCCCTCTGCAGCCTAGTCACCCACTTCTATCACTCTGTATGTACCTTAGGCATGATTTTCACTGCAAGAGCACAGGTTTTGCCAACTCATTTGAAAATAATGGAACAAGCCCAACTGGGACTGAACGCAATAAAATCAAGCAGCCTTATGTTCCCTGTGCATGTGCTTTTGGTGTATTTAGCACAAATTCAGTGAAGCTTTCCCATATGAAGAAATCCCCTCTTTGATGCAAAGACAAGCCACCGATTCAGCAGATCAAACAAGCCCAGAAGTCATGTCCATTCTGCTCCACGGCCAACTAAACTTTTACCTGCCTGCTTGAGTATAATGGGTTAGGCAGGGAGAAAGATCCTACAGCCTCCCTAAAAGCAATCCATTTATACTATTAGTAGCTTTGAATGGCCAGAAGCTGCACCATTCCCTGCAAGTTTTATACACCTCAATGTTATCTCGTACCCCATCTGCTAGAGGAAGTTACCTTATCCTTTCCAAAGAAGGAAAGTGTTCCTTGTCCCGCACTTGTCTCCATGTTCTGTCTCTGTGGGCTATTAGCAATTTAACTGCAGAAAGCTGATCCAATACTCAGTTACAACTCTTTCTCGATAGAGGAGCTGCTAGTCTATTCCAGCCAGCCTCTGGACAACACCTACCTTCTTCAGAGAGATTGTTCTCTTTGGTCTCCTGGTCCATCTGGCGGCACCAGCCTTCTAACCGCTCTGTTTCTGCCTGCAGCAGCTTCAGAAACCAGTACCCATCCCGCCGGCAGGCTCCTGGCTGCGTGGGTTCTGATGGTGAGGTGGAGGACGTCTCAAGCCAGGGGTCAGGAGGAGGGAGAGAGGAAGGCTCAAGGGCTGGGTCATTGTTTTCTCCATAGGAGAGGTTTCTCTTAATCTGTGAGGGCTTGGCTGGTTGCCTAGTAGTGGCATCAACACCAACAGAGTTGTTATGTTGGGGGCACTCAGCAAGACTTCTCTCAGATGATTTACAGCTAGAGTTATTAGGTTCCTGTGTGTCAGAGTCTGTGTCCTGTTTGGAGGACATGCTGCGAGAGTGGCTGTTTCTAGAGAGATCAAAAGCAAACATTAAATAGCAGTACTCAACCTGGCTGGCCTCACACACTGACAGTGAAATGCATTTGTTTATTATGCCTGCAGATGAGCCTCACCCTGCCCGCCTTGCCCCTCCTCACACACAAACACACACCACACATTCAGACAGACAAAATTATAAGGTTGCCTGCTTACTGCAATAGGCCATTCAGACGAGAGGACTGACGCACATCTATAATTACATCTTGTACTTTTTTTTTAATTTCAAGCTCCCATTGATTTGGCTGTTTAGAGAACAAGTGCTTTTTGCAGCGGGTATGTGCTGTGGAGGAAGAGCTCTCCATGGGCCCCCATTCAACACCACTCATATTGGAACAAAGAAGGGAAGAAGGTCTAAGCAAAAGTGGGGGAAGTGCAATTTAAAAGAAAGGAAACTACAAAAGCTTGCGTCTTTCACTTACCGCCACTCGTCCTCTACCTGTACCCCGATGGACTGGAATTTGGTGGCTGGTGGAGGAGGCTCCTCTTTTGCCACTGGCTGAAGGCAGTCAACCTTATTAAACAAAAAAAATACAGACAAAAACAGACACAAGAACTTGCTGCTGGAATTCACATTAGTAGACCAGGAGTGCTGCACACACACAGAGCATGCTGACACCACACACCAACTGGAGGGTTGTCTCAGGAGAGGCACAAGGCTCAGGTCTGCCTCCACTTGAGCATCAGGACTGTATCCTGCTTGGCTGCTGCCAGGTATCTGCTAAGAGCACTCAGCTCTGCCGTCCACCACTGTTTACACAGTTGTGGCATGCTGGGGAAGGGCTGTGTGTGTGGCATCTGACAAAGGCGAAAGCCAAGAGATTCAAGAGGGGGCAGCGATTTGATTAAGATTGGCAGCAAAGCCCAGCTTCCTCTCTCCCAGGGACTGACACCCTGGGCAGCAATGGGTTAGAAGTTTTTAGGAAGGAAATTCAGGCCATGGGGCAGGTGGCTTGGGAACCAGCTCAGAAAAGGAAGAGAAGGGGAGGGCTGTCAGCCTCTCCAATGCGAGTTCTCTTGCCTTGCTGCCCCTTTCAGTACGTGTTTTGCCCCACTAGCCCTGCAGAAGCCTTCACTACCACATATAACTAACTGGCCAGCTAGACTTACTGTAAAGCCCTATGGAGAACTTATGCAGCTCACACACACACAGCGGCTCAGCGTCCAGATCCTGCATTAGGACTTGCCAAAGTGCTCGAGTTCCTATCTGCAGGCAATAGCCGGCAGCACCGAACCAGCACTTTGGGACAGAACAAGTGCTCACAGCAGTCAGCCATCTGTAACTGGGAAATCTCTCCACAAGAAGAGTGTACAACTACATATGACTTGAGTTTTGCTGTAGAGAGCACGGACTTACACTACTCAGTGTATTCTCATTTGACTATATAATCAACATCTCATTTCCATTGATTTCCAGAGAGTTAAAAAATGCTTCCAGCAAGAGAAGCAGCAACCTGCTGGGAACAGTGGGCAGCAAGGAATTGCTTCCTCCTGCCTACAACCCTAGGACCATTTTGCATTGCAGCAGCCCATGCTACATGGATGCCAAGTAGAAGGGTCCACCTCTCAGAAGGAAGTTGTCCCTAGAACCATGATGGACATGGAACAGACTGATGTTAAGTAATACATGGTACAGAGCACAGGCTCAGCACAGGCATATGAGCAGCAAAAGGCCTCTTTAGAGGGACTCACCCAGTTAACATGGTCCCACTGCTTTATGAAACATTTTAATTTTGTACTAAAATAACTTAATCCTTTCTGGTCTGTTATGGAAAGCTTCTGCTGTATTTCACCCCTGGGAACACAGGAAGTTAGTTTGACAAGGCAGTTACGTTTCTCTTGCTATTCTAAGTGAGTTCAGATGCACATCTCGTCACACAAAATGCACATGCTAAATGGATGGGTTAAGGACATTCCTTAGGACAAAGGAGAACAAACTATTCCATACTTGTATTCCTATAGACGACAGCTTTCTTTTGGGGATATTCTCCACTTTAGGCTCTTCGTTAGTCAGAGTCCCTTTGTCACTTTTCAAAGTTGCATTTTTCTGAGGTAACTCTGGAGTCTCTCTTGCTGGAGTCACAACGCTCCCCCTCGTCACACTGGGTGTCCTGGTGCTGTCCAAGCTGTCTGAGGAATTGCTGAGTCCTGACTGGCTGGTCACCTCGCTCTTGTGGTCCTGGCTGTCCAGGTAGGTGTCCTGTGCCGATTCAGTGCTGCTCTGCACAGTGACAGAGATGAACGGCTTTGATGTGGTCCGAGGTGGGACAGGAGGTGGAGTCTTTTTATATGCCACTAGGCATGATGAACCTGCAGTAATGGAGGTGGGAAGAATGGAGAACACAAGAGACAGATTGGAGAGAGAGAGAGAGAGAGATACAGTAAAAGAGAAAGAAAAAGCAGGTCAGTCACAACACCCAAGAGGAACCTCCAAGTGGAAGCTGGAGGCAGAAATGCAGAAACAGCCTACAGCCAGCAGCTCACACTGGGTAACCCAAACCAAAGCATAAGGGGAAGCAGAAGGCAGAGCCCGAGCTAGCTTGCAAAAGAAGTCAAAAGGAATACCATGACGTGTGAAAGGCTGGAAATGGAGAAGAGGTATAGAAAAGCCTCCCAAGAATGCTACAGGGTTTGGCAGGTGTAAGCCTCCACGTTGGGGAATTTTTCTTTGGCTAAACCCTATGTTTTAGTGTCCTAGTACAGCCAAGTGTCTCAGCTCTTTGTCCCATCGGTTGACAAGTTTCAGTGTCTGGGCCGGGGTGGTGTTTTTTCCTATAAAAATGGAAAGAAGCCATAAAATTTGTTAGATGCTGACAATAGGAACATGCATTTGTGAAGTACCTTAAAAACTTAGCTGCTACACGTTAGAGGAAAATACATCATCTGAATGCAATAACCCTAGAGTGGCAAGGCTGCTGCTGGCTCCACGTTCCCCGATCTGACCAGCAGTAAGGTTGTAGACGTGTTCCCAGCAGACACACAGAACATGTATCTGCTACGTGTACATATATATACACACACGGCTGGCCACACAGATCACAGAAGAGCACCCACATGAACACTAACAGTAGCAACGGTCTCATCCCGCTGCTGTCTCTGGCTTGACAGGATGGCAGTCCATTAGTGAAAATGTATGTACAAGGTGGATCCTGCAGTAGCTGCACATAAGACACCCAGTCTGCCCAGTTCCTGCCCCCTGGACATACAAGCCCCTGAGGCTGAAGTCCCACTCCAGTTGCTGTCCAGACAGGACAGACTGTGCTGGGTAGGGCACAGCCACACAGGCGTACTGACCAGCTACCTGCCTACACACAACTGGCCTCTCTCATCCCCTTACCCCTGCGTTACCCACTCTTGTTCCTCCCCTTTCTTCTCGCTCCTTTGATTCCTCCCTTAAATATCCCATTAAGCCCTGTGCAATCCCGAACTGCTTTTCCCTCTGCACACCATAACGTGTCCCAGCCCTTCACTGTAACCTCTTTAGTCCAAAAGGTGATCTGGAGAGCTGCTCTCCATGGCTCATGGTGATGGGTGTCATGCCTGGGGACACTGGGGCTGAAACTCTGCTGGGACAACCCCAGGAAGGGCCTTGGCAGGGTATTCAGTGCTCAGGGGTTCTTGGCTTGGGGTTCCATTTGCCACTGTGTGTCCCAAGCTCTGGGCTTGTGATGGGCTGATGGTTTCCGTGATGGACCTGGGAGTAGCCCAACAGAGTATGATTTGGGCTCCCCCTCCTGCTATTGTCTCAGCCTTTTTTTAATGGGTGTGCAGAGGAGCTTTATCACATAGAACACTGCTCCGCTCCACGGCATAACCAGAGGGGTGAAGCGTAACTGTGCTTTGGCCCTGCAGGCTGGGTAGGGAGCTTTGCTGCTTCAGATCAGAGCAGATCAGCTCCATCACCACCCCAGATCATGGAGGGCTAGATCAGTCTACCTGAACTGTACCTTATATATAAAAAGGAAATGGGTCCCTGCTCCTGGACTTGATGAGTTAGCATGTTACTGAGGTATGTTTACAGGGCAGTCCCTTTCCCACATCAACGCCAAGCCAAGCATCGCTGTGTAAGTCACTACAATACAATGGCGTGGGAAGCTCTGGTGGTGGCAGGGCTGTCACTCTCCTTGGTTGCCTGTTCCAACCCAAAGTCCTTGGTCTGCAGCAAAGGGGTTCTGTCCTTCAAACTGAAACTCCATGCACGCCTTTCCCCTAGCCCTTGACATGCAGCGGTGTTGTGCTGGTATCAGATGCTGATACCAGCACACAGACCCATACGCCTCCCAGGTCACCCAACCAACAATACGGATGGGCTGTACAAACCCAAATCCAGTTTCTAAGTGTTTTCCTAGTACAGCTCTGATGACTGCAGAGGCTGTCATTCCCTCAGCTTCCCTGCTCCAACCCGTATTCCCTCATCTCCGTCAGATTTTGCACCTCAAATTGCAAGCTCCTACTGCACTGCCCAGTCCGATACATAACCTCCCCCAAACCTGCCGACAGTGATAGATATATAGGCAGATACAGATAGAGACCATTTTCATTAAACAATACAGCTAGACTGTTACCTTTGCCATTTCCATTCCCAACGTAGCCACTGGCATATTAACAAATTTAGTACCAGATTAGAGACCAGTCCTGCCTGTCAGGAATCCTTTGACTACCTGGGGACTGCAAGGGTAAGCAGAGGTAGCTACTGCTTCCCAACTTTACCTTCCACCCCGAAACTGCACTGCTTGCATGCCCTGGGGATCTCACAACAGCGCACCTGACATTTTGATCTTTTAGAACAATTGGACACAACCAGTTCTGGCTCAACCCATCACAGGCTGCCTTCTGTTCCCCATATAATTTTATCACTTTTAACTGAGAAGTATCAAATTAACCTGGTCCAAATTGATTAAGGTATGGGAAGGGGTGTTTGAGGTGATATGTGCTTCCCAGAAGCTCCTTTTCCTCCTCAGGCAGGTCCCTCTGCCTGCAGCAGAGGCTGACCACACTGGCAGGTCACCCAGGAGGGGTGTCCCAGCTGCCTCACATGGGGTCAGAGCCAGGCCCAAGCATCCTCAGGAGCCCAGCTGTATTCCCTGCAGGGAAATGGCACAGCTATACCATGTGCCTTATTGACAGTATTTACACATGACTGTATTTACACATCCCAGAATTTACCGTATTAACAGCTAAAGTTCTACTTCAAGAAGGAACTAAAAGGGAGTGGTTACAGAGAAGGAGATAGACCTCCTTGTTTCCAAAAGCACTTATACGCCCAAAGATGCCAAGAAGCACTGCAATGGAGCTACTGCTATAGGAGAACTAAGAAGCCTACGACAGGGTTGCCAACCAAGCTGGTATTTAATGTGAATCTGGACAGTAGCTCACAAAGGCACAAACCCCATACCAGTTCTCCCAGCCCCTCAGTAAATCAAGTCCAGCACAAATTGAACAGTGTCCTGATGGCCACGAGCAGGACTTATCCTGACGGCTCACCCCAGCCCTATACCACCTTCTGATCCTCTTGCATGGCTGCAAGAGGAACTTGCAGTAGGGAACCACATAGCTGAAAAATAACCAGAACAGGCGGCTATGTCTGGGGACTGGGTTATTTTTCAGCTTGATCAGTCCCCAGCCCTAGCACATGCCATGTAAACTGCTTAGGGCAGCCTGAGCCCACAGCTGCTGTGTCTCCAGCTAGGGACAGGAACTTATTATACACTTAAAAAACCATCTACAATAATTTCCTAAAAGGTCAGATGCAAGTACTTCAACTTGCCAAATTTGCATGCCAACACACAACTACACACATCCTTTAGCCAATACTTATTTGGTCATGTAAAGAGTGCGCAACAGCCCTGCAAATTCATCACTAACTGATGACTAAAAGAGAACGGGCATTCATTTCCTACCTGGCAGTCCCACTTCACCTTTCCCATGCAGTGGAAGCCCTTACACTCAGGACAGCAGCAGGACCTGCTGTAGATGCTCAAGGTGCACCAACTCAGAAGTATTTAGGATCTCCAAGCAAGTCAAGCTTGCCACTGGGACACATCTTTCAGAGGTACCAGATTAGATGGCACCACCTGTGCAAGCACAGGTGGAACTACACCCCAGATCTGACCTTTACCCATGGATGTTGCTTTACAGGACCAGATTCATTGTGCAAATGTACAAACTGCCAGCAGAGCACAGCAGGAGGCATGGAGGTGCCAAAGCAACAGTCACTGCACGACTGTGCCTTCTCTTTCCCCATTTCTCTGCTGGTCATTCCCAAAAGCCTCTTTAGGTTTAGTGTAGATTTGGTCAAGTTAAAACTTGCCTTGTTATGGATGTCTACCTACTGTCTGCCCTTACAACAGAAATCTTGACTACAGCTACCCAACACAGAGCACAGCATGCTAGACAGGTAAAGCATTCCTCACGTGAGCACAGCTACAAGAGCTTTGCCCCATCACAGAAGACTCCCCTGGCCATACAGCTGAACGGCCTCTCAGTTGCATGCTGAAATCTCTCATCTGCCACCAACACCTTCTCACGCAGGACACCACTGCTGAGGACAGAGGGAAGTTCAACTGTAGACATGCACTAGAGTGCACAAGAGCAACCCAGGTCTTCAGCTGCTCAGGCACCCCTCACTGCCCTCCAGAGTGAAGCTGCACAGGCACATGCTGTCAGAGCCCTGCCAGCTGCAGAGAAGGCAACTACTGAGCACCCCATGGATGAGAAGTGCCCACACAGTCACTCTGCCAGGGCTGTCTGACCAGAAAGCACCATCTTAAATAGCTACAGCAATTTCTAGGCCAAGTCTTATGCCTTGTCTTGTACAGCCCATTCCAACAGAGCAGTGTGGGAGCAGTGTGAACAGAGAAACTGCAGAAGTACCCCTCAATAAGCTGTGGCTACACCACCGAAACAGGATGCTGCCTTGTGTTACTGTACCAGGGGACTACAGCAGCTATTATCTAGGACAAGTAAGAGCCACCCAAATTGGCAGTGGAGAAAGCATGTCTGAATGGCCCTCCAAATAATCACCTTGTCTCCCCAATCCACGTGGCCTCTGTTCTTCCCTGGGGAGAGTGCCCAGTCCCAGCACACCAGCTGCCTGGGGTCCCCTGCCACCAAAGTGAGCCTCTGTGACACTGTCCCACTTGGAACCAAACTAAAAGCAAGAGCGTGGTGGTTTTGCTGACACATTTACCAGGAGCACAGCTCAAGTTTCCCAGCTGCTGTTTACACCCATAGGGCTTTAATGTAATTGGGGAAAGTAAATCAACTGCTATCTGATATCAAGCACTGCAGCCAGGCAAAACAAGGAGAGG